GTGGACATTGCTGAAGCAGAATTGGCGGACCTCAAATGCAACCCCAGCCCTTATGCAGAAGAGCGAACTGAGGAGGTCAATGAACGCCTCCGCTATGTACGCCGGGAAGCCCGGGTGCAAGAGAAGGACGCATTGAAAACGTTTGGCAACCACTTCTGGAAGAACGATCCGGAGATCTCTCCGCTACGCGGCGCCCTGGCAACTTGGAACCTGACCATCAACGATTTGGATGTAGTCTCGTTCCACGGAACATCCACCGTGCTTAACGAGAAGAACGAGACGAACATGATTAGCCAACAGCTGCATCACCTGGGTCGAACGAAGGGCAATCCTGCATTAGGCATCTTCCAGAAGTATCTGACCGGGCACTCCAAAGGTGCTGCAGGAGCGTGGATGCTCAACGGTGGCCTGCAAGTGCTTAACACCGGCTTGGTTCCAGGCAACCGCAATGCGGACAACATCGACGCAGCCCTCCAGAACGATTATCTGGTCTACCCCAGTCGCAGCATCCAGACCACGGGCGTCAAGGCCTTTTCGGTGACATCCTTCGGGTTTGGGCAGAAAGGAGCGCAAGCATTAAGCGTGCATTCCCGCTATCTCTTCGCAACCCTGGACCAGGCGACATATGACGCGTATCGGATCCGGGTTGAAGCGCGACAGAAGCGGGCGCAACAGCATTTCCGGTTTGGCATCACAGAGAATGCAATCTTCACTGCTAAAGAGACGCCGCCATACCGGAGTGACCAGGAGTTTCGTGTCCTGCTGGATCCGGAGGCGCGTCTGACCGAGAATGGCCGGGGGCAGATGGAATATGCGGAGTGACGGTGTGGAGTGCTTGATTATTGGGTATGATTTGGATGGATTTTCATATCCCTTTGGTTGATGTGTAATCGGACTACTTTCCGACTGGTTTTGCATACTGATCAACGTTTCCCTTTCTGGTTTTGTGTTGCACGGCGTTCTACGAGTTGCGAGAATATATCCACTTGTTTGGTGTGAGTTTGTGGATGTCCTTGTTCGGGTCTGTGCATCTAAAAGGGCAGTGCCCCTGTGCCAGCGCCGCTCTCTTGACAACTACATTATGTTTTTGGTTCATAATCGGTTAATTAAGCAATATACTATCTGTTTTCTGTTGTACTACCGGCTGATGCCTGTGTGTCCGACCGGGCCAATCGCTCTTCGTAGTCCTGCGTAGCAAAGCACGAATTTGACATTAGGTACGGTGCTGTATCTTCCCCTTCTTCTTCTTACTTTTCTTTTTGGATGCTCCGGGGGACTCTGCAGACAAAAACTTGGTCTCAGCCGGGGAAGCGTTCACCTCCACAAATGACGGCGACTCTTCAGCTGGCCCGCCATAGTCTTCGCTAGAGTCCGATGGTTGGCCCTGTAAACTAGACACTATCCAAAAGTTAACTATGACAGTTACCCCTAGTAAGTGGTAGTTACGGACCTTCGGCACTTTGATCAACGTAGACCTGCGAGGAGATATCGTCCTCTTCCTCGGTTTGCGATAGTCCAAGCTCATCTACTTCTCCTGCCTTGGCGTTCAGATGTCGTCCTTCCTTAATACCATTCATTCCAAAGCCACGGTCACTAACGAATTGTCGGCAAGTCCACAAGCCTTGGTCAAGAACTTGTAACTTCTTGTTTAATTGTTGCCGCATGGCACGGTTTTCATCGGATTCCCCGGCGATGCGCGATACCAGCTCGGCCGGCATCTCGAAGACTTTGAGGGGTGTAAATATATCCGATAGAGACTGTACCAGTTTGACCTCCACGACTTCAACTGCAACGTCGTCGATGAAGCGTTTCAGGGCCACCTGCAATAGTTAGTAGTGAGTCATATGAAAGGCCTGGCATTCGGGTGTTGACTGTACCTTGTAATAAGCGAGCATGCAATCCAAAGCTTCGGCTGATGCAAACCGCATCATATCCGGCTCATCGAACGATAGAAGTGATTGAACCAGCTTCTCCAGATTGTACTCATCCTGTAAATACACATACTTTGGTCTTTCTTCAGTAACCCCAAAGAAATCATTGATCGTTTCACGCACGGAAGTCGCGCGCCTCTCCGCACGAATTTTATGTATCGTCTCCGTGAAGTAGTGATTGTACGTGATTGGATGGCCTTGCTGGTGATTTCCAACGAGTTCTTCACATGCTTTTATCAAAGTCATTTTGAGCTGATTCAGTGCAGGTGAGATGACCCTGTCAAATAGGATCGCAGAAGTGGCTTCGTCGGCAACATAGCTTGTTAGAAGTGATAAAAATTCCTCGACGATCTCCCATGTCTCAAGAATATGTCGGTGAGTTATGTCCTTCCAAGGGCCACATTGCTCCTTGAATAGTTCGCCGATAATCATAGGATTAAATGTTCCTGGCAGCTCTCGCCCTCTTGTTTGTCTCATGAGCTCCTGGATGTGATTAATAAACTCGCTTCGCGTGATCGATAGTTGCCCTTTGCGGTCCTCATTCTTAGACTCATGTGCCACAATATTACGGTAGTGGCCTCGTTCATTCAGACGCGCCGCAAACCCTTCATTAAGGTTCTGAAGCAGTGAACGAATACGCTTTTGTTGGCCCGTAGAGGATTGGGCGCGCTCGAAGAACGGTTCATTGTATGTGCCATCGACGGCTGCCTTGACCAAGGTCTGAAATGATTGACTGATCCTAAGAAGATAAGTCTTCTGCTCATCCAGAGTGGTTCGCGGCTGACCAAGCTTGATCAACTGCTGATTGCAATTATCTTGTTTGTTCTTGATCTCATCAATCAGGCTTGGCAGTTCCGCCGCGATTTGCCGCAGAAGCACCTTGCTGAGGCGGTTCCGCAGTGAATTGATTCCAACACACGAAGGCGACATGTCCGCCCACGCACCCTTAGAAAAGAACTCATGCTCTTTCCTATCACGCTCCGCCAGGGTCCAGCTTCCCTCATCACTATCCATATTTCGTAGCGTATGCCATCCTAGCCGAAACTCGACGTCTCTGTTGTTTGCCAGGGATATGAACATCTTTTCGCTTTCGGAATTCGATACCAACGTATCGGGTTTGGTGATAACCCCCAATGTTCGATCGCCTGACTTATCGGCATCTCTTGCGAGTCGTAAGACGATCTGATTGGCGTAGTCATTCTTCGCCGATATGACTGCAAGAATGACACTTCGCGGCTCCTTCATATAGGATTGGACCACATTCTGCACGAGTTGAACATCTGCTGCAGATTGTTGTTTTGTCTCCGAGTGGATAAGCCCAGGCAGGTCTACAATCGTCAAGTGCGGTCGATCTGGGCCTGATACCTCGATCCGGAGAAGATCATTTGAGAACGCTTTGCCATGAGTGGATATGCCCATCGCTGCTTTGGCGTTATCGACTAGTTGAGGCAGTCCGTCGAAACCGCCGAGCTCTTCGCAGAAACTCCCCAACGACCGTTGTTCAGCCTCGCTGCGCGAGTGGTGGGGTACGATAGACACCCTAACTCCAACATTGGTATCTTTTCGGAGCACGAGCTCTGTAGGGAACCGTGTGCAGAGGTTGCTTTTGACGGGGAAGGAGACACCGGATATCGCCTCGAGGACCGAACTCTTTCCTGATGACTGGTCGCCGCAGACAATGATCTGTGGTAGAGACACATAGTGGCTGATTCCCTGGGAACGTAGCGTATCTATGGAGTTCAAGAGATCAAGCTGTTCCCGGGTGCATAGGCTGTCCAGCGCGTCCGAGCTAAACTTTCGGAGGACCATTCTGTCTGTAGAGAAAGGCTGTGGTCAATTGAAAGTCGGAGGGTTGAGTGAAGGATGTTATGATGGGTGAGATCCAATGCATCTCTCAGTTTCCATGGATATATTTGGCTTATGAAACAGAGATCTTTATATGTTGCGTCGTGTGTTCCTCGGCATTTCCAGACTCGCACTTCTCGTTTTGATGATTATTTGCGCCATGGGTGCTACTAGCCCGTTGATTGATTGACTCGGTCGGAATGAAAGCGGTATGGTTGTGCTACCGGACAGAATGCCTTGGCCCAATCAGGGACAACGATGAGCAAGGCAGTTGTGATGATTATGATATATAGGGCGAAGCCATTGTATGTTTGAATGCCGGAGTTTGCGGAATGCTTATAAGTCTGTCATGTTGAGGCATGATAACGCTATATTCATTGGGCTTTCTCTGTTTTGACCTCCGTCGCCATTGGCCAGTGGAGTAGTATCTTTGCGGCATGCAGATCAAAATCTGAGAGAGGGAATATGGCAGGGGGGAATGCCAGCAGCAGCAATGAGCTATGCAAATATGTGGCAGCCCGGCAATCTTATAACTGTAGGTACTTATCAGTTCTCTGAGGGAACCTACGATTCTTCGTGCTCGGAAACCCCAAATCCGGAAATACCAGCATACCTTCATTGCATACAACGTGCTGTGATGTGGTGAGGCAGAACAGCGTCTATACATAACTTGATAAACCCATCAATTTCCCTCCTTGCATCGGCGTTATTATTGACGTATGTTATGCTGTAGACCATCGTGCTAGATGGCGAATTGATCCCCTTGTACTACTACCCACAAGTATCAAGGTACTTTCTAGCGTGTAATGGAATTTTTTTACCTACATTGAAGATGCGATAGCTTCAAGCCTAAAAGCAATAAAGAATAAAAAGTGACTTTTATGGACTAGCCTGGCAAACTGACACTTACTATACAGACAGAACGTATCCCAGGTTAAGCGAATATTTTTTTTTCGTAGGGAGAGGGTTATTATTTTCATCAACGTATCGAAATCCAAAATAGTCGGTAGCTTTATGACCGATCCAGCATACTTTGATGGATGTGTCATGAGTTTACTTCCGTCACTTTTGGCGTAGCCTTTCCAAAACAGGTCCTTTTCAGGTGATCCGTTTCAGGCAAGCATAAAACACAATCCTAAGTCGCCCGAACACCTGATAGTTAGTGCGGCAGAAGCGATATCCACTCTGCAGTTTCTAACAAAGGTGACGAGGTGGCTTGTATAGCTGCTGAATGCGACGTAGTGCTTGCATATCAATTGAATTTGCACGGCTTGATATGAATAATCATACTTGCAGCATACCAAACTTATTTCCAGGCTTGCAATTATGACTCGAGGCGTTTCAACGGGGGATAACCCCCTGGAGAATATGACGATTGAACGTAATCCCCAGCCAGCAAATCAGCTCGACCTCCGGCGTGTGTCGCGGACGTAAATCTCAACAGACGACTTGTGTGGGTGAGGCTTGAAATTGGTTTCAAACAAGGCAGAATTAGCTATCAAATCACTGAGCTTATGGTAACCGTAACTCCGAGAGTCAAAGTCCGGATGCTTTTTAGTTAGAAGAAAGCCAACATCGGAGAGCCTGGCCCATCCGTCGTCACCGGATACTGCTTCTACCGACGTTCGTAGCTGAGTCGCCAAGGGTTCACCAGTTTGTACTTTCTTGACAGGTACAGAATGTTCAGGTGCGCGGATTCTGGTGGCATGTGGCTCCAGCTCATCGACATGCACGAGATTTTCTGTGTAGATGAATTTATCGCAGGCAGCAACAAAAGGCTGTGGCGTCTTTTGCTCGCCGAAACCATAGACCACGAGTCCGGACTCGCGGATACGAGAGGCTAATTTGGTAAAGTCACTGTCGCTGGAGACAAGACAGAAGCCATCATAGCGGCTAGTATAAAGAAGATCCATAGCGTCGATTATCATGGCCGAGTCCGTCGCATTTTTGCCCTGAGTATACGCAAACTGTTGTATGGGTTGGATTGAGTGATGAAGAAGTTGGTCCTTCCAGCCTGTGAGATATTGACTGCTCCAGTCTCCATATGCTCGCTTTGCATGAACTGTCCCGTATTTTGCAATTTCGGCGAGCAGGCGATGGATGTTGGAATGACGCGCATTGTCTGCATCGATAAGAACAGCGAATTTTGGCATGGCATCAGCGACCATGTTGGATGACTTGAGAGGATTCAAGATGCTTGACTGCTTTGAATTATTGAGCGGAATGGGTTTCAAGTAAGAAATTGTCTTGAGACTTCCCTACCTTCTTCGTATTTTATGCTGTGGTAAACTTTGATAAACCGAGGTCATGACGATGATTCTACGTGATGGATGATCAAAATAGAGAGGGGTTCGTATCCGATCAACTCTCCTCCTTCCAATATCCAATCAGGTGGCACACCCATGCTTATGCCCGAATGTCTGGATTGGTTTCCTGGCTGATGCGTAGACTACTCACTTGGAAAAGTACAGCCGCAATTCTGCAAAGCCCTCTTTCGGGGAGCAGACGAGCAAGGTGGGCGGTGTGGAACATCCAAGGAACTCGGGCGTGACCAAGTGTTCTATGCAAGGGTGATACAAGGTGTATTGTTGTAGTGTTGGATTTCTTGGGAGTTCCAAGGAAGAATAAGAGAGTATTAGCCTGGGATATGCTGGATGAAGTGAAAGTAGTTAGTGGTGGTGCTTGTCCTTCACGTGATGGAGCCATTCGGGCCACTAATTAACGTTTTCGCTATGCGCCTGTCACTTAATTTAATTAAACCTGGCAGTTGGACCTCGGCATCCCTTCTATGCAGTCATTCCCCGGATTACACTAATTAGTTATGATGCAGCTCTCTCTCTCCCTCCCTCCCCGTCCTTCCTTCCTCGGCAACTCTCCAATTTCCAACTCAATAGTACTTAATCTCCGACGGTTTCCTTAGGTCTAACAACATTCATTCCAACTGACTCCACCGCATCGACACACTCTATCTAGCATTAGCATAAACTCGCACATCATCATGTCAGACTACACATACCAACACTTCAACGTTACATTCCCGCCCGAACGTCAATATGTCGCTCACGTGGAGATCAACCGCCCCGATAAAATGAACGCCTTCTCCGAAAGGTACCACCACCACCTCCCCTTGGTTCCCTCTTTCTTCCGACCATACTAATATGTATTCCACCTCCCAAGTATGTGGCTGGAACTTTCCGCCATCTTCACCCGTCTCTCCTCGGACTCCTCCGTCCGCGCCATCGTCCTCACCGGTGCCGGCGACCGCGCATTCACTGCCGGCCTCGACGTCAAAGCCGCCTCCGAAGGCCTCCTCTCCGACACCAACACCGCTGGCGATCCCGCCCGCAAAGCTGCCCAGTTGCGGCGCCACATTGACGAGTTGCAAGAGTGCATCTCATCCCTCGAAAAGTGCGAGAAACCGGTGATCGTGGCTTACCACGCTATTTCCTATGGTCTCGCGGTTGACATTGGTGTGGCCGCTGATGTGCGGGTATGCTCGGCGGATGTCCGCTTTGCCGTCAAGGAAGTAGACATTGGCTTGGCAGCGGATGTCGGGACGTTGAGTCGGTTGCCCAAGGTGGTAGGAAATTATGGATGGGTAAAGGAGGTGGCTTTGACGGCGAGGGACTTTGACGCGGAGGAGGCTCTACGCGTGGGATTCGTCAATCGCGTGTTCAAGAACAAAGAGGAGACGGTCCGAGGTGCGTTGGATTTGGCACAGCTGATAGCAACCAAGAGTCCGGTTGCGGTACAAGGGACCAAGGAGCTGCTGAATTATTCGAGGGATCATACCGTTCCGGAGGGTAAGTACTACTCGGGTCTTCCTAGGATCGTAATATATACGGGTGCTAACTCTATCCTCTACACTCTAGGGCTGTGGTATACGGCTGTCTGGAACAGTGCCATGCTACAGACTAAGGATGTTTCCGCCGCATTGCTGTCGGGTATTCAAAGGAGAAAACCCACGTTTGAGAAGTTGTAACATAGATTACTTTGTGGTCATTATGATGATCTAGTTGGATCTAGGCTGCCTTGAGTTTGACGGGTTCAAGCAGAGGCGAGGCCAGTCAAGACGATCTACTGCAAGCGCAGGAAATAGAGAGAATATACCTCGTGAACGTTGCATTGTCAGCATTCTGAAACATGATATATTATCAATGTTAGCCAGTGAAGTCCAACAAGTTAGGATACTTGTGCTATTTCTGTAACTTGGATATGGCAGATGACGCCTACAATGTTAACCGGAAACGCTGAAGCCGAGAAGCCAAGGCACGGATGAATAGGCTAAGCGGCCTATCATGTCACCCTCCCGCACAGACTCGTTCTGTTGTGGATCCTCGTATGTAGATTCAGGTTGTATCGACCTGCTGGTCCAATCAGCCGCATAGTCGGGCGGCAAACCAGGTCTTAGCATCAAGCTGGGAGGGTGCTTATCTTCAATCTGACAGACGGTCAAAGCCTCCTCACGGTAAGTACTAGGTTCGGATTCTGATCTCATCCACCAATGTGAATCCACAACATTGTCACCGGACTCCACGTTTCACCAGTTACTCGGGGCTTTGAAGATAAAACCCCTTGACTCTGTCTCCTGCTCCTTCTAGTGACTGTCTTCCATATAGTCTTATCCATCTCGACTTGATGTCTCCCCTCGGAAATGGGGGTCATCCTCAACCCACCCCCGGTGGGCTATTCAAAATCCATCGGGGAGACAAAAGCCCAGGAGACAATCGGAATCTGACAAACAATCACACATACACCCTATAAAATTCATTGCCAGCTCTCGCTGCTGCTTAAAGCCCTAGTTCAGCCACCTGCAACTGCGTGCGGGATGCAGCCAATCCCCGCCACACTTTATCCGCCACGCCGTCGTATTTCCTACTAGTCCGGGTGCCTTGACATTTGGCGTTGATTAGGCTGCAGTATGGTGTGTGAAGAAAGCCAAATCCAGAGGAAATACAATTTGTAATCGCCTAAGAATGAGTCAACGGCGAAACGAGCCTTCAGATTTCACCCCTTTCGCGAAGACTTGTTCCTATCACGAACGCACCTTCTTTCGAAACAAGTCACCGTTCTCCAGTCATGTCTACTACAGAAGGTTCTCGACCAGATGATTACCCCCACCTCGCCAGTCCTTTCAGGGCGATGAAGGCCCAGTACGATGTGGTTGTTGTCGGGTCTGGATATGGCGCGGGGGTCGCAGCGAGTCGAATGGCTCGAGCAGGGAAGAGCGTCGCAGTCCTTGAATTGGGTTGGGAGAGACGTCGTGCGTATACTCTCTTCCTCAATACCATCAAATCACGGTTACTGACAGTCATGGTGCAGCGGGCTCATTCCCACGTTCCCTCTTTCAATGTTTGGGGGATCTCAACATCTCGGGCATCTCCCGATGGCGGTTGCCAGACAAACCCACTCGCCTGTTCCAGTTGATCTTAGGGGATGGGCAGCATGCTCTTGTCGCTCGTGGTATGTCGACCTTACCACAAGGAGAAAATGACTGAAATGGCCCCCATATTTGAGGCTGCATATGACGAGCATCTAGCATTAACATGTCCCAATCGCTTGCACAGCACTAGGCGGCTGCTCACTTATCAATGCGGGCGTCTTCCTCGAGGCCGATCGAGAGACTTTACAGATGAGTGTATGGCCCCCTGAGATACGAAACGACACATCTGCACTTCGACCGTGTGAGTCTTCATTGAATCGTAGAATGGACCATAGTTCCTAACGTCTACAAATTAGATTACTCGCGCGCGGCAGATATGCTACAGCCATCACCATACCCAGAAGATCATCCACCTCTTCTGAAGCTTGAAGCCATTCAGATACAAGCAGAATGGATGGGCAAGGTAGTAAGTTTCTACCGCACGCCACTAACAACATTCTTTCGTCGAGAGCGCAACCATGTCGGCGTCATGATGCAGGAAAATCACGGTTCGGGTAATGAAAGTACTGGTCTAAATGATGGTTCCAAAAACACCGTTTCTACCACTTACCTTACAGATGCGTGGAACTGGGGTGCTGAAATCTTCTGCGGGTGCGAGGTACGGTATATAGAGCAGGCACCTAACCAAGAAGGCTACGTGGTGTACTTTGCGTGGCATGGGAGAGGGAGGTCGGCTTTTGGTGAAGAAGTCAAGACCCAGTTGTTTTGGGTCAAAGCTGTAGGTTTGGTAACCAGTATTTATCAGCCTACGCTTATAGCATGTCATTTACCTAGACCGAGTTGTGTTTCCTTGGGGCCGGCGCTTTGGGAACAACAGAGATTTTGCTTCGCTCAAGAGACTACGGTCTGCCGACTTCGCCCATGGTGGGAAGGAATATGTCGGGGAATGGGGACATGTTGGTCTTTGGTAAGCCTGGTCGATATGGATGTAGACCATGACTAAAGACAAGCCTCAGGATACAACAGCGACTCGAAGGTAAACGGTATCTCGGAGGCGGCATCAGGCCCTGCGAACCGACCAGGTCCAACAGTCACCGGCGTTGTGGATCGAAGAGGATTATCCCCAGGGGATGCGCTCGCCGGTTATGTAATTGAAGACGGATGCATACCAAAAGCGTTGAGTCCGCTCATTCAAATCATGCTTGTGCTGCAAACCATACGTCTTCCAGCTCCGTGGTCAATCTCGGAGAGCATATCTCGGTTTGGGGAAACAATTTCCAAGTTCAAGTTGCTTCCATTCAAACTATATAAAGTGAGAGGCGCTATGCAACGCACTTCGACCTATCTAGTCATGTCACACGATAGTAACGAACTCACACTCACCTTGAAAGACGATCGACCGATTCTGCGTGGTCCTGGGGAAGGACAGTCTGAAAATTTCTCCAACATCCGATATGCTCTGAGTTATGTCATTAGCCGAGCAGGAGGTAAAATAGGATCTTCACTTTTGCGAGGTACGGTCCCCATTATTGTTAGTTTAGCATGCTAAAGTGCTCTTAGGTCGTGAACAGGAAGAAGTCACTGTCCACCCCCTCGGGGGTGCCAATATGAGTAGCAATTGCACAGGTCGTGGAGGTGTCACTAACCATCTAGGCCAGGTGTATAAAGGCCATGGGAGTGCGACACATGAAGGCCTTGTGTGCTGCGACGCCTCGGTTATACCAACTGCATTGGGTGGGTACATGTTCCCCAGGCTTGCTGCAAATGTTAACAACTTAGGCGTGAATCCTATGGCTACAATTACTGCTCTTTCTGAGCGATCTATCGATTTAATTGCCAAGAAGCGACAGTTCTCCATTGATACTGACACTCCAAACGGAAGACTCGACATCTATTCGCAACCGATGGTATCAAGGAGGGTAGAGCATGGCTTCCAGAAGACGGCTAAGGTGGATCAGGCACACTTACCGATTGGGTGGCAGTTCTCCGAGGTCCTCGATGGGCACATATATATGCATTCGAATGACTTAAGCGCTGACGCATGTGAAACACTGGGTCGCAGTTCGTCGTGCACCATGCGCATGTTTCTTACCATCGAGATTTGTCGAAGAATGGGTGAGTCCCCAAATTCAGGACATAGCGCAGTTCTCATGGCTCTAGATACGCTCGGGTTACAATATGAAGGCATATGCACCGGAACAGTGGCCTGTCGTGGACTGTCCAGAGGACCGATGAGAGTAGTCGATGGCAAGATTCGGTTTTTTGTTCCCTCAAAAAAGGAAGCAGAGTCAACGGCTTTAAGATACTCCCTTCAGCTTCTTTCAGTGGAAGACTTCAGGTACAAGCTCGAAGGATACAAAGAGATTGATTCAACCTCTGCATTCTCCATTCGCGGAATGTGGGAGGCGACCACCAAAGTTAAGATTCATGTCACTCGAGATGACGGGCTGAAAGTAGGAGCAGGCGTCCTCCGCATATCATGGCCATCTTTCCGGCGACAGATGAAAACATTTCGGACAGTTGAGCCTTTTAGGCTCGGACTATTTCCAGCATTGGTCCTATTCCTAGCCTACTTTACTCTCCAGCTTGCTGTGGTATTTCTTCGACCTCTAGCACCGGCTCGCAAGTCTCGCCACTCTCCTCAACCTCATCCTGGCCCAAAACAGCAGCCCTTCAATACAACAATCCTCAGAACAAAGGATGGAGTCACTGTACGCTTAGAAGAGTACGAGCCGTTGCCGAACACCAACGAGGCTATTACAGGCGAATTGCGCGGGTCTCAGCCAGTCTTATTCATCCCGGGAGTCACCGGTAATGCTACACATAGCACCTTTGCACTTCCATATCTGCGATGCAACATGGTCGAGTATTTCACAGCACGCGCATGTCGATGCTACGTCCTAACACCTCGCTGGGGCAGCGACACCAAAATATCAGCGCAGTGCACTGTCTATGACTGCCGCCTCGAAATCGCAGCGGCGTTGCAACATATCCTAGATCAGCAGAAACAGAAGCCATACATAGTAGCCCACTGCCAAGGCTCTGTGGCACTCGCTATGGGTCTACTAGACGGCACCATCAACCGCACACACATACTCGGCATCACAGCCAACGCCGTATTCATGACGCAGGTCCTAGCCTACTGGAACTCAGTAAAAGCCGCCACACCAGCCCTGATCCGGCTATACGAGTTCATCTCTGGCACACACTACCCAATCGGGTCGCCCGACGGCAACAAACCCATTCATAAGGTCCTCGACATCCTCCTCCGGTTTTACCCCGTCGAGAACCGTCGAGACATCTGTACCTCGACACATTGCCATCGCACCACATTTGCATTCGGCTTGTGCTGGAACCATAATAACCTCGACACTAACATTCATGACAACGTTGGCCAGTTCTTCGCGGATACGCACACCAAGCTTCTCGAGCATGTTACCCGCATGGGAACGCATGGGGCGTGCTTGGACAATGAGCTCCGCCCTCTCCTCACCGATCGGAATCTTCGTAATTTGCAGGATATTCCGATCTTGTTTATGTCGGGTACGGTTAATGAGGTGTTCAAGCCTGAGTCGACTCTACGGGATTATGAGATGCTGCGACGTCGGTTCGGGGAGCATCTCTATCGTCGGTTCTTGGTTGAGGGTTACGGTCATTTGGATCCGGTTATCGGGAAGAATGCCGCGGATGATGTTTATTGGAGGGTGTTTGAGCATGTTAAGTGGTGTGTTCAGGGTCAGAGGGGGGCGAAGAATTGATGGCTGTTGTTGGTGAGCTGGATGATGCGAACTTGTTGATTTGTTGTGGGATGAGCGTTATATATTTTGGGGCATCCGTTGATGAACCATCGTGATTTTACATTCCCAATCGAAGGCTGCTACTTACTTACTATCACTGCTACTAGTACTACTACTCAGTATAGGCAATGCTTCCGCCACCAATATTTCTGTTAAATTAAAGATTCCATTCATGGAAAGAACCGTACTGGGACCCAGCCAAACATTCGAAACGAAAACAGGATATCGTGGAGAAGAGACGAGGAGGTGACGGGAGGGGTAGCGGGAAGAAAAAAAAATAAAAAGAAATTAGCTTGCATCATCCGTGAATCGAACACGGGCCTCATCGATGGCAACGATGAATTCTACCACTAGACCAATGATGCTAGTTGTTATATTTCGCTCATAATTTACGCTATAACAGAGATAGTTACAGTGAGACTCCCGCTCGTCCTTCCGTCGGACGAAACGCGAACCTTTGATGTACACAACAACGCGTCCAACATTCATCAACCCGGTAGCTAACTCGCGCAGTCTGCCTCCAAAGCCTCGGTGATCATCATGGGGGGTAGGTAACTTTACCTATACCTTAGGTCTGCCACTAATTATAACGTAAATCAAGACACGGTTGATAGACTGGACGATGCTTTCCGCCCACCTTCCCCTCTGCGGTCTCTCTTTGTCTCGGAAGAGACACCCCCTCCATCAGGAGAAGTCGACTGCCCGTTACTAGATGCAAAACTAAATGCAGCCATTGAGAGCTTACGGAATGGCGAGATCGCCTCGCTACATGACGCAGCAGTGCGCCACGCAGTCCCAGATTCACTCTTATATACCCGGTACTATCGGAAAGACCCCGAGTCAGTGGCCTGCACCTTTGGGAATCCTTACAACCTTAGTGAGGCAGATGAACCTAGAGTTTGTCAATATATTGTCCAATGGCTTCAATCAGGGTTTCCGACTTCGCCGCACCTTGTCCGCGAAGCTGGAAATGCTCTACACAAATGAAAATGCGATACCTTGGATCTGAACTTCAAGCCCCTTGCTCAGGTCTGGGGTCGCCGATTTCTAGAATATCATCCCCAATTGAAGAAAACTATCGACTCATATGCTGAGGAACATAAAAGAACCAAGAAACCTCAACCTGATAAAATCTCCAGCTTTATTGATCTCTTCGAGAAGACGAGAAAGCAGTATCATATCCACCCAGACGATATCTGGAATGCTGATGAAAAGGGATTTATGCTTGAGATGCCACAAGGCCGCACCCAGAAGACCATCATTTCCAAAAAGTCACTCCCACATAAATCCAGTAGATTCCTCGCGCTCAGCGAAGACTGGGTCTCTACGATTGAGTGTTGCAATACGGGTGGCCGGGTACTTGCTCCTTATGTCATCTTTGAAGGGAATGCGGTCGAGTCTTCTTGGAAAAAGATGATCCCTGACAAGAAAGCACATGTGGGGTGTGAAGAGAAAGGCTTCAGTGATGAGAAACATCAGTTGAAGTGGTTGACTAGAACGTTCATACCACAAACAGCGGTTTCTCAGAAGACTCTATCTCAACGTGGCACATCATCGAATCGAGCCACGCGTTTGCTCCTGCTAGATGGACACTCTTCTCCTATCTCATTTGAGCTTTTCCTCACCTGCTGGGAAAATCATATCATACCACTTTGCATCCCTCCAAGCACCTCGCATCTCCTGCATCCACTAGATGTTGGGGTGCTCTCGAAATTAACCAATCTTTACACTGATGAACTACGGAATGCCTTACAGGCCGGAAGGTTCCGCATAAGCAAGGATGCATTCGTTCCGCTGTGGTGGGTTTCTCGGCAGGATGCCATGGATCCGGCGAACATCTTCACGGGCTGGCGAAATTCAGGAATATGGCCTGTCAGCAAGGGAATTGTCTACAAACGGGCGGGATTCGACCTCCCAGAAGCTAGACATGTGCCTGATCGTACGCAGCTTGATGCCCCAATCACTGGAGAGGTGTTCAGTACTCTGCTGCGTCAGATGGATTCCAGCCCGCCAGAAACTGCGAATCAGCTACGCGAGTTCTTGATAAGTTGCTTTGAACAGCAATGCCGCACTGGCGAGTTACTTCAAGAGGCTCTGAGCGACATACAAAAACGTGCAAGTGGGCTGCAATAACGTCGATGGAGTAGACGCAGAGAATAACTACGAAGCGACGCACCGACGATGACTCCGCTGCACGTACAGCATCCAGACGAAAGCGACTTTGTCCAGCCATCAGCCTATGACCTTATCTTCTATTGAAGAGCCGATTCGATCAAGTAGTCAGCTGATACAGTCTTTCAATGCATCAGAACATGGCGCTTGGGCATGGAGCTCATACGGCTGCATTTTACATGGAAGAGTTTTGCCTCAAACAGCAACAAGCATCCCTCCGGCAGGATTGTCCAATGGCACCTCGCAGTATCCCGGCAAGCTATGGCAATACGAAAACTAAATATTCTATCCATCACAACAAGCCCAACATTACCACCAAGGCAGTCTCGTCATGGCATTTGGACCACGGACCTCTTCTTAACATAATATGACAAGTTCGACGGAGCAAAGGGAAATGATAGTTCTAGCAGCTAGGAGCAAAAATAAAGAATGTTATGCATCATAAAAAGACGAAAAAGAAAATGATAAAAACATACAACAGAAGGGATTCGCTGGTGGTCACCCACCCAACTACTAACCTCCCGGCGTGTGGCTTAAGTACGGCTGAGCGGACGGGAAGCCCTGTTTTCCACACCCTATGGTCGTATGTACTGGGCTATGAATCCATGATATTGATAAGGAGGACATTACAAGAGGTTGATATGAGTGTTCCGCTTCCTGGTGGCACCCTGGCGGCAACACCAGTTTGGCAGGATGCCTGAGTTGCGGCCGCGTATATATCCCCCTTGTTCTTAGCTGTGGGTGGGATATACACCACAATAGTCCCAGCGGTAATCAAGGGGTCAATTTTATTGCATCTTCGGTGACGACAGTGGTGATACCTACGTTGACAAGCTGCGTCTGGTACGCAGATAGGCTTTCACTCTCCATGTCCGCGACCACGAACACGACATTTGCAATGCTCAACGGCTCTTTAGACGGTGCGGCGGGTGACCGTGTGAGCCTGTGAATCAACTCATTGTTGGCCATGATTGTCTATTCTATCGATAACAGGGTTGCTTCTAAGTGGATGAATGAAGGTAATAAGTATGTTCAGAACACTTTGGAAAGGTAGGCACTATGTATAATCAAGTAATGAAGCAAATTAGGAATTCTATGTACGTACTGACACCGCATAGGGAAAGTTCGAAGGACTGATGATGGAATTGCACTCGAGTATTTATATCAGCACTGATGCCCTACCCCCTCCTCAAAGCAATCCTACAGATAAGAGGCTGTGGCGATTGACTTTCCGGCCTGAAAAAAATACACCACACGGTCAAGATTAACATACCGAAAGTGCGAGTCATAGAACGCCCGCTTCTGCTGAAAATAAGCATCGTCGATACATCTATTCTGACGTGATCCTTATTTAAGACCATTTATGGAATGTCCTGCCGGAAACCTGAATTGGGGGCTCTTTGAGTTTGGCCCTAGAGTCAATCATATTGGAATCTCCTGTATACTCTTTTTTTGGCCAACTGCTTCACGGCAGATCTATGAGATGCCGGACAGTGCCAGGGATGATCTACGTTCAGCTATGCCATTTTATATAGACTTCCAGATCGACGTACCTAATAGGAAAGGCCTCAGCATAATAGTTATAATTTAGCCACGACAATGATCAGCAAGGATATCAACTGCGGCAGGGCTGACATGGTTCGTTGGCTGCACAGCAGAAGTATTGCTGATTCCTCGTGTACTTGTGACACTCCTGGAAGCCTTAAAGCTTGGCGGATCCAATCCGAAAGTTGGATATCGCCTCGGATGATGTGAGAATTGAAAGGATTCGAATTCCTGGAAACTGTTTGTGTAAGGACTCCCTTACCTTGTGTTGCAAGTCCAAAAGCATTAAAGCTGGGATCCCGTGACAAATGATATGTGTCACTGCAAGAATATCTTTAGGCCAACAGCCCTGGAGGCTGTGTACTCGGAAGGCTCAAGCTGCAAGCCATCAAATGGCATTCAAGATATGTACAAGCTATCTGACTGTGTTTCACGGACATAAGATTGTAGGTTTCAGCTGCCACCAGATTATATCAGTCTTCATGACTGTAGCGCCTCGCATTCCTCCACCCTCTTTAACAGTATAGCTCTCTTTACGGATTGGTATATTTCATCCTTGTTGTCACACAGCATATGTTCATTCCCAGGTCGTGTAACATGGGTATTTTTTCCACCATAGCCCCTTGTTCTTACTTCCTCCATAATAACAGCAGAGTAAGCCCGCGAAAAAGATCCCTGTCAAAACGGATAGATAAGACATTTCCAGTAGCCAGTCAGCTAGCGGTATCCTACTTTCCAGTAGATGAGGCTCGTTGGATGAGGGATTAAATAGGAGGTGGATCCTTATTAGGCCCCCGAGTCCACAGCCCTTTCAAATCCGGAAATCCATCAAGTACTTACTGTCATATCTCACGATGAGCATGGAGTGCTACATGTAGTAGGTACTATCTAGCCAGTTATGATAAGCACGGGTAAAATCGGACAACCTTCCCAATTCGATAGCATATGCCTCCATCTCGTACGAATAGATGGCCTGGCCTGTATCTCATACATTTGCACTTGTCTTAATCGTACAAGGTGATGGTTCTGCATGGGTTTTCTCTATAAGCTTATAACCGCAGATCCAGGTGGATGTCTTGAGGATGTGCTTGGGCTGATGGAGGTGTAAGAACCCGACAAAACGCCATCTTGAATGACGTAACACTCGCTGTTTGGTCAGTCTACCATATAGTCATATAAGCCGAGGCCGACTTTTAGGGTGGGTGTGATAATGATGCTGACGTATGACGTTTGCTAAAAAACCACCTGCCATGAGTTCCGGCTGGAGTGGACTAAGACTTGGGGAGTGGATGTATCAATAGTACTTCCCCAAGATAAGGCCGGAAAGCAATATTGGTGTGTAGATTCCACTTAGGGGATCGATATTTACCTACCCAGTAGATAGTGTCTATGGTGTCTTTAATGTATGTATAGGGTGAACCGTGCGGGATAAGCCGGCCAGCGGAAAAGGGTTCCGAGCAGCAGTCACGCGATTGCGGTTTCGGCCCCGCTGCCTGAGGCTGCTCGGCAAACAGGCCAAACAATCCCCGAATTCCCCCCAACATCTTCAGCTTCACAACTTTCTCAGCTCTTCTGTTTCTTGCCGCTACCTCTTCATCCTTTCATCCCCCTCCTTCTTCTTCATCCTCCCCTTGCTCATTCTCATGCACTTTGTCCGACACCCCTAACCTCGGCCTCCGACTGTCTCCTCAGTCGATCTGCCGTCCACACCGCATCAATTCCCCCGCTCCTGTCAGCCTCCGAATGACCATGTGCAGACAATGAGTTTCTTTGCCCAATTCACAAACCTACCCGCCATCGCCACCGGAAAGGCCCTTCTTCTGCTTGACTTCCAGAATGACTTTGTACGACCGAATGGCGCGTTGCACGTCTCCAACACCGCCGATTTTCTCGATCTCTTGCCTCAGCTTGCGACCGCCTTTCGGCGCAATGGCGAGGTGGTGTGGGTGCGTTCTCATTACCAAGAGCGACAGCCCTTGATCAGCCCGACCGACGCCCAGGACCTCATCGTGCTCGGTCGCATGGGCCGAGAGACTAGAATGCAGACTCCCGACGAAGATGCATTCGATCCTGCTGAACCCTCCGCCGCCGATCGTGCCGGACCCGTTGATGAAGAAGCCTTCCTCTCTACCGATTCTCCACGATGCTGTATTCCCCAAACGACTGGCACACAATTTCCGGCCCCCATACTGGCTGCCATTGACAACGAGGCCGATATGTTAGTCGACAAGTTTGAATACTCCGCCTTGCAGGATCAAGGCCTGATTCTGTACTTCCGCACGAGATTTATCACCCAACTTTATCTCTGTGGGTCGCTATCCAACACCTCTGTCTACGCCACAGCCCTTGATGCCGTGCGCCACGGCTTCACTGTAACACTCATCGAAGACTGTCTCGGGTTCCGCAGTTTTACGCGCCACGAGGAAGCGATGCGCCGTATGGCTGACATCTTCGGAGCCAATGGTATTACAACTCAGGAATTATTTCAAGAGCTGGACTGGGAGGAGACAGACGAGATTGCGCGCAAAGGGAGCCCGCGCCCGGTGCAGTCGCTGACTCCCGCTGGTATCGAAAATGTTTTGGATGAACTAGAAGTGAGACCGAGCGCTTCCCCCACGGCGAAGGAGGAGAGCCCGGAATCAGGATCAAGCGGAGGCCGACGCCGCAGGATTGATGATATTTTGGCGGAGTTCACCGATAACGAGGACGGAGACCTGAAAGAGCTAGCTTCTTTGACTCGTTCGCGTGCTCGATATGGGGACTCGGCCCGTGGAGCGACGCCCGGAGGGTCAGGGGAGAAGAAGGTTTGTGCTCGGGTGCGACGTTCAAAACGGCCAGATGCAAAGACAGAATCTGCGTCCCGGTCCGACAAGCGACGCAGCGGCAAGTCCAAGAAAACCGATATATACCGACCGGGTGACGTGATCGGTGAGGGAGATTCCCGCATCATCTATGATCTCGACCTACCATCCGAGGCCTTCGAGAAGATCCGCGAGGAAGTGTCATGGCAGAAGATGTATCATCTGTCAGGCCAGGTGCCCCGTTTAGTAGCGGTGCAAGGCGAAGCATTAGAGGACGGATCCATACCTATCTATCGCCATCCGGCTGATGAGTCGCCGCCGCTGCAACCCTTCACGGCCACAGTGAACAAGGTGCGGGCGATTGTGGAGCGCATTCTCGGGCACCCGTTGAACCATGCGCTCATTCAGCTCTACCGGGACGGGCAAGACCGAATCTCCGAGCATTCCGACAAGACCCTGGATATCGTCCGAGGTTCCTCAATCTGCAATGTTAGTCTCGGTGCTCAGCGGGTCATGGTTCTCCGCACCAAGGGTGCCACAGAAGGTGGAGAGTCGGGCCGACAGACACAACGTATCCCCATGCCCCACGAATCGCTGTTCATCCTTGGAGATGAGACAAACCGGCGGTGGCTTCACGGCATCCGACCGGATAAGCGGCCGGAAACGGAGAAGTCGATGGAAGAGCGCGCATACGAGGGGCAGCGCATTTCCCTGACCTTCCGTCACATTGGCACGTTCCTTAACCCAGCCGGCGACACCATTTGGGGCCAGGGCGCAGTGTCAAAGTCGCAGGAGCAGGCACAGCCAGTAATTCATGGAAATGCAGACGAGACGGAGCGCATCATCCGGGCATTTGGAGAAGAGAACCACGCGACAGAGTTCGATTGGGAGCAGGTGTATGGAAGCGGTTTCGATGTGGTCAATTTTGTCACGGCGAGTACAACCAAGCTCATCCTTGGACCGGACGGCGTGGCTAATCTGCGGGTGCGGCTGTGCCTGAGCGAGAATGGAATCCGCTACGAAACCGAATCAATGCCTGCGCGCGCCGCAGAAAATGACATACGGCCACTTTATATTGCCGCTGACGGAACCCAAATAGCTGGTGACGTCACCATCTTGACCCACTTTGCGCAGCACGCCGTAGAGCTAGTGCGACCAGAGCTTGATGCCCTACGCGGAGGAAGTCAACTGGCGGCTATCGACGATCTTCTGGCCGGTTGGCGCGACTCAAACCGCCAAGGAACTGGTGAAATTGATCTGACGCGGTGGGAGCAGGCCCTGACCGGACAGACCTACCTGGGCGGCGCTGGGTTCGGCATTGATGACTGCGCGCTATGGCCCGTTCTGAGGGAAATTTCGCGGTCGACAGCACTGCTCTCAAGCAAGCGCTACCCGAATTTGAGCCAGTACTACCAGCGGGTGGAGAAGCGCGGGCTGGTCAAGGCGGCGTTGGAGGGGATGGAGTAAGCATGGGCAGCGAATGGCGGCCTTATGAGATACGACTAATGAGCTGTTTTTCTTTTGCACGATACCATCTACAAGTATAATTAATCAGATGTTGGCAGTAGATTGGGATCCTCTACAGATTCCGGTGGGCACTTGTTCGATACCTATTACATAGCGCAGTTTAGTGACTATAGTGTTGGATGTAAATATGAATATAATATGGGTAATTCTATACTATCTAACTCAACTACCGAGAGACCAACTCATCTGTCCAAACAGCCTTGACAGGCGCACTGATCTTCAGGATCAGCTGTTGCTCTCGTAAGTCGGGGTAATGAGTGTGTTCCCAGTAACCGTCCCACAGGGCTTTGGCGGTACACAAGAGGGACAGCAAGAGGGGAAACCTTCAAACAGGCTGTAGTTGCCCTGTAGATATGCAACTATCGTAATCAAGAAGAAAAAGGTATTCTCATTAGTTCGTTCGTAAAGTCCAGCAACGGGAGAATAAGTTTGACCTTAGCCATGACTAGTCCTGCCGGTCATTCATTCAATGCTCTGCTGTCTCTGTGTATCAACGTCATTTGGTTCTGTAAGCACTCCGTCCAAGAGTATCTCCGGAACAACAACTAATCGCTGGGAGAGATTCCCACGCACATGGAAATGGTAGACCGACGAGCGATTTTCCACCATGACCTTCTCAATTGGGGGAAACGGGCCTTTGCAGTGTTCCTCGTGAATTCCACATAGAGAGAACACTTGAGTGAAGACATCCGTATTAGCAAGTGCCAATGCTGCTTTGACAGCTATGAAGAGTGATTGATATGGGCTGTCGATGTAGTCGCGATCGGCCTCTGGGTGAGTAAAGTCGAACTTGAGGCTGTATACCTTCATCTGGGTTGCTTTGTCAGCTCATGGTGATAAAATAGAGTTCAATATGAGGTAGAACAATGGTGAGTAGTAGAATACCAAGGGTGTCTCGTGACGGAGGGTGGTCTGTATGCCTTTGGAGTAAAGGGTTTGGTCTATCAAGTTATCGATTTTATTTCCTGATAAGGGGTCGTTGTAGTTGATGTCGGTTGACATTGTTGAAAGGTAGGGGAGATATTGAAGGGGAATAGGTGGGATGGGAGGAGGTATGTGCATCTAGACCTACCTGAGCTCTTTTCGGTAAATTGGTAGCAAGGAGTGGTGGTTATACCGTTGTTTTCAATGTATATTAAATTGAAGAAGGTGCCATACTCCATGATAATGGTAGGTCGCACGTGCCAATATGCGTCGACAGCGAATGTCGGCAACCTCGTGCATGTTAGAGTTGTTGACAGGTTTGAGATATGTATGGCTGCCCATGTTGATAGGGATTCCTTTCTGGCTCTGCTGAGATCTCTCCATCGCATACCAGGCCTAGTTATGCCTGACAGATCAGGCTCAACATGTTATGACTAAACGGGACACGGCTGCACATAACTAGTCAATCGAACTAACCACTACTAGTTAGACCACGGATGCTGGGTCATTCGACTAGTTCTTTGCACAAAAGTCGAATAATCATTGCGTGGATGGATTAACCCAACTAAGCTATGTCCTATGAGTCAGCGGGCTTTGGAGAAACAGATCAATTAACTAAACCAACTACGTATCTGGACCCAGAAAAATCCAGCATTCGCGGCCCGGACCCGTTCTAAACCTTGACTTTCATGCTACAGTACGTACCTTATAGGTACCAGAGCCAGCTCCTTTCCAAGCGCTTCCGTTCTCACTCGTGCCAAAAGTTGACATCTTGACTCGCAATCAGCTTGCAGAATGGCCATCCCTCTGGAGTCGCTCCTTTCACGCCCGAGTATAATTTACAACAGTCGCGGAGACTCCAGTTGACCATGGCGATGAGGGGCCACACCAGCTAGAAAGTATCATACTCTAGAAGTACACATTTCCCAAATCGCCGGTCATTGCGCCAATGGGTCAAACCTTCTGATATCCACTCCTCCACCAATGGAGATTCAACCCTATGGATTCTATCCGAAGCCCGCCCCATCTGTGATGATCTGATGGACTCTCGGGCCAATCGCGAATCCCTATACCTCCTAGGCCCACCATATGTCGCCATGTTAGACTCCCCAGACTTGTAGGTTGTCTGCTCCCCATATGCCCAGTATTCCAGCACCAGCCGCTATCTCCCAAACCAAGCGGACGGACCTTACGTAGCCATGTCTAGGTGTCCGGAATTGACGAAAGCCGATCCGATATCCTGGTAGTCCGTATATGAATTCCACAGATGCCCACGTTCCTGGCCACTCCTTCCATGATTCAAGATAAACATCAGTTTCCTTCCTTTGCCTTTATAATGTCAAGCTCTCCTTTCAAGGTTATTGTCGTGGGCGGTGGCCCGGTCGGCCTTACCGCGGTGCATGCCCTCGCCCGCGCAGGCATCGACTTTGTCGTGCTCGAACGCCGAGACTCGGTACTCCACGATCAAGGTGCCAGTCTGGTCCTTGGAGCCCCATCTCTGCGCATTATGCACCAGCTAGGTCTGCTCGACCAGTTGCTAGCCATTGGGGCGGAACTTCGCCAGGTCCAGGCGTATACACGAGAGGGACAGGTATTCCGCAATACCAATCCCTTCCAAGTGATGCGGAAAAAGTATGTACTGCGTTCCGCTTTATTTGACAGCTCGCTCGATGATGTCGGCGGAATACTGACACTGACAGTCATGGGATCGCCCCGGTCGCGTTCCACCGCGCACACTTGATCCAGACCCTATACAATATGCTTCCGGACAAGGCCAAGGCAAAATACCTATTCAGTAAAAAGGTCAGCGATATCGAGTCAAGCGACACCGGGGTTCGAGTCACCTGCGCTGATGGAACCTCATTCGAAGGATCTATGGTCCTTGGAGCCGACGGCGTTCACAGCAAAACCCGGCAGTTAATGCGCCAGCTCGCCCTGGCCGCGGACCCCACACGGAGCTGGGATGCCGCAAAACCCTTCAAAGCCGAGTACAAATGCTTGTGGTGCAGCTTTCCCCGAAGGACTGACGTCGGGCATGCCACTGAAACCCAAAGCAAGGACTATTCGGTAATGTACCTCTCTGGGCGCGATCGTGGATGGATCTTCCTTTACGAGCGCTTGCCACTGCCAACATCAGATCGAGTAGACTACACGACGGACGATATCGAGGCAATGGCGGCACGGTTTGCCGATTTCCCTATCACCGATACTCTGAAGGTGAAAGACGTGTATACGGAGCGCTTCACCTCGGGCATGGCCAATCTGGACGAAGGCATTCTCCAGCAATGGGGGTGGGGACGGATCGTTCTCGCGGGAGACGCATGCCACAAATACACCCCTAACGCTGGACTAGGGTTCAATAATGGCATCAAGGACGTGGTGGTGCTGTGCAACGGGTTGCACAAGGCGCTGCAGAGCGCAGCGGGCGGGTCGTTAACTGCTGCCACGCTCAGTCAGATATTCGACGAATATAGAAAAGAACGCGCCGGGCCTGTTCGTTCAGATGCCGGACAGTCTGCGAGGACAACGCGATTGCATGGGTGGGCCAACACGCTGTACTTCCTTGCAGCGCGGTACATCCTGTCGTGGGAGGTCGTTGAAGGGTTTCTGATCAACTTCCTCGGCGCACGTGCGATGAAGCAGTGCCCTGTGCTGGGGTATGCCCCTGCTACGGAGCCGTTCGTGGGGGCCGTAAAGTGGGATCACCCATTGCCAGCGATAGACAAGGAGCTAGCGTGACGAAGACATGAATTGGTGTTGCGTGATTCTATACCCTAATGAGAATGCCTTTCTTCGCTGATTTCTCCCCATGCTTTGCCAACGCGTGATGTCAACCTGCATAGAGCCCCTCTTTTGACAGCAGTTGCCCAGCGGTCTATTCACTTTGCACCTTGAAAATTTCTCCGAACAGGGAAATTTTCCTATGGAATCCCAGATGCAGCAATATGTGTGGACAATTTGTGATCGGATTTTGCTGCGTGTCAGATGCGGGGATCCAGCTGACCAGTTCCCCTCACCCACTCCGCATCCTGCATTTGTATCAATCACTCAATTCATGTCGATCTCGTCCCTGCAGATCACGGACATACTACTTCACCTCCGTTTCCATGGCTGGTGCAAACGGGATGACTCGGACAAGTCTCGGTGCATCAAACCCCGATGTTACACTTTTTTCCACGTATGGATGGATGCGCTCGTCAAGCGCTGGCGCTTCATATCAACCCTATTCTGCAAGCTCTGTGATCTTCAGACAAACTCAATCACCCACCTTAGTCCATGAGATATCCAACCACAATGAAGGTCTCCAGCCTCCCCATCCTGGCTTTTCTCCCTGCCTCCCTCGCCACAACCATCTACCTGGCGGGGGACTCCACCATGGCCACCGGTGGTGGTGGCTCCGACACAGCCGGTACCTCCCTCCTATCCATCACCGCTTTCCTCAACTAACAATCAGTCAGGCTGGGGTGACTATGTCGCCCAATACCTGAGCAATTCAAGCGGCATCACCGTCTCCAACCAAGCCGTAGCCGGGCGCAGCGCCCGATCCTACACGCGCGAAGGCCGCTTCGACGACATCGCCAGCACGCTAGAAGCGGGCGACTATGTGATTATCGAATTTGGCCACAACGACGGTGGCACGCTCAGCTCAACCAGCGACAATGGTCGCACCGACTGTTCCGGCACAGGCTCCAAAGTGTGCTACTCGGAATACGATGGCGTCAACGAAACCATCCTCACTTTCCCCGCGTACCTCGAGAACGCCTCCAACATGTTTAAAAAGATCGGTGCAACCGTGATCATCTCCTCGCAGACGCCCGATAACCCGTGGGAAACGGGCACTTTCGTGGATGACCCGCCGCGGTTTGTCGAGTATGCGGAGATTGCGGCAGACACGGCGGATACGTCGTACGTGAATCATTTTGATTACGTGGACCAGGTATTTGAGGCGTTGGGGGCGGATACCGTAGATGCGTTTTATCCGATCGATCATACGCATACGAGTGCGGCCGGGGCAGATGTCGTTGCTAAGGCGTTCCTTAGGGGTGTGGTCTGTGGAAAATTGAGTTTGGCGGATGAGCTGGTGACGGATGATTTGGAGTTGGATGAGTATGAATGTTTGGATGAGTAGATGTGGCGCTACAAAATTTGCCGAGGGTAGCTATTAGGGCGAAGAATTGGCGATTGAGTCGAATTTAGGAATCACATTATAAATCCCATTTTGGTATCATGGCTGGACATGATGTTGAACTGTTCATGCTGAGTTCTGACATTAGTACTACTACAACACAATGATATATGTCTCAGAAGCTGCCCTACTTAGGTGAAGGGAAGACTCACAAATAGATACCCAATATTTACCCACCAACCAAACTTGCATTGCATGGTATTCTTCCCCTTTCCGCATCTTGCTTGACCGTAGGGCTACTTTAGTACACAATAGTAAGAGAACAGATGAAGCCACCATCCCCATGTACCCCACCACATGACAAAGGCCACTGAACCTAGCACTGAGCTACTATATAAAAGGTGTCCCTGTTGCAAGTCAGAAACGCTTTTCCTAATAGATATAGAAATATTATTAATATGAGACAACACAATCAGTTCATCGAAAATAGTAGTACTAGTCCACTAGTACTTCTCTACCTTATCAAAAAAATCCACTCACCAACCAGCCTAAGCAATAGTACCTTTCGGTGGAGCGAGCAAAGCTCGGAGCAGCTGCTTTTTCAGTTAGGGCAGGATTAAGTACTATCCCATCACCCATACCTCCACATCGTAATACGTGTACTAGTTATCCTTCTGCACATTGCCTTATCAACAAGCAACCCGAGATAATGTTAAGAAACATGTGAAGCCATGAATGGACTCATCTCCCTCCTCTCATATCTCCCTGCCCCAACCCAAAACAGAGCAGAGTGCAGATCTCCGTCGGATATCCCGGACATGGATTCCCCGGTCGCAAAACACCCCTCTTTCACATGTGAAGTACAGTAAGCGGAGATAGTATGCCCGATAATTAATGGTACATAGTATAATCTAGTACAATCACGTCAGAAAAGGTGGTGCTGGTGGTGGGGAAACTATTTTCTTTGGGCTACGTATGTACTTACGACCTTGGCAACCGTTACGCTAATAATCTAATCGACTTGATAAGTAACTAGCTAACTACTCCGCTTCTAATCGGGCTAAGCTTGGTCAAGCTCCTGGTAGTAACTTTTGTTTGATATACTACTGTAGAGGGTTAGCTATGTATCCCGCGTGATTCAAGTAGATGAGTTGATCCGTGGTTGACGTGGACGTGCTTTTCCCGTGGTGGTGAGTTTTATGTAATTTTATTACGCCACGGGATGGTGGAACGAGCCGTGAAGAGAATGTCCCGGTCAGTATTAGGCAGTTCATCGGGAACTTAGTGTGGGAAGAGGGGGGGGAGAAAGTTAATCTACTCAGTTCAAACTGAACTTGAAGTTGAAGTGGGATGAATGGACGGGTCGGGGATTCTTCGGTGCTACTGCTGCTCTCACCCCCCTTAGTCTACATTCTTCGAGATCGAAACACATCAGAAAATGCCGCAAGAACAGTTTCATGATCAGACTAGCATATGTACTTCACCGGTTGATATTAAAAGCTATATACAAATTCATTCCGTCTTAATTATATCCAGTGCACTGCTCCGGAAATGCTCTACGAGCATTCACTAATGTAGATCGTATACCATCTATGAGCAGTCGTACTGTCAAGCAGGGTGCCGTCATTTCCGTCTGTCGAATCCACCCCCACAACCTCGGTCACGTCCGACGTAGTCACCGTCACATCGTTGCCGCTAGTGATCCAGTACTCCGGGCTGAAGTGGTGGTAGCCCAGCAGCTTGGGAGGAAGCTTGGGCACGATGTCGTCGGTGTGCGTGACGCGGTAGTTGCTGCCCATATTTTGGTCCGTGATGTAGTCGGCTAAAGCGAGGTTGCCGATACGGGGTTGGCCGAAGTTGTACTATCCATTGCGTTAGTTGACTATCCGAAGAATAAGGGCACAGAAGATGGATAGGATGGAATGGGGTAGGCTACCAGGTCAAGAGTGTATCCGGCGTTGCGGAGCACAGTGGCCGCAATGGCCGCCAATGCAGCGCCGTAGCTGTGTCCGGTGAACACTATGGAATAGTCCGGATAGCTGGAGACAGCAGCCTCCACCTTGGATGTGATGGTGTCGGCGATGACTTCCCAGGCCTCGTAGAAGCCCTTGTGCATTTCACAGCCATCACAGATACTGCTCACAGAGGTGAGGCCGAAGTCCAAGTCGGCAATCCAGTTCGAGAGGTCGGAACTACCCCGGAGAGCCAGAACGATTAACTCGTTTGTCGGGTCAACGGCGATGAACCCAGTCGGGTCGCCGTAGCTGCTGCTGCTAGGGGGGTGTGAGCTGGTGACAGCTAGGAGAAGACGTTGAGGTGGTCTAGCTTACTCGTCAAACTCATCGATAGTAGTAGCACCGGCTGCCTCGACGAGAGGGCAGTTGCCTACATCGCAGGTCAGAGTCGTGCCGGTGGACTCGATGTTGGAGGAGCAGTAAGCCGCTGCACTGTATTGGGCGAAGAGGTCGATGTTGTCCAAGACGGTAGAGGAGATGTCTGAGCAGGGTTAGCGGGTTCACGGTCCACAAGATGTATTGGAGAGTGTTACCTCTACGCTGCATCGGAGCAGGTGCGGGAGCAGCATAGGCCAGAACAGATAGGGCTGCGACAGCCCCAAATTCCCTGCGGAAGAACATTTTGAGAGCCAGTTAATACAGCGCTTGATACTCCTGGGCAAGATCTGCGAGTTTCTATGGCTCCAACTACGGTGGCGTGGCCCCCTTTATAGATCAGATGAACTGGGGATCCGACGGCTGTCAACGGCCCATCGTGGGCACCAACGTCTCCGAGAAGGTATTCGAAATGAATTAAACTCGGTACACCGACTGGTGATAGGGAAGTCGTAAAGAAAAGCAAATGTGACTAACGCTCCTGGCTCTGGGAAAGGAAAAGCCAGGATTTAGCCCCCATGTGCTCTATAAACCGCCAATCAGCAGGCATGTCTGATCCGGAGCGCGCCATGGTCGTGAGGAATCCGTGCTGGCATGTCAGGCTGCAAGGGGCTAAGGAACCAATGGCCCTCTGGCTCTCAGTCACGCAGGGAGAGAACAGACATTTGCAGAGTGCCGCCATGCGCTCGGCCGCGTGTGCCGGACAAAACTGGACGTAAAAAGTCCACGACCCGCAACGTTTCTAAGAAAGCCCCTACCGCTTCTCTGTATTCAACCCCACCTGCGCCTGGCTGAGTTGGGCTTAACTAGCGGGGGCCATATATTAATCCGTCCGCTTCCGCCAATCAAACTAGGGGTACAAATGAAACTAGGTTTAACCAGAGAAGGGGCCGTAAATAGGAGGTTAAAAGCTTAGTTCGGGTGAAGAAGTGGGTGTGATTTCGGATGACCAGGCTAGCGTGCCTGCAGGAGCTCCGTAGTCAGACAGGTGACAGGGTTAGCTTGATGTATGATCGTACAGGGGCGTGGATCCTGCGACTGCAAGAACTAAATAGCATGAGGACATCAACTGCGTTGTTGCATGTTATCTAGCATAGAGAAATGCAGCCTTATCGGCTGGTCGGATAGACGACGGTCTCCGGCGAGCTTCCTTGACAGACGAACTGACATGTGAAGACAGCAAAGGGATGAGTTGAGAGCTGCAGCGGTGATGATGGCGATAGAGTTCGGCTGCTCAATGACTGACCCCTTGCCGTCAACAATAAACGCCCGGATTTACGCGCTTGACCGTCGGGGCATGAGGGGTTTTTCAGTCTCGCCGGACCATCTGTTCAGCGGCTGTCAAGGATCCCTTGACCATTGCATCAGCCCTGTGTTGTGATAAGCAAACAGTGGGGGCCGTTGATCCCAGGGAAAGTCATCTTGAGATGAGACTTCGCAAGTGCTGGTGTTCTGGACACGTGGTCTGCTCAGGTTAAGAACATATTTCGCTCCGGAATTCCAAAAAGGCTCGAGGCAGGTTCATGACCGAGACGTTAGTTACTAGGACTACTACGGAGTAATAGTTCGGTCATGAGCAGGATTGCTTGTTCGGTTCAGAATGGATAGGGATGGCTCCTGCAATTTCCCCATGCGTTGGATGAGGATCCGAAGTATATATTGTGGGTCACTGAGCACCAACAAGGGCGTTTTACCCTACCAAACTGTGACTAGGAATGATCCTCAATCAATTCTGACCTTCCACCAGAAATTAGGCTCATCAACTTGTTTCACCCACTTCGACACGAACTGCCAACCTTGACGGACAATAAAGCGATTGGACTGGGGCGGTTGTGGCTGACTCGGGAGTGCCCAACCCAACAAACAACAGTTGGAATGGTGTAACTTCGGACATTTGTAGGCAAAAAGGTTTCACCTAGCCCACCAGTAACGGCTCAGACAAGCTATTGCACGCCACGGCCCCAAGATTAGCAACCTAAAAGCATAATATGACGGAATAACCCCGAACGTGTGGTGCGGTGAAGAAGAAGCGGGAACCGAGGAAAAAAAAAAGCAAAAAAGATGCGTCCCGGGAGAGGATCGAACTCTCAACCTCACGATTAACAGTCGTACGCGCTAACCTTTATATTGAATTAGTAAATGATTGATTGGATGAATTTGATGAAGGGTAAGCTTACCAATTGCGCCACCGAGACTACTCGTTGAAAAGCCGGCTGACAGTTTAATACATATACGGCATAGCAGTCTTAAACTTACACAAAGCGTTGTACCTTTTGGACTCACTCTCTGGAGGAGACTTCCCAATTGCTGCAGTTTAAATGCCATTGATTGACCGATTCGCTCCAATCATCATACGGTGACTGACGGTTTAATTTAGGCAACAAGACACTAGTCTAGCGCTCAGGGGTTCGACTCAGTATCTGTCAGTCCGTTTCGAATGCCTGAGAGATCGGTTAATGTGCGAAGACCATTTGGGGAGGTCTCCGACCGGTAAAGGCAACTAATGCTGGAAGAGAAGAATCTACGCAGATAGAAACACTACAGATGGTTCACAGATCGCCGGCTAGTCGCTTCCGATCTTGCTTGCGATGATGCCGGCTGACCGAGGTTGGTAGACTATGTGGGTAGCAGAGTAAATTATTAAAAATACAGACGAACAAGACAAATTCTGTTGCGTGCCCTAACACGAAAGACGATGAGTACATAAAAGGGATTCTCATAGAGTACATGGGCATTGGCAGTATCACTTGGGTGATTACGTGCCTACATGGGAGGATCGCAAAGGGGTATCGCAACGTCAAAGGGATGAAAAACAGCATCTAGTCACTACTCGTTTCCTCCTCATTCGAGCCTTCACCTTCTTCATCTCCTTCATCTTCTGGGGGTGAACACGGGGAATCGGGCGGCTCAGGTGAGGGTGAGGGGGGAGTAGGTGGAGAGACGGGCTCGAAGAGAAGCTGCATGTGTTTAGTATCCGTGGCACTGAAGAGTGCTCTTAGTCTCAATGACCATACCTCTGATAGTGCAGTGCTGTTGACAGCAAAGCTTATAGGCTTATGACTATACTGCTCATTCCATTGTTACCCTCCGAAAGGCTCTCTTTATATTGCTCGGCAAGGGTAGAAGAGGTGCAACTTTGGTAATCGACGGACCTAAGAATGATATAGTCTAAAGCATCACACATGGAAAGACCTGTCCATTCCACTTGTGAAAGCCGACCATCTCGCCCGACATATACACCGTACGATTATATTCTGGGATTGAGAAGTTCTTCCAGCGAGGACCAGGCGGGATGTCACCCGCGACGGTAAAATATACCCAAGTTCAATTGCTTACACGATCCTCCCATGCCTATAGATTTTTGAGGGATATGATTTCTAAGTGACAGGTTAGATTGGATATTGAGGGATGAAACCATTTGACATTAGAGAGGTGTTCTTCTGTCTTTCCTATAATTTCAACTGTCTGCATCTGTGAGAAATACATCGTCTGTATGTCCACTGCCTTCCTCCAGTTGAATAGGACTCGGACCGTTTTCCGGTCTCTACATATTCCCTTTAAAGGCGAAAGTCTTCCTGCGGATTATCTTCCTGCTCTTTTGCTCCCTTTGACGATTTCCTGGATAATACGCAGAGGGACAAATATATTTGTAGAGCTCTCATGTTTGGGCACTCCCGGCGCAACTGCAACTCTTCCAGACGTTGTCCTTATTGTGGGGACAGTCACAAACCGGAAAAGTGTCGGAACACAGCCAACCTCATTTGCGCCAATTGTCAAGGTCCACACGCCTCCCAAGCTACATCCTGCAGAGCGCTGAGGTTTGCCCACGATAGGATCAAGCTCCTACAGAAGCACAGGGACAGCCCTTATCCAAAGCCGACCGTGAAACCAGCTACAATGCCCTCAGCCGAAGAGCAGACAACGTCGAAACCCAATGAGCGAACCCTGCCGCCTGACTCAAACGTGCCTATTGACGCAAATTGCAACACTAGCACAGAAAGACCCAGAAAACGAAAGAAGTGCAACTGCGGCAAGGCTGCTAATGCCAACCTACCTGTCAGCACGTCCTTGCCCGCCGATCTTAAGAACCCCCCTGTTACCCCTCCACAGCAAATCGAGGGCATACAGGCCACCCGCAGAACCCCGCTGGGCACCTTGAATCAGCAGACGATGAACAAACCCCAAGCGTTAGACCCTACCAAATGCCCCCCAGGGTCAGAGTATCCCTTCGAGGACGACTATCCATCAGAACCAAAACATTCAGAAACTGAATCGGAGCCGTGGATATACAACTGGGATCCTGCGCAGCAGTCATCTGTGTCTGATGCTGAGCCAACCGCTGAGCTCCACGACAACAGGAACAAACCAACTAATATCGCAGCACAATCTAATACCGATTCATAAGGAGACTTAGCAAATGGCTGTTTTGCGCTGATGGAAGCGGACAGCGGAGCACCGTAACTGCCTGTATCAGCAACGCGCACTAGAAATGATTTAGGAAAGCGAAGTTGATGTACTATCAATGCCCGGGTTCGATTGTTTACACGATCGTCCTATATTCAATCGTTACAGTAGATTTTAGAAAATACTATTACTTGGTACTATACCCTACGACTCAAGCGTAATCAAATTTTTAGGAGTTACTGATTCGACCATAATATTTCAAACGTGACTAGTGAAGCCCAATCAAGTACGTATGAACTCTGATTGTAGCATATAGAGGGCTCACACATGTTGCTCGGAGGTGTGGCAAAGCAACCAATTGTATGCATAGTAGTAGTATTTATCGCGCGAGGATGAGGGACCTTTGCTCGTTTAAGACTTATAGAGGTAAAGCAGGTCCGTGTTTCCTCATATATAATTCAGTCAAGTTGAAGATGAATACATATATGTGGAAGTACTACTACTAGAGTACCGCAGCGGACAGACCATCTGTCCTCTCTCCCTCCTCCATAGCATACAACTGCTCCACCAAAGGCACAATCGACTCCCTCAAACCCCGAAACCGCAGCCCCAGCATCCTCTTCACCTTCGTTGAATCGCACGAATAATGCGTATCCCTTATTCTCGCCCCCGGACTCCCAACCGCAACCCGCTGTGAAGCAGCAAGAATATCCCCTCTCACCACATCTGCAATCTCCTGCGTGTCGTACGGGCCCTCCGTGACCAGGAACCGCTGATGGGAGGGTAAATCGACCGTCAACGCGCGCAGACATGTATCTGCTAGATCTTGCACATCCACCCAAACTAGTGATGGTATGTTAGTTGTTGTATCTTCTACGTTGCTTATGTAGAGTAGTCACTTACCGGGTGCCTTTGTCGGCGGAATTTCATTCCCGCCCTTCGCTACCTCCCACACAATCCTATTACTGGCATTCAGATACTCCAGCGACGAAATCGGATGTATCATCTTCCCGAACACCATCCCAGGACAAAGCGTGACTAGCTGGAAGTCCACCTCATTCTCCTTGATGTATGCCCACGCAGTTCGCTCCGCTAGGACCTTGGATGCGCGGTACGCCACAGCCTACATTCACCCCCGTGTCAGCAACCAACAACCACCACCAACAATCTGAAAACACAAACTCACCACATTAATAGTATTCTTCCCCTCCTCAAACCCCAGTGGACTCCAATCCTCCTCCGTATAAACCCTTCCAGGCTGCAACCCCAATGCCGCATCATAAACTGCCGCAAACGACGACATGATCACCAGCTTCCTCACACTTTCACACTGATGCGCAGCCTCACACGCAACCCTCGTCCCCTGTATCGCCGGACGAAGCAATCGCTCCTCGAACTGCCCCGGCTCCGCATCATAGGTAAATGCCGACGCGAGGTGCAGGATAGCGTCGCAGCCTGCCGCTGCGGGGAGAAACTGCGCTAAATCTGTTGGGTCTGGAACGACCACGAGTTCCAGGGATGTCTCAAGGTGGGGGATTCCTGCGGCGTGGAGGGCGGAAAGCGTCGCTGTGGCTTTTTCGGCGCTGCGCACGGTGCCTCGGATGGAGTGGCCTGCGCTGAGGAGTGTGGCGATGCAATGCGTTGCTATGAAGCCGTTGGCGCCGGTTATGAGGGTTAGCATTTTGGCAATCGTATAATTAGTGTCAATAGCTGTGGAGGATATGGGTAGGGTTGAGTGTAGTAGATATGGATTACGGTGGTTTATATACATTGTGTGGTATATCGAGATGTCTACGCGAGTGGAGCCGTCGCATAGATTAGACTCAGCGGTTATACACTACCAACTAGTACACATATCGGAAATCGACTACCCCCTCATCATCGCCCTCACTCCGCACCCGTTCCTCTATGCGACTCCCCGCTGCCCGACCTAATCGGTTAGCCCGCGCGTTCCGACGGCCGTAGACCACCCGCAGCGTGGTGGAAATGATAATGGCGCCGGCATTGACGGCGACGATCGTGATCTTGGCGGGGATGTACCTGTTCAGATAAGTAAGGATATTGGATGTGGTAGTTCAGGGATATGCATACCCTGGAGCATCGCGAGATTGAAACGTCTGCGGCCCGATGATGTTGGCGATGCTGAAACCGGCGGACACGAGGGTACTTCCTGCTACCTGTGTGGCAGTTCAGGTTAGCTGCTGCTTGCATTGATTTGAAACTAGTATGGTCCTTTTACCTTCATGGTATACCCCTTGTAGTTCGCACCAGTCCATGCGAAAATCAACGCTAGCGGTGCGACAGTCTATTCCAGTCAGCGCACAACCTTCTTCTCACATCTGGAGCACCTACCGTGTTCACAAGGTATATTCCCGCCAAACAACCCCCCTGATTTGACGACGGCAGAAAAGACATCAGACACGCCCCAAGCAGAGTAGGAATCAAGAGAACATTGATCGCCAACCAGCGCGAATATCCCCGCGCAATGGCCATCGTGGACGCCATAGTAGCAACGATGCTAACCACCCCAGAGGGCATATTAAGCAGCGCACTCTCCTTTGAGTCATATCCGAAGTCTTTAATCAGGATGGATGAGAACGTCGTGATAACACCACTGGGTATTGTGATGAGAATAGTCAAAAGCACCAAGAGTGCAGTCTGGAGATCTGCAAATGCCTCGAGCAGCGAGATCGCGCGGAAGACTTTCTCGCCCACACCAGCTTGGTCTTGTCGGAGGCGCTCCTCCACGCGAACCTTTTCGGATGTGCTCAGAAAGCGTGCTTCAGATAGTGTCGCGGGTAGGATGAACAGAACGAGCAGCGCTACGAGGACGTTTACTGCTCCGATCACTACAAACATGATCCGCCAGCCGTGGAATGACATCGACGCCGGTGCATGCTGCGCCGCGAAGGATATTAATCCGCCGATGATCTGCCCGGTGCCGAGTCCGCAGTACCAGAGGCCATAGCGAGGGGTGGATTCGGCCCGGGTGTACCACATGCTTGTGTACATGGTTAGGGCGGGGGCTGTATGTAGAGTATTAGCAATGTGCATGGAAGATAGATAGTACTAATCGCACCGATCACAGCTTCTAGTGTGCCAAGAAGCACTCGTAGAGACATCATGCCTGCAAAATTCTGGGCTGCGGCAGAGCAGCAGAGGAGCACTCCCCAGCAGAGGATGTTGAATCCGAGGACTTTGGTGATGGGGTATCGTTGGAGTAAGAACCCTATCTACAATCAGTGACATGAGCATGGCAGTTGAATGAATGGAACATACCCTGAGGAATTTCAGCAACAGCATAAGCAATGAAGAACCCCGTAGCCAGCCAGGAAAAGTCATTGCCCTTCATCCCAAGATCATCTTGCATGCCCATGACATTAGCGTACTGCTACCATCAGCATCGACATCCGTACAAGTCATTAGATGAACATCGGGACATACATTCAAGGCCACCTTATCCAGAAACTGCAAAAAGTACGTCAAAAACATAATCGGCAGTATGCGCCAATCGATCCGACGCAACAGTGCCGAATCATCGTGCAGATCGCCAAGGCCATAATCGATAGTGGCCAGCTTTTCCTCTTTGGTATCAGACATGGTGTTTGTGCAGCAGGGATGGCATGTTCCAGCAGTAGGCCGTCGAGAAGCGGCGGAATGGCATGATGGGCTGTCTTAAAGAGGTTGTTCCAGTACACAGTGAGGGCTACAATGTCCCCTATCACTGGCTGGGGCGATCGGTGCGATAAGCTGCACTACTGCTGCACCCGTCGCATAGATACGAGCCCCGTCGGATGCACGATAAGAGGATCGGATGTGTGTCCGAACAACATAGACCATAGGAAAGCGCCGGATAGGTATATAAACAGATATGTGGACATGAAGATGAGACGCAGAGAAAGCCAAATTGCATTGATTGTCGATACGTCAAGTCATACAGAATGCCCTCGCGCACCGACTCTCCCCTCGACATTGCCATCATCGGCGCCGGTCTAGGCGGCCTGAGCGCAGCCGTGGCTTTACGTCGCCAAGGTCATCGAATCACCGTCTACGAGCGATACGATTTTGCTGGCGAAGTGGGCGCTTCTTTGAGCGCAGCTTCCAATGGATCCCGGTTCCTAGAGCAATGGGGTGTCGATGTCAAGGCCGCAAAACCGGTGGTATTGAAGAAACTTATTATGCATGATTGGGAGACTGGGGCAATCCAGAACGAATATGGCTTGGGGGACTACAAAGCCAAGTTTGGAACGGTCAGTCTGGAATCCAGTCTTCACTCTATAAATCTGTCATTAACGTGGCCGGTTCTCAGGAATACAACAACTTCCACCGCATTGACATCCACCAACAACTACTCAAGTCTGCTTTTGACGAGCCAGGCGAAGGCACCCCCTGCACATTAAAGGTCAATCACAAGGCCGTATCGCTAGACGCAGAGGCCGGTCGCATTGTGTTCGAAAATGGCGAGACGACGTCGGCAGACCTTATCGTCGCCGCGGATGGCATTCGTGTAACTATCCCTATCTCCGTTCCTAAATATCCAATAAGCCATAACATGATACTAACATGAACATATACAGTCCCAAAGCCGACTTGAAATGGGAATCACCCCCGAATTCACCATGTCGACCTCATGCTGCTATCGCTGCATTATCAGCGCCGATAAACTCCGCAGCCTCGGGCTAGACGACTACATAGACAACGAGGCGATCGAATACTGGGGTGGGTTCGGAATCAACAAAATCGTCATGTCACCTTGCAGTAACGGCGAAATCGTAAGCTGTTACTGCTTCTATCCGGCAGAGTACAACAATTTGCGTGGCGATGGCTGGAATATCGCGGCTACTCCGGAGCAGCTGGTCGATACTTTCCCGGGACTGGATGAACGCATGAAACTGTTGATGATGAATGCGGAGGACATTAAGATGTGGCGCTGTAGGATCCCCACCCCCTGTGTTTGATTCACTCTGCTGATAATCGATAGTGTACCGTCACCAACCATACCCCTACTGGGCCAAAGGCAAAGTATGCCTGCTTGGTGATGCCGCCCACCCCATGATGCCCGATCAGTCTCAGGGTTCGTGTATGGCGTTTGAGGATGCCGGTGCGTTAGGATTGATCTTCCACCGCACGTTCCGGGAAGAATATAGTGTAGCAGAGGGTCTACAACTGTACGAGCGGCTACGGAAGCCACGAGCCACGAAAGTCCAAGAGGCGAGCTTTCGCGCGCGTGAAGATCTCAGCGAGCGCATTGGGTGGAGCTCGTCCACCGATCGCCCGGGAAAGCTGACCATCGAGGAGGTGTGTGGGTATAATATGCGAACACATCTGGAAGAGCTAAAGGCCCAATAGATAGTATATTTGATGTTTAGGAGGTTGCGTGTATATAAGTAGTTTCTTATTAGGAGTTTATTAGCAAGATCATGATGTTTATTACGAAGTATAGAATTTCTTCCAAAGGTTTTCGTAGCAATATGCTGACGCGTGATCACATTTTTCGATTCCAAATTTAGCAAAAGGCATAGTATCACTAAAGCTCCTATGCGATTTATATATCTTTTGATATGAGACCAAATATCCACTGAATGTATCTATTGGGAACAATTACTAACCAACATGAATGACCATCAATCCACGCAGGTACCTGTGGAGGCCTACAGTGGGATGTCAGAAGTTTGCGTTGCCCCATATTCTACGCTAACTGCTTTTACTTCCGCCTTCCTAACTAGATTAGGAAACAGCTATTCTGCCTACCAAAACAACACGTACAGAACCCTGAATCTTGAAGCAAGCAAGCAAGCCATACAAAGATGCCACCACGCAAAGAACTGACCCCAGAGATCCGTGCTAGACTCTGTGAGTTGAAAGCAATTGGTTGGACCTTTACTATGATTCATAAACGCTATCCTCATATTCCTTATTCTACTATACAGACTACAATCAAGCGCGAGAGTACACGAAAGCAGCAACACTCTGCACCTCGCTCCGGACGACCCAAAAAGATTACTCCTGAAGAACAGCAACAGTTGTTGGACTTAGTTGAGCAAGATCAGCATATAAAACTGCGTGAACTCTCTACTGCTGTACAGAGCAGTCCTTCAATCAGAACAGTTCAACGTCTGATCCGTACACTACACACGCAGAAATAGAAATAACGTGAGCGGCCAGAATCACTTCTCAACACGCAGAAAAGAGATTAGGATGGGCTCGACAGTATGCAGAATACATTGCTGAAGACTTTCTATGATTTTTTGGTCAAACGAATGCTCAGTCGAGCGCGGAGCAGGAATCCGACGAATCTATACCTTTCGATCACCAAAGCAACAGATTATTGAGCGTGACATTCATGCTGTACGTTGTGGAAAGGGTGTTAAGCAGATGTTTTGGGTGGAACTGTGATTGTGGCGCGTAAGGATAAGAAAGATCTCATCCCGGAGCATTACAAGGCTATTTGGATGTACTGCGATATGAATCTAAATTACTTTGGTGATGGGGAGGCTCCGACGAGGTTGTATAACCGACAGGCCTTTGAGAAGTGGTTTGCGAGTTATAAGCGGCAGGAGTCGATAAATGGGAGTGGAATGATGTGCCGCCTTTGTATTAGATTGGTTCATTAATGGGGGTAGCTTCGGTTAGATTAAAAAATGTTATGAATGACTTAATATCCACGAAATTGGGCCGAAGGATTTAATACTTAATGTGTATGGAGATGATGAACAGTTACTTTCATGTTTAACATTGAATGATTATGGCAAAGATTGGACTTTCGCCATTGTTTAGATGACTATTTGTTGCCCAGTCGTTGCGAACTACGTCACGGCAACAAATACTTTGCTGTAGAAGCAACTCCTCAAACAACAAGAACCGATCAACAACGGTGCGGTACTACACCAGTATTCAACAATGCATTATTTAGCAGCGAAATACACGCAAACGCTATATTAACAGAAGCACCACATGACTACTAACCAACTACTAAACAAACACCACCCCAGGAAACGAACTATATCTTATTCTCGCCCAATTCCCATCTCCGCCCTCATCAGCCCACACCGTCTCCAGCAACCGTCTCGCATGCGAAATATGTCCAAACCCCAACGTATTCTCCATCACCATCAACCGCTCCTTAACAATCATCCTCCGCTCCATATTATCCCTACAACTAGCGCCGGCGATCACTAACGGAAACAGCAGGCTACCCTCCACGGGACTACCATAAGGAATCGCCAGCACAGCGGTCATAATGTGAGAGAGGGCATTCTCCACGTCCGCATGGTGCGGATCATATCCGTCCACGATCTGATGTAGTCGCAACCGGATCGCCCATTCGAAGGCTGTTGTTGCTCTGTCTGCGTCGCTGTTTGTTAAAACAGTGTTGGTCGCATCGTACTCAAGACGCCAGGCATCGAGCTGGGCGCGCACGTGCGCAGCGGCTGTTCGGAACCCGATCTCGGCGAGGTCGTCGACGCGTCGGCTGCGGTGGGCAGCGAGGAGGTTGACCCGGCCGAGGTATTCTAGTAAGGGGGGAGGAATTCCGGAGATGGAGTTGTCTCCGAGCGGAACTGGGAGGGAAAAGGAGGAAGTTGATGAGGTAAGGTCGGTGAGTCGCTCGCCTGCACGTAATAACGGAGGTTTACATCGGGATATAGTGGACATGGCGTCGAGGTAGTGGAAGAGTTGGAGGCAGAAGGTTCCTTCTGGGGTTGATGTTAGGCGGTGCAGATCGGTGGCAGCTGCTGCAGTGCTGAGAAGATTTCCTGCCGCTTTGAGATGCCATTTCCAGACGCGAGAGGTGCCTTCGAAAAGTTCTGTGAGGCAGAGCAGGAGAATGGTGGCGCAGGCCTCGAGGAAAGATTGGCGGTTTTGGTTCGGTCGACGGAGTAGGTTGCTCACTTGTGCTAAGGCTGTTATGGTTAGTAGTCTGTGATGATCATATGGGATTTTGTCGAGTATGTACCTTTACCTTGACGCGCTAGGGCACGGTCCCAAATTTGGGGATAGATGCGCCGCCAGTGACAGCCGCTAAGGCCCAGCATGACGCTGGTTAGCGTCTCCGATGCGGCGGCCATGGGTAGCAAGGTGGCTAGGAACGGGTTGGGCGTGGAGTCAGTAGTCGTGGAACGCGATAGTGCTCGTGAGACGATATGTACATAGTGATTGAATAGACTACGATCGTCGTCATTGTGGAGATGTGGATTGAATGCGCCATCTGGAGACTGGATGGGCCCGAGGATCATCTCCACATCGATCCAGAGGGGCGAGAATGGAGATAGTAGATCATCGCTAACGGATGATAACAGATTCTCGGAAGGGGAGATCGGACCGATCTCTGAGACTGGATCCGAAACGGAAGATAGGATGGGTTCGTGAGCAGGTTCGGAAGAGGGAGACGTAGGCGACGGCTGCGGAGAGGCGAGGACTAGTGACGGAGACTGCTCCCTTGGATTATTCCAGTGGCATGGTAAGTTTAAACGACGACAGTCGCTACATCGAGGTCGGCTTTCATCACACTTCTTCTTGCTATTGGCTGTCAGCTGTTGCAATGTAGTAGTTCTGGGGATCTTATGGGTGTCCGTACCGCGCCTTGCAGGACGTACATCCACCGCGCGATCGGGAAGCCCTAGGTCGGCGATAAGCTAGCGACGGGACTTCAGATGCAGGTCTTCCGGGCTTTTGAGGCTCACAGATGTGGCCCAGACCTAGTTGGTCAGCGGATATTGGCACCCAGTGAACTAGAAGTGCAAAACATACGTGCGCAACGAGAGCAGGGCGAGGCGCCATCACAGCGTTGCTTCTATTAGAAGTTAGGCTTGTAATCAATTCTCGAAGAGAGGTCAAGACTTACAATCACTGCGCACCGAGCGCATACGCGACCAGGAGCAGCCATGATACCGAAGCATCTTGGAGGAGAGAACAGAAGCGACGGAGAGGAGTACGTCGAAGGAGTTATCAACACAAAGCCGACGGGGAGGGGTTCGATAAGCGGAAAAGGCCGACGATTGGATGGCGCATGGATGCGATATCAGTGCACTCGGAGTCGTGGCCACTGATAAAGGTTGGGATCCGCATGCGGGGGGCAGTAGCGCAACTCTATATCCTCGGCTACATGGCCGGCAATCAACCCGTTAGTCTAGTTGCTGTTTCTCCCAGAGTGGCCACTTTGTTCTACCCGTCGCTAAAATGCTACAGTGCGGGGAAGGAGAAGCCACTTAAAACAGCAGTATTCGATGATTTCTGAGACCAACTGATGAGGAAAGAGTGCTTTTTTCCCCGCGTTATCACTTCCGACTAACAGCATGGTTGGGTAGGGCAGAGCTGGCGGTCATCCACCTACGTATGTCCCCTGGCCTTAACCCGATACTTGGAGGCCATGTTCTACAAGTGTTGATGAATGCAATCAAACTGGCGGGAATAATCTACTTTTCCCGGAACTAACTGCTCATCCTACCCTCATACAATGGAGTGGCATGGGAGGTGAAATGTCTTGGATGGTCAAAACCAGATCCCTATCAATGCCTTGAATCAGCTTAGGACTCACATCTATAGTATAGCCCTTCATTTACCCTTCCGCCCTCTTATTCTCTCATCCCACATGTCGCGCGGATTTTGCAACTAGTGGCCTTCGGATCATCATCCATAATGGGGCAAATGCTCGTTTATTATAAGAGAAAATCAGTCCGGACACTACAACAAATATTCTATCTATATCGGCTGTTTCCCTTCTTTCATCATTTGTTTCCTGCCACTCCACTCATAGTGATTGACTTATTCACCAGCGATAAGAAGTACACAAGCCAATACGCTGTCAAGATATAATACACTTTATAGGTTCTCTCATCCATACCCACCGACGTGGCAAAAACACAACGAACACCAACAGCCAACGCACCAAGGAGATGGAACATTCCCGTAAGCACCAGGCCAGCACTCATCAAGCCGAAAGGCCCAAGGCACTGTATCCATCCCCACAGGACCACAACCGACCCGCTAGCAGCAATCAGGCCAGCCGTGATGCCCCTCAGCATCTTCATAGAAGGAGCACTTGAACAAAGCACAGGAAGTGTTCTGCGCTTTATCTTGCGATCTCCATCGATATCATGGAACTCCTGAATGTGAATAGTTCCGAGGACCCATAGCGAGAGAATCACGTCCACCTTTGGCTGTGCGGACAGTTGTGGGTAGGTTTTGCAGATGACACTGTTCAAAAGGCGGAATGAGAGGAATGTCCAAAGGGCTGGGAAAGTGTTTCGGGATGCCCAGTGATCAAGTCTGGGCCATACGTAGCATATGTAGATCAAAGCTTCAGACAAGAGAAACATCACCAAAGCTTCGCCGCCAAGAAGGGTGTAGCAGATAGCAGGAGAGATAGTCCAACTGATAAACCATCTCCATTTGGCTCCTATAACAGTGAGACGGCCGGCTGGGATGGGTCTTTTAGGCTTGTTGATCCGGTCTTCATCAACCGAGGTAAGCTGGTTAACGATGTCCCAGCAGTATTGGTGGCTCACTGAGATACAGAAGATCTTAGCGAGCACCGTGGACACTGAAAAATTTGGTGGTGGTAGTAGCCGAATGCAAGCGGCTGATAAGTATAGAAGAACTCCTGCACCGAGATTGGATTTTAGAAGATGATATGTTATCACAGCCTCATTGCCGAGTAGGTGTATCAGGGCTGATGTCTGGAATTTGGTTCTGCACAATCACTGTTCAGCAAACGGACTTGACCACACGAATGAGAGATGTTCTTACGCTTTCATTAGTACAGGTCATATAGTTAAGTTAGGACTAACTGTTAGCGAAACTATATACTGTGTAATGTACTTGCGAAATATGCTGCTCTGTTGTGTTAGACTGTTATTGTCCCAAGCAGGTTTATATAGCCCAACGAGTGACTTGGGCGTCAGCCATGTCGTTATCAGAGCACGATTAGTCAATTCCAAACTATTCGACGACCCCAACAATAATCACAATGGAAGCATCAGAAAGCTTGTCCGAAGTTCGTTTATCAAGCAAGAGCTTACGAAGAATGTCTCGGTAAGCGGGACGCCTAAAATAACCTCATTCGGTGCCACTGCTTACTTCTGCGAAATTGATTGCCGATCGTAGCTTAGCGCTAACTGCCTTGCATATATCAGCTTACTCTGTGTCTATATATGAGAGACTATATATACTATATATAAATATGTCCTGCTTCTGTCAATCAGTGCACTGTCCCCGTCGAAGGATTCCGGGTGATCCGATAATCAGCCTTTCGCCGAATAGTATATCAGCCATGATTCCTGTTCGCCGAGTTCGCCGGTGGCTGACGAAGATTTTATAGGTGCCTCTCTGTTTGGTTTTGGGCTATCCACGTTTGCTGTCATAATTCTCTTGCATACGATGACGTCGCATGGCGTTTTGCCGTCTTGTGTGCTGATAAGCATGAATACCTGCCTCTGCCTCTGTCATAACCCCCAACTAATATCGCTGCCTGGTGCCCATGCCATGTATCGATAGTGATTCGTGCTGTCCATTGAACAATCCTGCAGGACTTCAATGATTCAGTCTGTCAGCTATTCCCCATGAGGTATGGGGAATAAATTGGCCCGCTGTCTCTCTGACGTTGTTCGGGAACTACTGCTCTCAATCAAGCAGTCTTACTGCATATACCTTCTACATGCTCTAATCAATCACGAGCCACTAGCAAAATTGGCGCATAAATCTTATATTCTAACGCTCGTCATCTCTTGGTATACACTCCAGTGCTCACAGCATGATAACCTTTCTTGCCCACCATAGCAGTCAGATCACTCCTCCACTGCTCGCCACACGCCAACCTCTCCAACGTTTTTCCAAATGTATATCTCGGATGCCACCCTAGCTCTCTCACAGCCTTGCTGGAATCATAGACTCGATCGATCCTCGCAAGATGCTTCCACCCTTTCTGTTTGAAAATAGCGTCGACTTCGGGGAACGCTTTCGTAATCACCTCAGCAGGATTTCGATTTAACGCGTCGAGCGTGCTTTCATTATTATCGAAAGGCGGCGGGGCGCTTATAATATACTTCCCCCACCGGATATCTTTGGCTTTTCTCATTGAGCAAACTGACGCGCTGACAATATCTTCAATATCGCATCTGCGGTAGGCTAGTTCCAGAACCTTCAAGTTCTCATCACTCATGGCCGTACGGCGGTCTTCGTCATCGTCTTCCTCTGGAAAAAAGCGACTTGTTCGCAGAACTAAAACAGGCATTCCGCTCTCCTTTTGTACCAACGCGCACATATCCTCGGCTGCAACTTTTGTCACGCCATAGATATTCTTTGGTTGGGGTACGACAGTCTCATCGATCCACGCGGCGGGGAAGCCGGGCTTCGGGTTTAAGGCCGTACCGAAGGCGCTGGTTGTGCTAAAGAAGATAAAACTCTCCATCCTGTCCTTGAACTTGGAAGATTCTTCAAGAAGAGTCAGAGTGCCGGCAACGTTGGTTGAAATGAATTCCTCCTTGGCATGGCTGCATATGTGCGGCTTATGCAATGTCGCTGTATGAAGCACATGCTTAATGGGGTTTTCGCGGAATATGGATGCAATGAAAGTGCGATCGCAGACTGACCCCACGACTGTCGTAGTTGGAGAGGAGAGGATGTCGATCCCCAGAGGTTTGTAGCCCATCGAAGGCAGGCAAAGCATTAAAGCCGTGCCCAGATGACCAGCTGAGCCAGTGACGAGAACGTCGTACTCTGAGGACATCTCGCAAGTGCCGGCACCTAACAAATATTCTGGAATAATACAGCTTCCGTATGCGGGTGGCTTACACCAGATGAGGGCTTTAAATACTTCGAAGGGACGCTTGGTATTTGCAGAGAGGGATCTTTTTTGAGGCCCAAATCGCCCGAGATCAGTGTTATCAAACCTTGCTTAGAAGTGGGTATTCTAAGACAATTAAACATGTGAGTCATTCGGAAGCTCTGTGTGTCGGCATTTTCCGATCGTTGATAGGCTGTTGTTAGACTTCCGCACGAGCTATTTAGTAGGATCCCTTGGCATCGGAAATCCACGTGAAAGAGCTTCCCCATGTTGGATCTCGTTTCTGTTCTCTAGGGAGCTAGCAACATATACTGTGAATATCTCTCAAATCCTACAGTTATGTCTCCCTTGCTCTAAACAAAGAAGATCTGACGGCTGGACTTTCAGACCGGGACCGATGTGTAGCAGTAGGGGCACTATGGTGATATGAATACATCATAGTATTTTCTTTAGTATCACGTGGCCTATAGAAAGTAAATATTATACGACAGATACAAGTTTTCGCGACGGGAGTATATACGTTACTCCCTTCATCGCCATACGACTTAGCCATTATCGTGTCATTTAATACCATTGTCTTCAAATGGCTAGTGTCTCTTCCTAAAACACATTTAGATCGGGGCTCTGTGAGACAATATGAAGTGAACTTTAAGACAGTCTGTGATGTCCCTCTATAATTCTTGCTATGGCAGTCCGAATGGCGTTAGTGGGTCTCTGGCTTTGGGCCTACATAAGATTCTGTGTTAATTGATATGATATAGAGACGTGACTTTTTCAGGTGTTGTGAATTAGGTTGTAATACACTTTTCAATTGTCCTAGCTAAATAAGAGAGGTAGAGTTCGGCTGCTACCTGTATGTAAGAGAATATTAGACCATCATAGTAAAATCGAAAAATTTGCAGTGTAGTTGGATTTCTTTTCCATATACAAATATAGTTAATCAATCATAAAGCTATCTCACTATTTGTTTTAGCATTGCTGTTTGCTGATACGGTAGAACATTTGGCAACTGTTTTGGTTCTCCGAGTACGCATTGTATAATCATGTAAATAGCTACTGCAAGACATATTGATATAGAGAGATATAGTACTCTCATACCCAGACCCGCTGGCGGGCGGATCTCTACAGAAACTTACAGGTAGGGACAACTGCAATTTGCTAGCTCTTGCCATTCAGTAGCGTCTAGTGCGATACAAACTTGATGATGATTACGGTCTGATTAGCAACTAACGTGGCAGACTGCGACCGCTCCTGGACTGCGCTCTTGGCCCAAAAAGAAAGACGCAATTAACTACTCTCCTATCACTTCCGGAAGAGATAAGCCTGAGTACTGCCAGCACCGAAATTACCATAACGTTCTTTCCGCAAGGGCAGTCCAAGGCTATTTTGGGGAAGATGCGGGAGATTAAGGTGCTGATTTGCGTCGATCATGGCTCGACTGTATTGGTTACCGGAATGAGTATGGATGAACATATATATGTACATGCATATTTTCGGTCTCATGAGTCCAAGAAGTTTGACATTTGTTTGGTTTGCAACATAGAGATGGCGCTTGTCCTGGGTTATTCGATGAGCGTCCACGGCGGAAACAGTCTGAAGGGTGTTGCTCAAAGCAAGATGTATCTTTCCAAGGAGAGATACCCGAAAGTAATCATTCAAGATATAGGAAAGGAATTAACGGGAAGTCATATGGTAAGTAGACGAAGTATGAGAGAATCAGTAGGACATAAAAAAAGCAAAAATACATACAACAGAAGGGATTCGCTGGTGGTCACCCACCCAACTACTAACCTCCCGGCGTGTGGCTTGAGTACGGCTGAGCGGACGGGAAGCCCTATTTTCCACACCCTGTGGTCGTATGTACTTATTATCTATTGCTAACAAAATATATACTACTCCGTTCTTTAAAATGCTGATGCTTCCTGCCATCCTCAGGTAATTGTGTGCCATCAGTGTTCCCGCATCTACTCCAATTCTTACATCCATCCCGCGCGAAATAATCCTTTCTCGGCTAGACGGTTGCGCACCCTTAATGGCACACTTTCGGAAATGAGCGGTTACATCATTCCAGATTTCCGAAGTTTAATGCACAATTAAAGTTGCACTGGGGAATTTCCATGGATGCTGAATTATTAAGGCATAACTTAGCGAGCTGACAATGAACCACGGTCCGATCCGTGTCTTAACACCGTAATGTCCGACATCCCCAGGATAATCACATCGGATCGCGCACAAGCTGACATGCCCCCTGGACCCACTTGACGGGTTGGGTAAGTGGCAATTTTCCCTCTAGTTCAATAACTCATCCATATACGGTGCTCCAAAGGCTCTTGAAAGTTTGAGATCCTTGTCAGCAAGAGGATGGACTGAGTTCCTTCGGACATTGCTGCATGAGCCCGGTGTCAGCATTATATTCCAGTCAGCACCTTAAGCTTTAGTGCCATTGTACAAGGCGGCAGTACATCGCCATGCAAAGAGGTAGGGGTTCAAGATGGATGTCATTAGGGTGCTTTGACTGTGGCAGACTATGATGATCCCACAATTCATGCCCCATCCGGGACTTGGTCGGACTTAATGAGAACTTTTGAACCACTAGTTGATGTCATCTATGATCAATTTGCCTTATCACCGAGCAGGAGAGCCTACAAATACTGCGCGGTATACACCCCCGCCTATCTATCATCAGTTTAACAACATACACGATCAACTCCACTTATCCACTCCCAATCCAACTCCAGAATCATGTCTTCCAAATACGCTGCAGCCCACCAGTCCCCACAAGGGCCCGGTGACGCCCGCCCAACCGCCCTCCAAATCATTAAAGACCAAAACCTCGAAGACAAGCTCTCCGACAAAACCATCCTAATCACCGGCTGCTCCTCCGGACTAGGTGTCGAGACCGCGCGCGCACTCCACACCACCGGTGCAACCCTTTACTTAACCGTCCGTGATGTCAAAAAGGCAGAGGCCAATCTCGGCGACCTAGCCAAAAGCCCTCGAGTCCATTTCCTCCACTTGGAACTGAACTCCCTCGACTCCGTGCGCGCCTGCGTAGAAGATTTCAAATCCAAGAGCAAGAAGCTCAATATTCTCATTGAAAATGCCGGCGTCATGGCCTGCCCGGAAGGCCGAACGGCAGATGGTTTCGAGACTCAGATCGGCAGTAACCACCTGGCGCACTTCCTTCTCTTTAACCTTCTGAAACCCACCCTCCTGGCTTCCTCAACGCCCGAATTCAACTCCCGAGTCGTGATTCTCTCCTCCGTCGCTCACAGAATGTCAAGCGTCCACCTCGACAATATCAACCTCGAGGGCGAATACGAGCCATGGAAATCATACGGCCAGAGCAAGACAGCGGGGATTTGGGCCGCTAACGAGATTGAAAGACGGTATGGTGCTCAGGGTCTTCACGCTTTTAGTGTGCATCCGGGTGGCATCAATACGGATCTCCAGCGCCATACTTCGCAGGAGCAGCAGACAGCTTGGAGTCAAGATGAAACACTGATGAAGATTTTCAAGAGTCCGCAACAGGGTGCTGCCACGACTGTGCTGGCGGCTGTCGCCAAGGACCTTGAGGGCCAGGGAGGGAAGTACTTGGAGGACTGTCAGATTTCTGAGCCATATGACCCGAGTAATGGTCTCTGGGGTCCGGGGTATGCTTCTTGGGCGTATGATGTGGACGGAGAGAGGAAGTTCTGGAAGTTGAGCTTGGAGCTGGTCGGCCTGAAGGATGAGTATATTTATCAGTAGTTTACACTCCTTCCTGTGGACGAGAGGGGTGATGTAATTATTCTGTATACAAATAGCCAGACTAGGGGATGAGGGTGGAAGCATGATTTATTAGTTCGCCATACTAGACTAATTACATAGGTGGTTAGCAATGCAACACTAGAAGCTGAATTATCGAGAAGTTAAAGTGCTTCTGAGAATTGATGTAGGAAATGGACATGTCTGACCTTGAGCGCACAATACAGCAGACTACTCATGCTCAAAGGAACAATTCCTGGGGCTATTATTTTGATTCCCACATGGCTTAAGTGCTAGTACATAACCTGTGCAAGCACGTAGTGGCTTTCATATTATTGTTCCCTTGAGTACAGCACGGATAGGCCGGAGATTGTGCAAGTGGGGCAGGCGCGGGGGTTCGATGATTTTTAGAGAATTTGCATCGAAGGGATCTCTGTTGTCTGGCACAAATATGATGGAAATTAAATCAATTATCATAGTCATAGCAGTAACTCATCACTCATACGTACAAAACGTCGCGTCATAACACATAACGAAATTGAATGGTATACATAAAACGTCTCTCAGCCAAGTATTACAAAGATGCAACTCCCATAAACAACAAGAGACATAATTTACTGAGCGCGAATATGAAATCCGATGGGAGTCAATCATAGAAGTGTACTACCGGCTTCCAAGTGCTTCGAATCTCCACGCATATCTCCTAACAGGCGGAGCAATCAAAAATTACACTTCAGTTGTGTGAGGGCTGAACGTCTCGTTTCCACCGCTCACCTGCGGAATATGAGAAGCCCCTGCTTTGGATGAAGTCGAGCCGCGGCGATCGTACGGATCGATGTCGGGAAACACGTATTTGGAGCTCTTCCAGGGCGGTACTTTCATGACGTACATTGTATCGATCTCCTCCAGTGTACGGCCACGGCCTTCAATGACAGCCACGTAAACCAGGCCCGCCGCAAGGAAGAGGCAGCCGGCAAAGACGTAGCCGAGCCGGAAGTCAATGGCACTCGTGATGAAGGGGGTGAAGAAGGCGAGAAGGAAGTTCCAGAGCCAGTTGGATGCTGTGGCGAGAGACATGGCGCGGGCACGGAATTCGGAGGGATACAGCTCTGCGATAATCGTCCACACCATAGGACCCCATGTTGATGCGAAACCTTTGTAGCGGTTAGCAACTGGGACTAAATGAACTAGAGTGGGGAAATGTTATTGATGACATACCAAGAATAAACAGGCAGGCGAAGACAACCATGACCACACCTGCTGTGTGGGTCCGTTCGGGGTTTTCGTGGTCGAGGGAGAAGTGGCCCACTGAGGCGAAAACCATAAAGCAGACAAACATCCACAATGCTCCTGTTATCAGGGATCGACGACGACCATAGTTCTCAATCAAATACAGCCCTAGGAATGTTGTTCCGAAATTCACACCGCCTAGAATCATTTGTGTAACGTAAGAATTGGAAATACCGGCGCCTCGGAAGATTGTAGTTCCGTAATAGAAGAAATAATTCGCTCCCGTTAACTGTTGCAGTGCTTGAAGGGCGACTCCAACTGCGACGCGATATGTCATGCGCGGTGCATGGAATAGATGGGACCAGGTTATCTGTCCGCGTTCCTTTTCCTCCACGAATTTCTGCCGGATTTCGTCGATCTCGAGCTTCAGCATTCGGTGATTTTCGGGAATCCCGTACATTTTCGAGAGGGTACGGGCCGCTTTAGCCTCCTTTCCATGACGATAGTCGTATCGGGCACTTTCTGGGAATAGTGCGATTCCGAAGCCCAGGATGATGGCCCAAATGTAGGTGACGCCCATGGGAATACGCCAGGATCCAGTGTCATTCCGATCTTCCGTTCCGAAGTTGATACAGTTGGCGACGAAGATTCCAAGTGTGATGAAAAGCTGATAGGTGCTGTTGACGTTAGCTTCTATAGTTCAATAATACAAGTTCGTAGGCATACCTAACAAGTGATCCACGAATGTGCCTGGGTCCTGTTTCTGCCTGATACATGGGAACAAGCAATGATAGAGCCCCAACGCCGAGACCAGCTACCCAACGACCCATGGCGACCTGGTACCACTTGCCGAACGGAGAAGAGATTTGTATGGTGATACCAACACACACCATGGCACTCCAGCCGCTGATGGACCACTTCCGGCCAATGCGATCTGCGATGGGAGCCGCAATAAGAGCGCCGATCAAGGTGCCGATTGATAGCTGCGCTTATCAGCGTAATTGAACTTGGGTCAAGCTGTCCATGCGTGTCTTACCAGTGCGACGATCAGACCCGAACGGGCATTGGAGAAATAGTATGTCCCGTCGGCATGCTGTTGTCCGTACCTTTGGAGAAAGTTCGGCATCTCCAAGAAGCCTGAAATTTGGCCAGTGTCGTAGCCAAAAAGAAATCCACCCATTGACACGAAAATACCCATTAAGAAAGAGCGCCACGTGAGCAAAGGAATAGGTGTATCCACAGTCCCCTCTTCAGATTTCTGGCCATTGGGGCCGGTGGCTTGCGCCTCTTGCTGCAACACATCACCATTGAATTCGTCTTGCGGCCTCTTACGAGGCATTTTGACCTTTGGCAATCTCATATTTGACAGATAAGGTACGTGTTCCGTTTTCAGACCGTAATGGCACAATGTCCCTGCGGTACCGGGCTGAGAGTCCGGCATGAAGCTCCTAATATATAGACCCAGGGAGGAGTGTCAGAAATTCCGCATGATGGGTCCGTGATGTCATCAATTGGACTGGACTCGCTTTCTTCTTTGTCTGGTTGTCTGACAGGCGAAAAGGAACTCGTCTCCAATACCTTGTTCGGACAAGAGTACCCCAGCATGAGTGTTCAACTGCTCACGTGGTGGTCCTGAATTCTGGCCCATGGGACCCCGCATCAGCCACTGATGTTCTGACATGGGCCGAGATTGTAACTCTGGGGCTCGGGGATTTCGGTCATACCGAACATGTCATGCTGCATGCATTTCGATGGGGAAGAACGATGTCTGGTTGGGATCCGGGGAAAGTCAATTCTTATGTCATCACTCAGAGGGGAAATTACCCCGGCAAATATGACAGGTTGACTTGCAACAATCCAATGGCAGCTGCGTGAATGCCACCTGGTTTCCATGGCTCTTAAATCGGTCCGCCAAAGCTCGGGATCTGGGGTCTTGGCCTACGTCTGAATCCTTCCCCGCGCGTTTCGGTACATTTTGATTCTCGTCATATGTCCTTTGACCGACGAACCACCGGTAACATGCTCTGATGGTCCCGTACCTCTTGCGGCATTCTGAATGGCATGATCGGTATTTGGGTAGAACAGCGTTGCACTGGCCACTGCAAGGGCGACCTCACAGCCGGAGTCCCCGCCGGGTGTGATTATGATTTGCGCCTCTTCTTAGGAGGGGGTGTAGGGGTTTGTATATCATCTTCGGCTGTGTATTAATGATAGTTTTATTACCATGATTGTCATCGGTGGGATGCTGACACGGGGTCAACACAAATAACTCCAGTGCTATGCTCAGGGCGGTTGAATGCTCCGCGATGCCATAATATCTGCTCGCCGTGGCGCCTGCCCTCATCTTATGTTTGAAGATCGATCGGTATCCGTTGGAAGTAAATCGGAAGTCAAGGTAAGGTAGTGTCAGTGCTGACAACTAGTGTGGGATAGCAAAATTGAATGTGATAGCATTTGGACTGCCACTAACCCCAGCAAAATTGCCAGGAGCTGGTGACTGAAATGGACTGGGATTGAAATCAAACGCGGCGACGCGTCGGTCCCGTCCGGCATCACCTGATTGGTGGGCACTTTCCGTTTGCAGTCAACGTAAAGGAACTGGAAGGCTTGTGTATTGCTTATAACACGGATTAACAACCACAATCGGTAATTGTAGCACAAATCAAGTGTACTGTCACTGCAGAAGCAGTACTAAATCCGGAGGATACACTTCTAAGGCGCACAGGACTTGCTGCTAGAGGTAAACAGAATCGGGCGGTTAAGAGGCGTGGGCAGGTTGGGGGTGGGGGGGTAGAATTGAACACTACACCGGGAGAAGTAATCAAGGTATTGATAGAATATAAACAGGGGCATGGTAATATATTGCAGTAAAGAGATTGACCAATGAGGGAACTAGTACTACTACTATAGATGAAGTGGGGAAATCCATGCGGAGGCAACATTCGGTCTATACTTATACTACTAGGGAATGCCGCCGCAATATATAAAAGGTGAATCAATCGAGCCATCGGTTGTAAGTGACTAATGAACATCAACTTCACTACTAACTAGGGAACTCCAAGAGGTCAAGATGACAAAACTATGGCGATATTTTTTGCACGTACTTTAGTCAAGCCAGAGACTATTAGAATGAACACAGAGGCGATATCAAGATCCAGATCATATTCTCGAGGGGAAGTATTTTTTGAGGATTGGATTATGTAGCCAAAACATTTACAGCCCTTCAACAAGGAACGGGGCTGTGGTTTAGTGGTATAATATTCCCTTAGCATGGGAGAGGTCCGGGGTTCGATTCCCCGCAGCTCCAACCTCCTTTTTCATTTTTTAAATATTTTTTTCCCCCCACCTTCATATTGCCTCACACCCCTGTTGCGCCCTTCCGTCCGGTCGGAGATGTCCACCTCTTTAATTTGTCTATTTATTCGTATCACACAGTATTGTCCGGCCATTACTACCATCGCTCCTAAGATGATATATTCTTACGGCCTAGAGCGACGGGATTAGTAGAAGTTGTCACCTCAATTCCAACTAAAAGCTTCCGACCGGGGCACCAAAACCCCGAGAGCCATTTTACCAAGGGAATAAATAATGTACCAATTACCCGATCCCATGGAAGTATCAAGCACACTCTTTGGTACGCTAACAAAGTAAGTATGAGCTTTCCTGAATGTCTCAACCACGTCTCATCTGCTTGTAGTGAAGATAGACGATAGCTGTTGCTGCAAATAGCGGACTCTTTCTATGCTGAGTTCCCGCTCACTCGAACAATGGCCTATGGATCTTGCCCTGGACAAGTCAATCAGAAATGCCATCATACCCTGTATTGACAGATGGCTGGCTGACGCTTTGTTCATAACGATACAAATATACAACGCATAAGAATGGTCTAGTTCTTGTTGAAGCCACCTAATAAATGCGCATCAGCCTTTGACTATCATGAATGGCATCAAATAGGATTCACCAGTCTGCAAGTTATACCCAGCTCGAATCCAAGCATCTTCACCTCCATAAAGCTTAACAAGAACGGCAACGAGTTGCTTTGTTGCTCTTGGAACCTCACCAGCCCTTGGAAGGTATTCTGGGTTCTGAGCGCAGAAATTGAGGAGAAAGATAATATCAAATAAGTCAGTCTTCCTCTTGTCCTCCGTAGATCGACCAGTAATTGAACCACATTTTGCATTGAGAAGCAAAGCTGGCTTCAAAACCTTTGTCCCTTCGACTGAAATCACCTCCGTTTTTTGATCGAAGGGCTCCTTGAATAAGAGAGGTGGTGTGAGAATCTCGATTTGCACCGGTCTTCGTGCCTTGTAAGTCGTATGGTTCGTTCTTGTATCGACCTCAAAGTCAGGAGAGGCGCGCAGCAACTGTCTTGCGTTTGAGGTTTCGCCTCGAGGAACGACGAGATCTATATCTAGGGTTGCACGGGTAGAGCCCAGAATCACACATGCGCTGCCGCCAACAAGAGCGTAGGTATCATATTGACTGAGTGCGTTTGCAACTGCGAGTGCGGCGGCGCGTATTTCTGCCGGGGGGTGAAGGTCTGGAGAGGTCATGGTGTTTGCTTAAAGAGGTGAGGCCAGTCAGTAGCTGATTTATGATATTGATCTAACCTTTTTGTCTTCACCAATTTATCTTTCTAGAGCTATACCACCAATCATATAACCCCAGTGAAACCAAGAAAGCAATTCTAGGCTCCTTCCGATATATTGATGCCATCTAGAGCATATAGAAAGAAGTCTAACGACGGAGGAATACCATCACCAAACACTGGGATCTTGATCAGTGGCAGCCTAGTCAAAACCAATGTAAAAACTAAGAAAGACCCTTGTAGTGTATTTGATGTTGCTGCGTTGATATTTCTGGGAGATTGCTAGTCATAACTTTGCACTGCTGCCTGAATCACACAAGGCTGCAGGTAAGGTGATTGTGACAGCGCCCTCTGCTCCAGCTCCTAGCTATTCGCCTTACATGGTGAAACCCAATAGTCAGCACAGCATTAGAGAAGCTACTATATGAAAATATACATGTTGATATTTGGCCTATTGCTGGATCTACAATCCTCTCACATAATAACTTGTACTGCAAATGCTACGATGCCACCTCCTAGTGTAGCAGTGCCAGTGGCTGAAACCATAAACTAGAAAGAATCCAACCTTGAGAAACCAAAGAGACCTAACTACAAAGCCCCCGACATTTACTATCACTTTTGAGGCCAATGGATATCCGAAGCCGGAGTTGGGAAATGAGAGGAAGCATGTGATGACAATGAAGCGCTCGCGAAGATTAACGGCGGCAAAGACGATGAACAAATGATGTCTTGTCAAGTATTATTGGATTACAGTATTATCCCTTGAGCAGCACGATGGTCAAGCTCTATTTATAGCTTCCGCATACCAGGCTACGGTTACTATTAAGCGCTGAAGGGGAACGATAGGAAAGCGGGGTACGGCCAAGGAGTGGTATGGGCTTTGAACGGCGCAAGCACGTCAATACGTGGGTTTTTTGGGAGTGAATAGTGTTGAGGGACCTAGAAGTGACGAGGCCGGGTTATGCTACCGGAAGTAGGCACCCAAAATCAGAGTAGAGTGATGCTCTATGAATACAATGTAGTTGGGTGGCGATCCAGTCAAGGTCGGATCAACGTACGGCCGAAGCCTTCTATTGTGCTGGTGCCTATTCCACAAAGTTCATGATTAGATAGCTATTCCAAGTGCTCTACAAAGCAGCAGCTATCAGCTGCTCAAGACTTAATTTGGATCAGCGGCATTGAGGTCTGTTGTCTTCACAATCATAAAAGAAGTTATGGAGTTCAGGCTCAACTATCATCTTAGCACGGGAGAAGGCGGAGACGAAATAAGATACAGTGTCTGCCAAGTGCTTATTGAACATCAAGTTCCCCACGTTGTATGGTTTGAAGACACTCTCGTTCACTACGGTGTCCCTACTACTGTGTTTGATCTGTATATTCTGGTCAAAGATATTGAGTTGGCAGCCAATCTTCTGGCTAAGGCCGGGTGGAGTTCCGATATGCAATTACCACATCTCGTTGGTAATGCAAAGGTGGACTTGGTGGACTTCCCTCAACAGCGCTTGATATCCCCAAAGGGCCAGACGAGAACTGTCCTCCTTCCTGCGGCGGACTGGAGGTTTTCTTTAACACACAACGCTCGATTGGAATGGGTGCCTTTAGAGATCATGCCGTCGCTCAAGGTGCCATTTCCGCCACTGGCAAGCTTTCTGGATGCGCTGATCGAGAGCTGGCTAGAATGTCCCAGCAGTTATGAAATGCTATCACTCGTTTTGGCTTGCCAAATCTCTTATCTCTACGCGCATGTTCCAGCTTTGAAAGAGAAGTCGTTTGCCGAGCAGCTGAGACTTGAACATCGTCAGTTTCACTTTGATGTGTTGGCAGGAATGGAGACCGGCACAATTCCGTTTCGGAAACATCAGCTAGCAATTCGTGATGCGCTGTTACAGGGCCAGTATGAATTGCGAGAGTGCTCTGCTTCCCGTGACAATAAAGATTTGTTTGACCCTTTTGGAGGGATCAGTTTTGAATCGGTTAAGGAGGAGGAGCACGATGATAATTCTCATAAGTCCCACATAGATTGACTTCTAAGGGGGTCTATTACTGTCAAGCATCTATCAATGGCCATATTTCAATATCTAAATTGCCCTGATATCCTTGGTTTTCCTGAGGTTCGTGGCATATCGGACCGGGATCGTGAGATCATTTGAACAGGAAAGGTTATCGCGTCATACCATTACGGACTAGTTGCTCCCATACGAATGGTAGTTGCACATAGACGAATGAATGAGTAGCCTTTATGCTGAGAGCGATAATGCGACCGACACCACCTGCATTGATTGGGACGCCGTCATCACGACCCCACCCCGACCTGCCTGTAGGGACGCAACACCTCAAGCAAAACTGCCTAGCTGGGGTATCGATACTCTGGGAATGTCGTAAGCGAGGCTATATTGGGAAGTTATCTACCATGTTGTGCGGACATGATGCATTTGGTGATTTGTCAAGCAGAATGGTATGTCAGCTTAGATGGTACATACGCCTCAAACTTGATCTGATTACCCCAAGACGTGCCGGGCTCCTGTGGAATAAAGAATCCAGACCTTTCTTCTCGGAACACAGGGTCATGCTACCGCCTCACTCCCTAGGAGCCTTATGAAACGAGCGCTGCCTGATTTTGGACAAAACATCTGGAGCTGAAGAAAAGACTGTTGAAGCTTCTGACATAATAACTCTAATCGACGAAAATAAGAATGCGGCCTATCATGGTTTGTGTCACAGTTTGTCAGTCTTTCCTCACAGTCAGACATCAACCGTCGGAGATCTTATGGAAGTTCAACGTCTGGACGCCCTGCGGTATGACGCTCTGCTCCTGGAAGTTGACCTAACGTTACATAGATGCTTCTCAAAAGATGACAGAGAACAAGCTTGTCATTAGCGTCAATTTGATCCATGATAAAATTGTTTCCAGAACAAGCCGATGACACTGCCACTACCTGCTCAATTCACCATCTCGGTGTCAGCAATGCTACCCGAAAGTTGCACAGTCCATCATGCAGCACCGTTATCATCTTTGTGCTGCCATGAGCTTACGCCTCGGAAAATGTCGGACGCAGTCTGGCAAAAAATGACACAGATGTCTAAGGCTGTGTCATATTTGTAGCAAGCAATCTATTATAAATACGTGCTTCTCTCCTACTATATCTCTATCATCACCAGCAACCACACAGTCAAGGAGCAAAGAAAACATTTAGTAAACAACTACATAAAGCATCAAAACCATTCAAAAAAAATGAAGACCCAAATCCTGGCTATTTTGAGCGTTCTGTTCGCTCTGGCTCCCGCCGTAACCACCACGTCCAATGTGAGTAGATTCTTCTCTAGCAAACAAACGTGAAGTCTGCTAACTCACCAAAGAGCACTCAGAATGTGACCGACATCATCAACCACATCCCCCAGTCGCCCAACGGAGTCCTGTTTCTCGGCAACGACGGCGTTTTGAGATCCGTCGACGCAGCCAACCGGGTGGTCTCCTACCAGCAACTGAGCCCGCAGCAAATCAGCCAGTACATCCAAAATCTGCCACAGCGGGATGCAGCCCGTCTTCAACGCGTGTTCCAGGGCGTTGACGGCCGCAAAGTTACGGACCTTGACCAGCTGCTCAACCCTGATTCTGACCAGCTACCGTCCAGGGCGCCCAGCAGCGTGTCCCAGTCACTGCCCACGGGCACCCAAATGGCAAGCCAGGATATGTGCAGAACTGTCGATTGCACCTCGCAGAACACCTGTCGCCAGAATGGATGCAATAGCTGTCTTCAGGCATACCAGATGTCCAATGGCTACTGCCATTAGCTAATTGTTGAGACTGTGGCGTGAGAGTGATTGTCTTGCCTACAGGTCTTCAAATGGGTCCTGTTTCGCTTGTTTGCTTGCTTGTTTGTTTGTTTGTATGCGGGCTTGTAGTGCCTCTTGTCAGTGTTTGTCTGGGTTTGGCCGACACCCGGGTGATGGCAGTCAGTCTGCGCAAAAAATTGTGTTTTGATTCTTTTGTGTCTAGTCTGTCCTTAATTCAGCTTATCGAAACAGGATTATATGCACTTAAAACAGAGCCTGTCCAGAGTGAACGACGAGATTTCAGTAGAAAGTATAAGTGCTAGATGCACTTTCCACGCTAGATACAATCGACACTTGAAGAAGTCGGGTCAAACTTGGAAGCAACCTGTTGAACGAAAATTGAAAAAGAAAACAAACGGATAACGATGGGTACGCTAAGAAAGACCAATACCGTTTCGTCAATTCTTCCTTTGAAAAAGAGGCATGCCTTGCAATGTCGTCTCTGAAAACTATACCAGGGACGCATAGGTAATACACAGTGTGGTGTGATGTCATCGAGCTTCCGGCGAATCTACACCTCAACTCCATAAATAGAAATACGGGATTGCACAGCCTTTCCAGGACATTTGCAACCAAAGTCTCCACCGAGTCTATTTGCGATAGACTAGAGCCGAGGTAGAGCCGAATCTCGGCTTGCCGGCCTGGTGGGGTCAGCGGCTATATACTCACCCGGCTCAACATCATCATGTTTGAGAACCTCAAGTCTCCGCTGCTGCCTGATCTTAAATACAAATTGAGCTTCAATAGCACATTGTCATAGGACAATTAGCACATTACTTTATCAGAGCAATTTGTATATACCGGTAACGTCCCCCCAGTCTTCACTTAGTCACCGTATCGCTAACAGGCGGCCGTCAGTCCCTACGCCGAATATCTCAACCCCGCATCAACTAGCAAACATGCCGCCACGTCTCCCTGAAGGAGGTAAAACCCTCGTTTACTTCACTGTAGATGGCCACGATGTCAAGCTTGACTACTACCTACCACCCAATGCCAGCGGGAACCTCCCCGCCATCATCTACTACCACGGTGGCGGCATGACCGCCGGCTCCCGCCGGGGCATGGGATTCCCGCACTGGCTATACAGTACGTCCTTCCACCTAATATTTCAGATACCGAACCAGACAAATAGAATATCTAACACAGTAAATAGACCACTGCCAACAAAAGAACTACATCTTCATCTCCGCCGACTACCGTCTCTGCCACCCCACCACAGCGCTCGACCAGATTGAAGACGCGAAAGCCATGTTCCGCTTCCTAGCAGGAGACTTCCAGAACTCCCTCCCAGAAGGCACAACCCTCGACACCACCCGCGTCGCCGTAACCGGCTTCTCTGCAGGCGGATACTCCGCCCGCGCTGCCTGCATCTACGCGACCCCAAAGCCCGCCGCCATGCTAACCGGCTTCGGTAGCGCCGGCGACTGGCTCCTCGATCACTGGACGACCGGCCGTCCTCCCACTTCCATTGCCAGCAAGGTGAACTTGGACGAAGTCCCCAAGCTACTGGCCGACAAGACCGTCGTCAGCGACGACATGCCCCAGGATGGGGGTATGATGACGAACCGGTTTGCGCTGACGGTGCGGTGGGAACTGGACGGGACGTTCCTAGATGGATGTTTGGGGAGGCCTGGGCTAGGTGCGGAGTTGAATAAGTTGGAGTATGCGCAGCGCGCGGCTGCTATTCCGGAGGACTTGAAGCCGGCGTTCTTGCAGTTGCATGTGACCGGGGAGCATCCGCCTGCAGTGTTTGTGCATGGGACGGCGGACGATGTGGTACCTGATAAAGAGAGTATCAACCATTATGAGCAGTTGAAGAAGTTGGGTGTTAAGACGGAACTTTTGCTTGTTGAGGGGGGTGCACATGGACTGATGGATTTCAGTCAGGGATTTCCGCCCAAGCCGGCTAAGGGGTCTATGGAGGCGTATAACAGGGGGTTGGAGTTTATTGATGAGGTTTTTGGCCGGGTTTAGAAATTCTGCTGATAAAATGTCGATAAAAAGACCGTATGGAGGGTTAAGAGCATAGTATGGATTTCACAATCCTATTTTAGGTATCGAATATAGATGATCTCGTGCAGAGCAGCTCTGACGTGGCTCACTGTTGTATATCACTTCACAAAAAGGGTGAATGGCTGAGACACTAGACTCTTCGGGGGAATGGGATTTATGAATATTCTGCTACCCTCAAAGAACATATAAGTGAATGATGTATATGACAAAGCACTACGTTCACCTTTTGAAGAATGCGATCGTGTATCTGCCACCAGTGTGGGGTGCAGGTGGAGAATCGTGCAGGATGAGGTGGAGAAGTGGTAAGCTTGCTGCAGCATCTCAGCCTTACCAGGGATATTGGGCCCTCGTGCGGTCTCCAAGAAAATGGTACAGATATAAGAAATTGGACGCTCGAATCGCCTTCAGATCACTGTCTATGTTCGAACCGCTACCAGAAGGTCTCCAAACCATACAATCAAGGACTATATACCCGGAATCCCCCATGCAGATCACCTCTACACTGCCTCCAGCCATTTACATAGAGCCCTTCTAATCATCCACTCAGCCCACCAGCCAGTCTACCCCACACCCTACACACATATACATATCTGGGTAGTAGTTTAACACCACGCCAAGCTCAATTCACCCCATCACCCCCATACTCCGCCCTGCGACGAAGCTGGTAGTTTTCCTCCTTCAACCGATCAATCTCGCGCTCATACTCCTCTAAAGAATCCGCACTAGCGGATTCCAACTCCTCGATAATCTTAAACACGCGCCACAACCGCAAAACCACGACCAAGGAACCCAGTTCCTCGACCAACCCTCTCATGGCCACATCAATGGCGAAAGCAACAATGATCACAGCTGAATCGAAGATGTGGAACTTGGATGAGAAGTAACTGCGATGATATCGTTAGCTAGCTGCAATGCCTCAACTACACTCTAGCCCTGTGAAGTGACGAAAGTGTGGGGCAAAATATGGCAAAAGACCTACCTCATCCCAAAACTCCCCACAGCGACCACCAATTCAAGCATAAACAGACACGAAAACACCAGCCCAGTGATACTCAGCGCCTCCTGAGCATCTTCCCACCCGGAAGGCACATGCTTGTACTTCTTCTCCAGTTCGCAGACGTGAATTTCAATCAAGAAATCAGCAAAAACACAGGCAACATCTACAGAGACAAGGAAAAGGACGAGGTAGTGACCGAATCGGGAGGAGAGGTAGTTGCGGGCCGACCGGCGGCAGCGTGCAATGAGGGGCTCGGTGGATTGGGTGTTTTCATCGTCGTCGGGGAGATAGATTTGGCCTGGAGGGAGTGGTTGGGCTTCGGAGGCGAGAAGAGGGTCGCTTGGAGATCGCATGGTTTTTGTTTTTGTGGGGGTGTTTTCTTGGTGAAGATGGGTGAGGTTGGGAGGATGGAGAAAAAGATGAGATTGTTATGATGGGGAGAGGTGGCTTGAATGGGTGGAGCGATCCGGTGGTCCGGGTAGATGAACTATCCAGACGGTCGCGTGGTGAGATTTTATTTGCTGCTCGGTTGGCTGGAGGAAAGCTTATCGTGTTCAAGATGCAGCGTGGTGCAGTTCTTGGCGTTGCTTTTCAGGTGGTGAGTGTGGATGCCTGGACATGTATGTAGTAGAGTCCTTTGGTTTATTTGGGATTTTTCATTTTCTTTCCCCTTTCTTTGTGCCAAAATACTCGAGAATTTGTGGTCAATCGACTGGATCAGACCTATATAGTCTTTTCTGAATCTAGAGTGATATGCTTGCTTTTGTTGAGATCTTTACTTTTCCTACTTTTCTTTTCCCTTACCGGTTTTTCTCACCGTAGCCATCTACCAGTTTGTCTTGTGTGCCTTCTCTACAAACGCATGCAGCTTCACTTAGGCGGGAAAATTCAAACTCTTTCAAACAATTTAAATCAAATTTATCTGACATTCACTACCCAGACACTTCGAGTTACCTAAAGAGTGAAGCTTGAATACATTATTCAACAACCTCAATTCCCGTTCTCCCTCGCCTTCAACTCCCCACGCACCTTAGGCAGCACATACCGCCCATAATCAATCGCATCATTGAGATTGTCATACCCGCGGATAGAGATCAATTCGGCACCCAAATCCACATAATCCAAAATCGAATCCGAGATAGTCTGCGGCGATCCGACCAAAGCTGTGGACGCTCCGCGCGCATTCGTCGCCGTGACAGTGGGATACCAGAGCGCGCGGTCCTGGACCTCCCCACGCGCCGCAATATCCAACAGACGCTGGGACCCAACATTTTGCGGCGGCGGAGCATTGGGCGGCGCCTTACCCTGCCCGTTCGCGCGATGCTCCTTCAACTTATCGAGCGTCTGATACGCCTTGGCCCAGGCCAGCTCATCTGTCTCAGCAATAATAGGTCGGAAAGTCACCCAGATACGGGGGCGATCGTTTGGTGCACGACCGGCGCGTTCGGCTTCGGCATAGATCCGATCGATCTGTTCCTTGGTTTCCTTGAGCGGCTCGCCCCAGAGACCGAAGATATCGGCCAGAGAGCCGCCGACGCGGTAGGCTTCATCGGAGGAGCCACCCACCGAGACGGGGATGGTCCCGTTGGGGTTGGCAGGACGGACACGGTTGCTGAATTGCTTGAAGGTGTAGTATTCGCTCTCCCAGTCGAACGGCTCATCGGATTCCCAGGCTCGGCGGAGAATGCGGATGTATTCTTCTAGTCGGCCGTAGCGTTGGGACTTGGTGAGGAAGTCACCTTCTTTAGCTTGCTCGGCATCGCTGCCGCCGGCGATAAGGTGGACTACGGCGCGTCCTCGACTGAGCTGGTCTAGGGTAGCGAGGGCTTTGGCGGCGACAGTCGGGTAGAGGGTGTTGGGGCGGAGGGCGATGATGATCTTGAGGTTCTTGGTCACCGACGCGATAGTGGCTCCGACGGTGAAGGGGTCGAAATAAGACGAATCATATGGCACGAGGGTATAGTTGAAGCCATAATCGTCTAGGGATCGCGCATATCGGACGAGGTAGTCGGGGTCAATAGAGGCGTTGGGGATAGGCGCGACCTCGGTCGAGGCGTTGGGGAAGGTAAGGCTGATGAATTCAGTAGGCATGGTGAAAGATGATCTATAGTCTATGCAATGACACGGCGGCACTGATCAGGATGAACATAGCATTTATAATCTTCGGAGGGGATGTACATCTTGCCCTGAACCCCGCATGGATGCGCTGCGGTGCACTGAGATGACGCGAGACACTAGGCGATCACGCCTTACATGGCCGATAACGGTCGGCAAATTCACACATCCGAGTGGACAGATGAGGTTGTTGAAGTCGTCATTCTGGGATGGCATTATGCAACTCAGGATAGATGATTGACACCATTTGGAAGGCTCTTTTGACTGGACGTGCTGTGAGGGATCGGGCCATCGGCGCGCACATACATCCCCTATCGAAAGTCTAAGCTTGACAATCAAAATAATTATTGAGCCACACCATCAAGCATATTGGCTGATTTAATCTGATCTCGGATATACCGGACGCTATCTTATGTTTTACTAATCATAAATACTCCCTGGATTATGATGCGTGATAATGCTTACAATTCCCACCATTAGCATGTACTGTGCAGAATAATGGTCCATCACGCAATTATCATAGGGGACGAGTATACATCTTTGTCTACTCGAGGGGACTCTTCATGGTCCTGACCGGGATTCACGTTTGCGGACTATATCTGTTCGAGGCCATGGCCTATTTGGATAGCTCAGTTGCACTGGGTATGAAGTCTATCTCACCGACCTGAAGCCAGAGGCTACTTTCAGTTACAATGGTAGTGGACTAATTCTAGAGGTAAAGTTCCGATGTGTATGAATTGTTATAGTGGCTCAGCCACATTGATTTTAGACACTGATTGCACATTGAAAGGAAGAATAATATAAATAACGAATTCGAAGACTGGAAACCAATGACACCTTCAGTAAGTCATGTTGGAAGGCCACCCTTCCAATGAGACTGGACCTAGACCCAATTTGGACGGTGCTCATACGTACTAGCCGATGTTTGATAGTTTTGTTCAGTGAATTTGGTCTCCTGGCTTGATGTAGTTTCTTGACGCCCAACCTCACTCCCAGTTCAAATAGTCGCTTCCCTTCCGGAGATTCGTTCTTTTTTACTTCGGTGAATAGAATCTCTGATATACATCATGCCATCAGATTGCAACACCGGAACTCCTAGGTCTCACGAAGAACATGGAGATTGCGGTCGCGGTGGTCGCGGTGGTGACCGTGACCGTGGTGGACGCGGTGGCTGGAGACCCAGAAGAGTATGTGTTATAACCCATCCATGATGAAACTAAGTCATTCCAGCTTCATGCCAATTTGTTAACAAGGCTCGAATGCAGTGCCGGTTCTGTGGCCGCGGGGGCCATTTGATCGCAAACTGCTACCTATACCGCGGGATAGAGATACTGGTATGTTTCATCCATATTACCTTTTACTCTAATTCTGTGGATTTTATCAAGCTCACTTCTTACAGGGAGCCAGACGCGTTGCGGTTAGCTAAATAGGAAAGAAAAGCATACAATGCAAGAAACTAATTTATATGATTAGATCGAATGGCAACAGAGGCTTCAGCGCCGCCGCTACCGTGTTAGTCGTCTGCATATCAATACATTGTATGGCATTAGACTAACCATTATTACGGCAGCACGGTCAGCAGTACAGGCACCAGAACAGCAGCTACCAAGGCCACCATCACCAAGATCACCACAACCACCACCAGCAGCAACACCACCAGCACCACCAGCAGGCCCAACAGCAGCAGGCCCAACAGCAAGCGCAGGAGCACTTGGAACTACGAGAAGAGCAGGGACAGCGGGGCCAGCAGCAGAGACAGGAAAGACAGTAGATAGGACATCCGGGGATATGTGTTCTCGGTTCAAGGGCCATAGTGCGACGGTATCTCTATTAAAAATGGCATGCGCGTGCGGATAAAATATCACCTCTTCTCAATGGACCCCATCCAAAACTATGCATACAACTTCCCTCAACTTACACGCGTCACGTTTCTCAAAGTTGACTGAACGGGAAACCTCCCCCCAATCTGTGTCATTGAAGTCGACCGGAAGTGAAAAATGATGGGAGATCATCAAACAACTGACGAAACGTGAGCATACTCATAGAGCATAGGCAGAAACTCTACCACATCGCTAGATTGATGCTATAGACAGGACTGCGCTGCTGTCCAGCCCGGTACATTTGGAACAGGCAGGCAGGGGGCAGTAGTTGCCTGTAGAATCAAGATAGTGGATGGAACAGCTAGTGTCTTACAAGGGGACCAAGATCGGCTAAGAAATAAGAAACATGAATGGATTCGAAATGATAGATACAAGTATGATGAATCATAGCGCAATTTCGTCCCCCAGAAACCTTTCTAATCATTATTTCTTCTGGTCGTTGTACTTCTTCTTGTACTTGTTGTCATTGTTGATGGTTATGACGAAGATGGCACGGTTGATAGTGGAAATTACATTCTCGAGGAAGTCAAGGATTAATGCTATCAATTCTGTTCTTGGCTTATGACAACTTTGACAGGCGTAAGTAGGATCTGGAGGAGTCGGTCAGGGGGGTATGTTCAGTAGAGACGTGAGGGGTGTTGCGCTGCTCCCGAAATAGCAGTGATCGTCTTCGTGCGGGGAAGGCATTCCTCCGCATGTTTGTTCTTTCTTCCTCCCAACAAGTCTTCGTTGGTAGTTAGTTTTCCAATATCCAAAAAGAAAATCAATTGATATTGTGACATAACAAGGGGCATATCATTACTTTAATATGTTCGAAGGTGGTGAGAATCGAAGATAAGTAGGGATGGTCCTGCTTATCGCTCTCGGATCTCGGCCTATCTCCATCTGCAAGGGCGCACGGCCTGAACATTCATCGCCAAGGAGGGGCACCATCCCCTCTTTTTAAAACCCCATCCCCACGCCCTTTTTCCACGAATATGCACTCTCATCGTTCACCCTTCCGCTACTCAGCTCCCTTTTGAAACGCAAATCATGTATACTCCCCGAATCGGCGACCGGCTCTCGAGCCTGGATACCCCCTCAATGATCGTCGATCTCGACTTGATGGAATCCAACATCCAGAAACTCTTCTCCGCTCTCCTCCCCACAGGACTGAACATTCGTCCGCACCTCAAAACCACCAAGTGCGCTGCCCTAGCAAAGAGGCTCGTCGCTGCGGGTGCCAAAGGCTGCTGCGTCGCTAAGGTCTCAGAAGCCGAGGCCATCACAGCCGCCGGATTCGACGACATTCTGATTACCTGCGAGATTATCGGCGCACCGAAAGTCCAGCGACTTGTTGAATTGGTGAAGAAACACCCGGGGCGACTGCGTACCGTGGTGGATAGTGAAGTCGGGGCTACGGCCATTGATGAGGCATTGGAGAGAGAGGGAATAACGACGCCCTTGGCGGTTCTGATTGATTTGGATGTCGGACTGCACCGTACGGGCGTGGCTGATACGAAGGCGGCACTGGCACTGGCGAGACATCTGGCTGGCCTGAAGCATTTGAAGTTGATCGGAGTGCAGGGGTATGAGGGACATGTGCAGCATATGCATAGTTATGAGGAGAGACGCCAGGAATGTTTGGCATCAATGAAGATATTGACGGAGACGACGGAGGCGCTGCGCAATGAAGGCTTCCAGATCGATGTGGTCACTGGAGGTGGGACGGGAACGGTGGAGTTCTGTGCCTCCGTGCCCGGGGTGACGGAGTTGCAGCCGGGGTCGTTCATTTTTATGGATACGGATTACCGGAATGCGATTGGGAGGCGGTATTCGAACAGTTTGACCATAATATCGACAGTTGTGAGTCGGCAAGGGGAGAGACAGGTTACAATTGATGCGGGGTTGAAGTCGTTGACTACGGATAGTGGGTTGGCAGAGTGTAAGGATTCGAGATACACGCATCAGAATCTGGGTGATGAGCATGGTGCGCTGAGTTGGGACGAGGGGACGCCGGATTTGAAAATTGGGGATAGGGTGGAGATGGTCCCGAGTCACATTGATCCGACGATCAATTTGCATGACTTCTATTATGCTCATCGGGGTGGAGTCATTGAGGAGATCTGGTCCGTGGATGCTAGAGGGAAGGTTCAATAGATAGCGTTCTTCGGATAGAGGTTCTACTACCAACAGACTACAATTCTTTAATTAAGTCCTTCTGCATGCCACACCGTAATCCTATCGATCACACTTTCAGGTTTAGAATAAGAGTTAGTATGAATGATTGGAGATGTATGTGCCGAAAGCGTTAATAGGACAGACTTGCTACCGTAGTTGGCCTGTTCTACGGTCTTTGATATAGTGCAGCATACTGGATTTTATCTCGCAGTAGGAAAATTCACTAACTCAAAGATAGCCGTATCCTTGTAGAGAAAACTATGGATCTCATAATAGAATTTCTGCATGCCAAGAAGAATCATGTCTACAACCGAATTCTCAAGAAGATTCTCGTCAAGCTCATGTTAGACCACAGAGATGTATACGAGAAGAGCTCGAGTTGTGTCTTCCAAGTACAGCCAAGATGCTGGCTGCTTGATCTTTAATACTCCTTTAAGTCGGACTTTTGATTTATGCAGAGAATGAGAAATATAATGGAGGTAGTTCCCTGAAACCGGTGTGGGTCTTATTTTTCTTCCAGCTGTGGCAATACCATCCATTTCAGCCCCCACCACTAAAAGTGGATTTGGTAACCGGGCCGTCAACCATTACCAACGTTATCTCTTTCCCAGTAGATAACTCTTATCATTCATCTCCAGTATATGCATTGAAGCTGACTTGCTCGGGGCATAGAATGACTGACTCATACCGTTCTCAGTCCTCCTCCTTGATCCATGTCTTCTGCTGATATGTGACTCCGCGGCAAGCACCGCTCGGATATTCCGTACCCTGACGGAGTTGACCGATAGCTGGCGATCACTCCCGATGCAAGTAGAAACTCAGAGCCTTGACAAACCACTGACATATGCAATGGATCTTGCGGGGAAAAGCATCGAGACCCTGAACGGTCCTGCGGAAGGGTCTCTCACTTCCCGTCTCCCATCTTCCACCATGTAGATCCTTAGATCCTTCCTCCCCACGAGAATATGTTAACGTAGATCAAGATGTCTTCTCCAGGCTCACGGGGAACGGCGACCGCCGACAGCCTCAGATCTAGCAGTCAAGTGCTTGGTTATGCTTGACTACTCGATTCTTCACGGAAGGCGTGCGGGGTGGACCAGGGCACAGTCAGATGTCAGATCCTGGCCCACTGCTTCCGCTGTGGATCATGCCGAAACAGCCAGGGCGTCCACTAGACATGGGTCGGTGGAGAGTTGCACCGGGTGCCCTCATGATCGGACTTCAGGACTCTTCTGGACCAATGTTAAAATGTAATTCGGGATACACTTCGGGTGCAGGCCCCGGACTCTCCATACCAGCACCTTTGACTTGTTTTGAAAGACATCAACACACACCTTTCACGTTTCTGCTGGAATTGCATCCATGCCGAGTTGAAGGATTCGATCGTCGGGCCTGACCCCGAGAACGGCCTAGCAGGGTTACATTGTGTGTCTAGCCTCATATAAACCGGCGGACGGCATGGAGGCTAAGAAAGCGGCCCCCATCCATTCCTTCGCATCCTTCAGTCTTCCCGCTGATGGCTCTCACCCAGGCCATTCAAGTCATCTCCGACTCTCAACTAAGTGCATTGAACAACGGGTGGCGAGGCACATTCGTGTGCGACACCCAGTTCCTGTTTGCAAGTTCACGCTATTCGTAGGATGTTGGTCTCCGGCGTCCGTCATCATAGTAGGATGCGAATGAGCATCCTTCCTCACAGCTGAGCGGCTCAACAACGATGGCAAAGGATTATTCGCACGGTCGTATTCGAAACATTGACCCGTTCAGCTCGATTTTCAGACCGGAACCTGATCCTCAATTCGTTGAATTTCAGTGGCAATGTGCATTAGCGCTTGCGAAGATTCGTCAGACAATTCGGCATTCATGAAAGGATGACTTTGTTGAAGAGACCAGACCTCTTGTGATGGTAATGGTGCTATTGATGTACTTTTGGTAGTGTACTCTGAGGTGCACCATGAGGCTTCACCTGGGGCCAAACATCACATCGGTGGAGGTATAAAGGGGATGGGAAATCCACGGCATACAGCCCCTCTTGCCAGGCCATTAAGTCTCTTTGACATTCTCACTTGAAACCCCAAAAAGCTTCGTTCATCATTATTTCACCATGACTATTGAAACTTATCAATTTGGCGCCTTCAAGTCACAGAGGACGGATGTTCTCATTGTTGGCGCTGGTCCCGCTGGATGCATGGCTGCGGCAACGCTGCAAAGATACGGCATCGATTTTTGCCTAATTGACAAAAGGCCCACGAGAACACAGACTGGGCATGCAAGTGGTATGCGAATGAAATCCCCTTGTGTTGACGTGACAAGAAAGCTGATCATTCCATCAAGCATTCCAACCTCGAACCCAAGAGATTCTGCAGACGATGAATCTACTACATGATCTTGACAAGAGAGGACACCGTCTTACCGAAACTTCTTTTTGGATGCGTGATAGCACAGGCGCCCTAGTCAGTAACTTCACCGGTGCTGAGGTAGTCCATGGTAAGTTCTTCCGCAGACTATGAGGTGGTTATATGACATTCGACGTAGCTGACTTTGTGAAAGCCACGCCTTACCAGTACCTTTTCAATACCGACCAAGGCATGACGGAAGACGTCTTTGAACAGTACTTGAACACCAAGGGGCAAAAGGTCCAGCGGTTCATGGAACTTGTTCACTATGAACACAGCTCAGAACCCGAATGGCCACTCACAGCGTACATCAAGAATAATGCTAGTGGGGCCATTGAAGCATGGCAGACGAAGTACATCTTAGGTACCGATGGGGCGCGAAGCGCTACACGCCGAGCTACCGGTGTGCAATCATCCTCGCAGGGCGGCGAGGACGTTTGGGCTGTCGCGGACGTTTATGTTGATACAAACTTTCCCGATTACAGAAGACGTTGTGCCATCCGAACTCCAGATGGTGGCTGCATGTTGATCCCCCGCAAAGATGAGGGACTCCGGATTTTCCTGCAGGTGGATGAGAAAAGTCAGGAGCACCTCAACACAAACGGAGCTTCGGCACAAGATGCCCTTACTGGAAACAGCGCTTTCAGACTCACCCAGACCGTCCAGTCCCACATCAGCAAGGTCATTCATCCTTACAAGATGAATATCACAGACATCGTTTGGATTAGCCAGTATCGTGTGGCCCAGCGGGTTGTTCATAACTTCAGTGATCCGACCAAGCGAGTTTTCCTCCTTGGAGACGCATGTCACACACATAGTCCTAAAGCAGGACAAGGAATGAATGTCAGCATTTCAGACGCATACAACCTCACATGGAAGCTAGCACTGGTCATGAAAGGTGTTGCAAAGGCATCTTTGCTTGAAACGTACGAACAAGAAAGGCTTTGGGTTGCCCAGCAGCTTATTGAATTTGACGCCTTGTTTGCCCGTCAATTTGGACAAAAGGATAAACTTGACAGTCAGAACCTCCGCGAAACATGGGAAATGGGACATGGCTTCACAAGCGGGTGTGGGTATGAGTACCCTCCAAACTTACTTGTTAACCGCGATGTCCGGACTTCAATCAACAACCAAGTAGTGGAACCACTCACGCCGGGCAAGCGTCTCTTACCTATCGATCTGATCCGACACATCGACGGCAACCATGTTCGCATGCTCGACATCATGCCATCCAACGGCAGGTTCCATCTCTTCATTTTTGCCGGCAATGACCTATCTTCGCCTGCCCTCCAGAGTCTCGGAAATGCTTTGGACTCACCTCATTCACCACTGAGTCTCTTCAATCTTCTGCCACTGGAACTTATGCAACGTTTCCGTCATGAGGACATCACAACGGACTCCGTTCCATTCACCAACAAGGCATATGTTCTTGATCTTTTCCTGATTCATTCACAGAATCACCTGGATACCCAACTGGGAGATATCCCTGCTCCATTTTCCTCGAAATGGCCCATGAACGTATATTCTGACTTTTCTGGGGCTGCAAAAAGCCAGCTCGGTGTCCCTGAAGACACCGGTGCTTTGGTGGTGGTGAGACCAGATGGCTATATTGGACTTGTCACTGGCTTGGATAATGTTGAGGACGTGACGTCTTATTTCGATGGCTTCATGCACCGGCGCATTTAGTGGTCACGAGAAGCCACTGAAAGGGAAGGGGGAAACGGGTTTCTGTGAGAAGCCGGCGACGGCCAGCTAAGAATCCTACAACACAGTCAATATCAAAGTTGTGTCTGTCTATAAATTGATTGTTGCTCAGTATTGAATTCCACTGTAGATAATTAGGTTCTCATGTCGTAACTCACAAGACCGGGGCCTTTATCCGATCTCTAACAAAAGGAGGAAAGGTTATCCGCATTTGCTCGATATTTATGGATATAAGGCCACCTGTCTCGAGAGAAGACGCACTATAGTAACTGAGACAATGACATCTATCATAGATCTTCTAAATGGCGCATCACGTTACATCGCTATCAGTACCCTTGTATATTGCCTTATCCGACAGTCTGAAGCTTATCCATTGAAAAGATAGCGGCACCATCCGTGAGTTCAGGCCTCTCCGGACGTCGGAGGTGCCCGACTGCAGCACAGACAACAAGGAAGTGCCTGAGTGATATATCAACAACTGAGATCGCGTTTCTCGAACCGTACCATCTCGTCTTGGAACAAGTATCTTTGTTAATAATCAAACCTTCAACATGTACGGCCTATCCGATGCACAATATGGCAAAGATAACGTTCGACTATACAAGGTCCATCGTGATGCAGGCACGGGTGTGCAAACTGTATACGAACTGACAGTCTGCGTCTTGCTGGAGGGAGACATAGAATCTTCGTGAGACACTCTTCAGAACAAATCACAATCCCAAAAATGCCAACTAACAACCAAGCAATAAGTTACACCAAGGAAGACAACAGCGTTCTTGTCACTACAGACGCAATCAAGAACACATGCTATATCGTTGCCAAACATAACCCCGTCCACCCTCCAGAGCTATACGGCTCGATCCTCGGGAAACACTTCATCACTCAATACAGCCACATTCACAGAGCCCACATCGACATAACCTGCCATACCTGGGAACGAATGACGATTGAAAACGGGCCACACCCGCATTCATTCTTCCAGGACGGGAGCGTCAAACGGCAGATCCGCGTGGATGTTACCAAAGCTTCAGGCATCGATATCACGTCGGCTATTTTTGGCCTCAGTGTATTGAAGAGCACCAGGTCGGAGTTTTGGGGATACATCAAAGACGAATACACAACGTTGCCGGAGACATGGGACCGCATTCTGAGTAGTGATGTTGATATCAAGTGGAGATGGAAGCATTTCGAAGATGTTTCGGACGTTGAAGCGAATGTCTCGCATTTCGTTGAGGCGTTTGCGAAGGCGAGAGACGCATCCTTCAAGGCGTTCGCGGAAGATAATAGCATGAGCGCGCAGGCGACCCTGTACAAGATGGCTGAGAAGTTCTTGGACTGTGTTCCTTTGGCTGATGCTGTGGAGTATTCTTGGCCTAATAAACACTATGTGGAGATAGGTAAGCTTCCGCAACGTTTCGGCGTCTTGGGTGCATACTGCTTCCTTCTGGCATACTAACATTGAATGTTGATAGACCTGAGCTGGCACAAGGGCATTCGGAACACAGACAAAGATGCAGAGGTGTATTTGCCGCAATCGGCACCAAATGGCCTGATAAAGGGGACTTTGACTCGTTCTACTCTCGATAAGAGCAGATCTGCGAAGCTTTGATCAGATTTGGGGAAGATATAGATGAAGAGCTGGAGTGATGGAGAGAGCTGGAGCTTAATAGAGTGTTGCGTATAGTATGTATTTACGAGTAACCTATGAAATCCATCTTGTGCAATCTTTCCTGACATACGTATCGTTCTGGTCGTCCTACCAACATCTACTTCCTCCATTTATACGTACATGCGACCAGGCATCGTGCCCAGCCATCTTTAATGAAACCCCAGGGTCTGATACGGCCGAGCCAATGCAATCTTAGTGGTGGATTGCTTCTAGCCCCGGGTAAATATCAAGCCACAGAACAGCCCTTAGTCCGCGCCTGTGTACAAAATGCCTTCTTATACGACTTTACACAACACTGCGCTTTCCAAGCAGAGACTCTAACGCATTAGATGTATATGGTTGCATACTACAAACAAGTACATACGACCATAGGGTGTGGAAAACAGGGCTTCCCGTCCGCTCAGCCGTACTCAAGCCACACGCCGGGAGGTTAGTAGTTGGGTGGGTGACCACCAGCGAATCCCTTCTGTTGTATGTTTTTCGCTTTTTGTGTTTTATTTCTTTGTCTAGAATTGCTTGCTTCTCTCGGGTGGATTTTTGATGTACGGAACATCTATGAGTCTGCATTATGTGTGGTGTGGCGGACTAGCTCACCAATGCGTCCTACCCGATGAGATAAACAGGCTTTGCGCGCATCGGGAACAATCTACTTCGGTTTCTTTAAATTCGAGAATAAATCTTTGCGGTCTCTTAAAATTCAGTAGTCCTCCCTCTAAGGGAACTCTTGGGGCAGTACTCAGTTTTGATCTAGAATTTACATCCAGGAAGGCAGTGTCACGCCAAGAAGACATCCATAAAACCTTGGGGCAACCGTAGTACGCGCATGTCCGTGAACGCAACGAAGCAATGTGAGTCATGATCTTGATGTAATGATTGGGGTATAGGAATGAAGGCAGTTAGCACTAACTCCCCATAATATGAAATGCTATAACTTCGTCATTGGCCGGGTACTGTGACCGGTAATTGCTACTAAGACGGAAAAAAGCAGAGAATTTGCAAACTTCTCCTATTTGGGGATATTCTTAATGATGTCTGGAATGGCTGAGTGTCTAAGTGGACCTCTCTTTGGCTTTAGAGAGTATGTAACGATCGCAAGTGGAGGAACTCTGGGAAACACTTATGATACCGCATGCAGACTGTACTGTTGCAGCATCTGTCCTGGGTGGGCAATAGATGAACCGATGGTTTGATTGTTATTCTTATGTCCGGAATATCCAATTTAGTGCATTTAGTGGTCAAAAAGTCTGTTTCTCACTCATAGAAACGGGAAATGGGCAGGCATGTCCCTTTTTCCCAGAGTATGATAGCATATAATCATATAGCATCATCAGTCCCTCATTTTCCTGTTTATTATACAATATCCTCACATGTGATTCTGTTTCCGGCAAACGCACAAATGCCCTTGGCCATCGCAAACTGTAGCGGCACATTCGTCGCAAGTACCAGGCATTCTCCGAGATTTCCTGACCATGTTCTTCCGAAGGATAGTCGAATGCTATGACATAGTTGATGCTACATACTTGGAGTCATGATATCAAATGCTAGATGGTAGTATTCATGTTCGCAAAAACCTTGAGGGTTTGCTATACCCTTTTCGGTCACTATGTGAATAGGAATGTGTAGTCAACCTCTTGCGAGATAGGCTGGGCAATGTCCTGGCCACTGACGGAAGCGTAGCCTGCAGCTCCCTAGCCGAATATAGTAAGCCCGAATGAGGGAGAGCATAAATTCAGTGACATCCTTCCACCGATCAGGCATCCATCGTCTTCATGTTGCTGGCATTACCAGCACCGATAACCCTGTCTCTCAAGAAAGGGATGTCTAGGTGATGAAATAGTGAAAACCCCTTCGAAACCTACTCTCCTCTGACTACAGCTAATAGGGGTCCTGTTTCTGTTGAATCCACTTGGCTTCAACCTTGCCTAGACACTCGTCTTTGAGGGCAGGAATTCCATACACGTGTAATAAAACGGCGGTTCATTAATACAAGGCACGTTATTTTCAAACGTGAAATATTACCACGGTATTCGGATCGGTAACCGACCGGAATTTGGCGCTAAGAAATGTCCAAACCTTATCGTCGAGGAGACAGCCGGGGCCCCAAATCCCCCAAGAACCCCCTTGCGTTGCCAGCTACGGACTGGGCAAGTGATAGACAAGTCATATCAATTAGAATTTGCGCTAACCACTGCTTACTTAGGGCTCATTCCAACTATTTTGGATCTCGTGCCAGGCATGATGGCGCCCTTGACTTCTTCTCTTCCTTGGTGGCTTGGAAGGATTGGTGGCAATACCTGCCATGATTCGAAGGGTTTGGGGGCTTTGTTATTTTTGCGATGGGTGCAGCAAGCCTTTGCAGTTTCATTCCCCTATGGGTGAGCCTTTGTTGACTTTTTTCTATTTTTTTTTCGGGTGCCTGCGTTACTTGGGGTTAGATTTCTGACGATTGTCTCTGATTCGGAGGGCCAATATGACCTCAGTTATCGGATATACTACTGCCCTGTGATTGCTAGATCACTGTGATGGAACCCCATTATTATAGACATAAATGATAGCTTATATTAGTACCTGCAGGGTAAACTGTACCACTTGCGTTCATTAAGCCATATCAATTGCCGTAGTATTTGTGACTAATGATCATATTCATCAACTTATGGCCTTCATGCTCTTCCTACTCTACCCTATAGTCTTACAGTTGACCCAAATAGTAGTTTTGAATCGTAATTGCTCTTTATCTGATTATTGTCTGGTTCTTATCGATATCAAGTATCTTTTGTCAGTATTGGCCTCTTTTGTCCAACTTACCATAATGTAGCGACGGAACACAACTACTATTTGTGCAGATATATATATATATATATATATATATATAGGCCCCTTCGTGGTATGTATTCTACCACATATAGTACTACAATCTCGGCACAAGCTAGCTATATAGTTCATATATTGCTCCTCAAATTTACTATAGGTGATTATAGATCTGAATACAATGTATATATCGCAACCAAACGTGTGTAATAGCCATACACTAGATAATAACATGCTACATACTGCCTAATATTACGGGTATATCGACCTGCACGTAGCATGCTCTAGACTTCCGCGGACTTATGCTGTTGAAATCTCACACATATACTTTGGTAATTGTATGAGCAGATTAAGATTGTGTGAGTGAGTACAAGAGTTCCAATGGAGCTTTCTAGGTGAAGAGTTGATCTTAAGAAGCATTGTGTTCGTTGTCATTGTAATCTACTATAACTATCCTTCATGACTAGCTATGAATGATCCCACGATAAACGTCAAGGTCTAGCTTTTCCCATTATAATAGGTCCCTGATAACACAAAGAGCTCAGCATCATGAGCTTCCCTGTGCTACAGTTACCGTAGGTATTATCCAGCCCCGAAATCATCTTCCCCTACAACCCGGCCACAAAGTCACAATGAAGTATACCCGTTTGCCAGGCGCAAAACATGTATACTTCGCCGTGGCTTCGTGGATGAGACGAAGAGAAGAGACGTGGTAGATGGAGCCGGAAACCAAACTACAACTCGCAGCCAAGCGAAGCTCTGGGGAAGAAAAGAAAAGAGAGATTGAAACTCAAGGGTGCCCGGTTTATATATTCCTCGAACGCTTAATCACTTGTCCTACTGCGCCGCGCAGTACCTCGCCGGCTCCAAGGCTTCGCATTCCTTGCCCGCTTTCAGACGGTAGTCCGTATTCGTGGAGTAAACTAACGCAAAAGCGAACTGACTCTCTGGGGTCCAAGGGGTGCGCAGTGAATACTCCAAGAAGATTTGGAATTCTGGGAAAAATTCCAAGACAGATTCTCATAGGATAATCGAGTGTCTGACAATATTCGGGGCAGGCAATTTGTTGCCTTGCCAAGGGTCAGATGAGAAGTATTTGCTGACATTCAGTACCTCGTATATAGAAACACCAGGAAATCATAGTATCGTCTAGCATTTTTAGCGTCCAATCTTGGCGAAGGGGCAATCTAGATACTGTCCAACCCCCGCATAGGACTTAGGGAGGCAAACATTGAGGATAGTTTACAGAGAATCACCGGAACGAGGGCTGAGACCCAACAATGAAGGGGGATTGACTGATAGTGCGACATAACACCGAAACATACGAGATCAGGATCAATGAAACTCAATATTCCCGGGTTAACTTGAATGGTTGCCATAGGCTTGAGTGGATTCCCTTGCCACCAACAAGCTTCTGTAGGAAAGCATGAATGGAGCTCATGCAAACGTGCCAAGCACATACATACACTGCGGATGAGAGGACTGCAAGGTACCATTCTAGCCTTCGCTTCCCCACAGTGGCTAAGAAAAAAAGTATTTCTAGCGAAAGCAGGTACAGTGTTGGCATAGGGTACTCCGTCAAGCTATCAAAGTCTCGTTAAACAGACCCATATACTACACTGGTACGATACAAGGGATGCATTCAGAGTCTTGAACTGGTTACATTGATACTCCTCGATCCACACTGAGCAAGGAATTTTCCTAGTTATCCATCCGCCAAGTCAGAATTCCAACTGTTTGCGTCTAGGCACACGCGTACATTCCCGTTCAGACCATCGCAGATCTATCTTCATATCCTTGGAAGGGTTATAGTCCAAGACACAATGCTGTAAAGACATCGAGGTTTAGATGATCGTCGTTAACTGGTATGGGGGAGCGAGAATTGGATTTGTCTCAGTCACAGTGACCCATAACTCAAGAATTTGGTAGGGGTTCGCAGCCATTCATGTACTAAACTTGAAAAGAAAAAGAGAGAGAGGAGTCTCCACCTCAAGCTATAAATCTCGTCTCAATCCCCTGCTAGATTTATCCTTCATCATCAAACATTCATTCGTTCATCAAAGCAATCCTTCTCTGCCTCTCTCTCTAAACACTCGTTTATATACAAGTACTCTCGTACAAGCTTCCAAGTACCTTTCAAAATGAAGTTCGCTGTCGCTGCTATCCTTGGCTTCGCCATGACTGCCGTTGCTATTCCGGCCGCTAAGGGAAGCCAGCAGAAGCTGTCCATCGACGACGCTTCCGGCCAATGCTCGATTGGGGACATCTACTGCTGCAATCCCGACAACAAAGAAGACTCCGACGGTGTTCTGACCAATGCACTCAGGGAGGGACTTCTTATTGGAAGTCTCGTCAATGGCAAGGGATCTGCCTGTGCTCCCACTTCGCTCATCGAGGATCTCGATCTGCTTGGTAAGCGTACATCATTTTCCAGGAGTGATAGCAAGAATCAGACTAACAAGCATTAGCCTTCTTCGAAAAGGGTCAGGATGGCGACAAGTCCTACTGCAAGAACACCATTGCCTGCTGCCCCAATGGAAGCGTAAGTCTATCATCAGCTAATGTGAACTCTTTTAGAAAGTAAAGCTTGCTGACTTGAACTCTTGTATGCAATAGTGCGCGGCCCTTGACGGATACTAAGGAGCCCCATGATCAGCTTTGCTGGCCTCGTGCAAATAACGCAGGCCCAACGGCAACAATTCGTTTGGGATCAAGCTTCGTGGAGCTTTCATCAGCTCCAGCCGCTAATCAATTTCGTGTTAATGGCCCAAGCGTCCTAGACGTTGATCGGCCGATGTACTTTTGGCTTCTGTGTCTCTTTAGACTAGAGTTTAGTTTAGCTTAATAAAAAGAAAGGGGTTTGTCCGTTTCGCACACAAGATTAACAGGATTCTAGCCTTTTCAGTGTATCGATAGATTTAGTACGCCTTCTAGTTTGCGGACACAGAAGCCCCTTTGTATAGGTCGGATGAAATTTTATACCAGTATTGTGTACACTTATTCACAGCTCAAAAGATAGACTGGTTGACAAACACTCGTGTAGAGCACTCCACATCTACGCGACCTTGCTGCGCCCTTTGGTCTAGCAGGAACGACTGTCTAACCTTCATCGCTCTCTCAAGCCCGGGGTCCTCCAGCAATACTCTACGTAGGGTGCTTTTTACTATCCCTACAATGTCGGAATAGGTCTAGACATTAACTAGCAATGCATATTGAGTATCTCAACAAGTCCGAAGGGATGCGTTGCGTTAGCACATTGACGCTTTTTCCACGCAAGCAAATCAACCTCCAATGGCATGTTGAGATAGCGTGCATTACAGGAGGATTCGAATGCATGACAACATAGACTGTGAAGGGATATCTTTGACTAAATTAGGCTGCCAGACTACTGCGCACTGACCTCTGCGTCTGGGGGTGAACACGCAAAAACATTCTAGCCCATTTTTCCAGCCCTAATTTTTGTGTTGGTTTCCCAAATCGATCTTGGCTGCATGCAGCAATGTCTCAGTCCCCAAATGACTCGCACCCTGTTCAGATCAGGAAACAGATCGCTAGGGAGCCAAGCCGCATTAGGGCCATCGATGGTGGCGTATGTAATGCCGCCACTGGTCATACGACCTTACATACCTTACATATCTTACCACACCGGTCTGTAATTTTGATACAATGTAATTTTTAAGGTGGGAATTTAGCTGGCTGTCACGGTTCGGTTACAGTCGCTAATAGAACCCTTTGGTTCTTGTTTCCTTTATTTACCGGTAGACACTTCTGGCGTAGCATACGAATGCGACCCCATTGATGTCCGGAGTAGTTGCCCCTTGGTGCCTTGGGTGTATTCTTCAGTTATGTGAGAAGATCGCCAATTCAGGGTCCTGAACGATCTTAACAAACTAGCACTTGGCACTGTCTCTACTCCATAGTAGCAAAAGACGAAGTTTGGCTGCACTTTTCATAGCAGCAGTCATCGTGACCAGATGACTGAAAATTACGTCAGGCCATCCAAAAGGCCAGGTTATGGCACTCTGGGTCGTCCAATCAACCTTTATGCAAATTACTTTCAGTTGAACTTCCAGCCTAATGTCCAGTTACACCGATATGAAGTGCGCGTTTCACGATCAGATCCTGATGCAGTCGTGATTGTGAGCAGACAAATAGTGACCCAGGTGATCCTCCAGCTTCTCAAGACGGAGCTTGTGCAGTTCCAGGAGAGCATTGCCTCCGATGGCTACCAGAACCTCATTTCAAGTCGCATTTTACCCTGCTGTGACGGTCCCTATAATGTGGTATATCAGCATGATAGCTATCAAGTCACTCTACTACCAGCTGGAATTCTTCAATTTCCCCAAATCTATCAAATGTTCAAGGGTGATACAAGGGACCAAGGGCCGCCGCTGACCGAAGCACATATTCACGCGTTGAATATCATTCTGGGACACCAACCCAAATTTTCACCACACATCAGATCTGCCGGTACGGGAACATATCTCAACCTCGACTCGCGGATGAGCCTGGGTGCAGGGCTACACATTCTCCGAGGACTATTCATCGTCGCTCGTGAAGCGCAGGGCCGGCTGTTTGTCAATGCAGCACCAAAAATTGCAATCTGCTATGATGACTGCCCGCTCGACAAGCTTATCCTGATGCACATGCGCCAAACCGGAACAGACATGAATAAAGTTGTTGCGCTGCTTCGGAATCTCCGCGTCCAGCTTACGCACCTGGGTATGCGCAAACGTGCTGGAAAATTCGCGCCGCGGCTCAAGACAGTAGTAGGTTTGGCAGCACCAGGAGATGGCTACAGTCTGGCATATCCCCCTAAAGTGCCATGCCTCGGGGCAGGAGCTAAGGAAGTCCAGTTCTTCCGCGAATCACGCTCACAGGGCCACGAGGTAGGGGACGTAACGGTTCTGGGAAGCCGGAAAAGAAAGCGACCTTCGCCTGAAGGGTATATTACTATTTTTGAATACTTTCGGTCAGGTAAGAAAATTATTCCCGCCATCACTAGCTTTGGTTCCGACTGATTTATTTTGTAGTCTATAACATTACTGTGAACGATCCATGGCTTCCCGTTGTCAATGTTGGGACCCCCTCGAATCCTTCTTACTTGCCTGCTCAAGTCTGTCGGGTGCTTCCTGGTCAGTCTGTGGCTGCATCTGTAGCGGCCTCTCAGTCTCGTCAAGGCGCCCGTATCGATACATCTCGTCGCGGGATCAGAAGCACTTTGACTCCTCCGATCACCTCAATAGAGACAGAGCTCTCAGATATCTTGGGCATGTCTCACCCCACTAGAGGAGCGAACTTGGTAAGTGGAAGTTTGAATGACTTGGCAATGTCAATGACCAGCACTAACTTGAGCTTTCCCTTTGTACATACTCAGACTTCATTTGGGATTACCGTTGCAACGAACATGGCGAGAGTATCTGGTCGCGTTTTGGACTCCCCTGCTTTAGAATATAGTCAGGGACAGCGAGCCTCTGTGCGCGCAGGAGGCTGGAACCTACGTGGGATGAAATTTGCTCGGAGCACGTCAGTCTCCCAGTGGACCTATTTATGGCTTTCGATGCCCGGCCGCTCCCATGGTATAGGTTTCGATAAGGCTCTCTTGGAAGTCGCTATACGAAAGTTCCGCACACACTTGAAGTCACTCGGCCTCAACATTTCTGAGCCTAGTTGGCCGGGTATCAATGTCAGCGTGACTGATAGTGCTTTACGACGCGAAAGTGATGCCGACAAGCTAGCCCATGCTCTCTCGGCCATAGCCGAGTCATCAATGTCATTTTTACTGATCATCCTCCCACAAGCTGCAGAAGGTCTTTACAGCAGGATCAAGTTTCTTTGCGACGTCAAAGTTGGAATTAGGAACGTGTGCGTGGTGGCGGACAAGTTCCTTCGATCGAACGATCAATTCCTGTCGAATGTTGCTCTGAAGCTCAACTTGAAGCTTGGAGGTATTAATCAGAAGTTGCTTTCTCCAAGCCTTGACATAATAAGTGACGGCAAAACTATGGTAATTGGAGTTGATGTAACGCATCCAAATTCAGGGAACCTTCCAGCACGGGCTCCCAGCGTGGCCGCCATGGTAGCCTCTGTGGATCGTTACTTGGCGCAATGGCCAGCAGAGATATGCACTCAACCCGCCCGTCAGGAGCTGGTCACGCAGATTGGTGTACTTCTCACCTCGAGGCTGCATGCATGGCAGAGGCAGAACCATGAAAAGCTCCCTGAAAATATCCTGCTATACCGCGATGGCGTTTCAGATACACAATATGGGAGTGTCCTCGGCGTGGAGCTCCCTCAGCTACGCAAAGCATGCAGAGACCTATACGGTAGTCTGGGCCTTAATGAGCCTCGAATGGCTATTGTCATTGTGGGAAAACGACACCACACCCGATTTTTCACGCCCACGAGGACAGGTCAGCGCAATGGCAGGTCATTTCAAGACACTAATCCTCCCAACGGCACCATCGTCGATCACGGCCCAGCCAGTAGCAGTAAGGTCTGGGACTTTTACTTACAGTCCCATACGGCCAGTCGAGGAACTGCTCGCCCTGCACACTATGTTGTGCTGCTCGACGAAATTTTCCAGCCCCCTCCTAACGATCTGCAGTTTAGAGCCTCTCCTAATCCGGCTAATTCCATCCAAGCCTTGACCCACAATATATGCTACGTCTCTGGCCGCGCAACGAGGGCATCCAGCATCTGCCCACCTGTGTTCTACGCCGATCTTGCTTGCTTCCGAGCGCGGTTCTATGTGGAAGAGTTGCTTCGTCGATCCTCCCGGGACGCTGGGTTATCTCCGGATCAGCTGCAACTATCTTTGCATGAGAATGTTAGGGATACCATGTTTTACATTTGAGCGTGTGGGCCACTTAGAATCGCGCAGTGGCCTTCCAAGCAGTAGAGATATGAGACTGGTAAACAAGTGTAAGGGTCACAAGAATGCCATTTCTGTTGTAATGTTACCAACTTGTAAATTTCAAGTTACCATTTTTACCGTATGGTGTAAGCCGGCCGTTCTCCGCCGGCCGATCACGGAACGTGTCAGTTTCAGATCGAGGGAAGGGATGGGCCTTCCCAACAATGACAGCAGCAAAAACGAACCTTGTCCGAACGTCAATATGAATGACTCAATTGTGATGAGATAGGCTTTACTCATTATTAGCATCTTTAATTCTCTGAGTCCAAGGCAGTTACAATGAATTTCGTCAAAAGAGGTTTGGAAACGGTACTGTGGGAAAACGACGGAAAAACTCCATATGTCAGGAACTCCAATAATTCTATTGGCTAGACTGCCCCGTCTAAAGTTTCCCCAAGCCACCGGCCACTCTCATTGGTTGGCTCCTCTTCCTATCCGTAATAGGCAACCGCCAAAATACCCCCAAGGTCTATCGGGCTTCTGCCAGTTAGGGCTCACGGTTGTGTTCCCCCTTGAGTGCCAGAGGAGGTCATAGTCCCAGCCCCACCGGTGTCTCGATGTCAAGATTGCCTATGCTCTTTTTTTTTGCTGTCATGGCTCGCCAAATCCTATCTCAAATACTTGGCCCCATTGCATGCCTGCCCGCAGCTACCACCCCCTGCGATCCTTCGCTTCAGTAAGGCCAATCTAATAGATCGCCACTGTGGCTCTAATTTAGCTCTTATGGGTGTGCAGCACAAGAAATGGACTGGTGGAGGGTTGGCAGGTTACTGGGTCCAAGTCAAAATCTCAGCTATTCTTCCTCCTGCCATCGGAGTATTCTACTCCACATTGGTTACCCTGCACCACGTACGAAAAGTAGCCTGCTTGCCTTTGTCGTTAACTTTCGCCTTGTCTCTCCACAATTGAGAGCAGAAATGAATGCAAGACAACGCTCGAATATCACTCTAGTCCTCGTTTCTCCGCGGGATGAAGCTATGATTGACTATCCATTCCATTTTCCATACTCATGAGAAAATAGCCACCACCATCTAGCCTGAATAGACCTAGATCATACTGTCTCAGGCCCATTTTAGAGACCTAGTAACATTCAGGGGCCTTTTCCATCCATACCTGAGTCACATCGTTCCTGTCTTTACTCGAACGCTCCACTATCCATCCCTGGAGTCTTCGTCATCAGAATCAAGTTCTCATGGGGAATCTCAGAGCATGAAGAAAGAATGAGTCTTCCCAAACTAGGAGTACCCGTTTTCGGTCGAGGAGCTACTTTGCACACAGCAACGAAGACCCCTTGTAACATATCTCCACCAGAGCCGAAGGGAGCAGATGAATCTATTCCAACCGAAGGAGGTTTGGAATGGAGGTCTAGGTTCTCCCTGGGAGAAGAGAACGAGAACAGACCAGGCTTTAGGAACGTTGCATTGTTGGATCGACCTCTCCTCCTCGCAATTGTGATCCAGAGACCTCTGTCAACGGCTATAAAAGGGTCCCAGCATCCCGGTCAAGTCAGTCTCTCATCCATCCATCAATCATCCATCACTCCAAATCATCACATCAAGCCTTCCTCACAGTTCTCTTTCAACTCCGATTTTTTGAATCACCAAGCCAAAATGCAGTTCACTATCACCAAAGTTCTTGCCTTCACCCTCGCGGTGGCCACCGGCGTTTCTGCTGGCGCTGTCTCTGATTCCCAGGCCATCAAGAAACAGACTGAGGGCAAGTGCGATATTGGCAACGTGTCTTGCTGCAACCCAACCAACGATGACAAGTCTGATGGCTTTCTCACCAACCTGCTCGAGTGGGGTGTCATCGGCAGTCTGGTCAACGGTCAGGGAAGCGCTTGCGCTCCGGTCAACCTCATTGATGAGCTTGGTATTCTGGGTATGACTGATTCTCTACATCCAATCTAAACTCTTGGCCTCGAAAGATGAATCACTGACAATCATGAATGCATTGAACAGCCCTCGTCAAGGATACCCCCGATGGACCGGTCTGCGAGAATATCATTGCTTGCTGCCCTGGTGAGGGTGCTCAGGTACGTTTGCCTCTCATTTTCCCTTCCTTTCCACATGAATTGTTCTTTTCTGTCTCTAAGGTAGTTCTGTTCATGACTAATATGGCTGTTTCTGTGCAGTGTGTCGCCATCGGTGACGGCTCTGGCTCTGGCTCCGGCTACAGCGACTAAGCGGGCTCACGTCCCTTGTCTAAAATACGGTTTCAGTCTCGGTGACTGACAAGCTCGACTCAGGAACAATATGACGCAAGCTCAACTCCAGATCTTGCTCTTTCCCGAGAAAAGTCTTTTTGGGCTGGACCGGTGTCAATTGGACTCCATTGTTGTTTAGATAAAGATTGCTTTAGAGTAGTTTATAGTGCAATTCCTCATAAGGAATTGCACTCTAGTTTAGTCTCAATTTATATGTGCTTTTAGTACTCTTTGTCTCTTGGATATCTGTATTGAGTGAGATCACATCTTAGAGAGCATTCGTAATGCATGGACGTCGCCTCGGTTTCTTGTGTGTAATGTAATAGCTTTCACCCAAGATACTTCAATAAGTACTTTGATTCAGCAGTAGTGGTTATAATCTAGCCGTTGCTATTACATCGCCGACCAGAGGCCCTGCTTTGATTACAGACAATATCTGCCTTGTTAGCTATAGTTAAAACAAGACTGAGACACAATACATTATAACCAGACGTCTTTGAAGATTTTCGTGAAAGCTTTGTCACGGTGCTATCAGTAAAATATATCCGGTGTCATATGTAATAATACCAGAGTAGATATAACATAGTCTAAATAGATATATATATATATATATCCAGTACCACTACTTGGTACATGCTTTATTGCTAATTCAACAGTTCTAAGCCACATATGCATGGCTGTTCTGAGTCAGTAAGAGAAAGCGTGATTGAATCTCTTTCTTTGTCTAGATATGGTACTGATTATGTTTTGTTTGTAGTGGTAGAGCCTGGAGAGTATCCCTGTTTAGGAAAATAGTATAATCCTCTCACAAAAGGAACAGATGGGGACATCATTCATATCGCACGAGTACAGATTATATCAACAAATATGTTGGAACTTGACAATAGGAAGTAAATAACAGCCAGACTGATCTTTCATGGATTTGTGATCAATGGCATTAGTAGGTAGATAGTGAACTATCCCATTAGCAGTCAATGCATGCCTGAGGTGTTGATATACCCAAACCAAGTGCTAATTCTTAAATGGTAACAGATATAAACTGCCTACTAAACGTGATATTGCTGATTATAAAGGCGCTGCAGCAACACTCTTCGCTCTGCTTCGCCAATTATGAGCTTCATTTGATGACCTCTGTATGTTTGGGGCCTGAGGCTTTAAGTTCAGCACCACGTGATGTCTAAGTCATCCTTAGTGTGCCTGAGGCTACGCAAAGGGCGTCGTGGGGAAGAAGTCCTTCTCGAATGCTGTGGAAAGGATTAAGTAGATATCATGATGATTTCATATACACCATGCTTCTCTAGAATCTCTCAGAAAAGTCTTCCTGCTGCCCTGTGAGGCGAAGTGTGGCAAAAAGTGGCGTAAGCGGATGCCGGGGTGTGGAGGTGTCTGTCGTAAAGGATGGATACTTATACGGGCCGAATCTTGCCTCCGTGTATCTCATTGATCGGCAATTCCACCGCCTGCAGCTTTCTGCCACTTTTGTACCCCATCAAAATCGCGCACTTGACCTACCATCCACCATATCTATCGGCAAACTGTTTTTGCTTGAAAAAAATCTCTATCAAGAAATGATACAAGCACACAGGATGCGCTGCGCTCCGCGCAGCCCACTGCGGGGTACAGAGGACAAAGTAGGAATATTTTGCGATCACAAATGTAGTGGGCTGGCTGAATTCAGAGGTCCGTTGATAACACTAGCGCTCTGTTTTGCACTGTGCCAAAGTAGGAATTTTTTGCGATATTGGTGGACTGGCAGAATGCTGGGGCCCACTGATACAACTCCAAAATACGGAGTACCAACGGTCTTTATAGGTATTTCCAAAGGGGTAGCATTGTGACATAGTGGCCTTGTCATTGTTGGTCATTGCCACAGTTAAAGCGAAGGTCGGTGATTTACAAATCCTTTGCACTTTAGTAATTGATAATGCTGAAAAATATCGAATTTGCCGCTCCTATAGAAGTGGAAATTGAATATCATTTGAGAAGCACATCCATATGATGTAGGATGAACAACGATAATGACAGACTCGTAGTCTTGTGTCCTCTCTGCAGTCTGCAGGACAAGCGTATGATGCTGGCCAACAGCATAGATGAAATGCCGCAAGACTAAACGGTTGAGGACCTTGAGATGCCGACAAACACTATAAGCAACCGTCAATAAGCACTAATTTAATCCCCTCATAATTACAGACAAACTACTTGTCGTCTGCTGAGATATGTGATTGGCTGAAGTGATCAGCAAAGTTCTTCAGTTGTCAATTGTGATTGATAAAATGTTGTTATAAATTCCGTTTTTGGTTTGTTTGTGGTGGTGGGTCTCGAAGATCTCTATGATAAGAACCAGAGTTGGGACTATCGTGGACACCCCACGTTTTCCGCAATGACTTTCCCTTTGGGATGTGGGCTTACAGCTCCGACGGGGTTAGGGGAAACTCCGCGGGGTTGAAGTCGGCCGATACTGTTTAGGGGTATCTGTCTACTCCATAGCTTTTCTTGTCATCTACTCTTTCAAGCAGGTGGGCAAAAGGATCAGAGTTTTTTCTATTAATAATTATGTAGGGATAGTCAGTCACCTGACACCTTCTTCAATTGAATTTCGGAGTTTTAATAAGGTTGGAAGCCTGGTGATGCCTGATAAGGCCTGGTTCAGGAGCTTCGTAAATAATCGCTTCCTCAATAATCAATTATGAACAAGATCAAAAGCTATTGTAGGGAAGACGTTGAGCTGGATATCTTGGCTCATTTCCACCGCAGTCCTTGTACTTTGTACACCGCAGAGAAGGAGAGGAATATTTCCAAGCTCACCGAGAGTCATTGAAACACCGACCAGGTCCTCGAGGGGCCAGAACAGGCAGAATAAGCCAGAACAGCCCGATCAGCCAGATCATGGAGGGTTGGGGCAATTAAAGGGGGTCAGGTGATGCAGTCAGGTGGTACATGTTCGGTATCAAAAGGGGCAGGTGAATTATGAAGTATCAGAAAATCTCCCAAGACCTAAGAACAAAAGAAAAAAATCTCTGATGGCCACCCGCACTAAAAGCTGACCCCGGACAAAGTACGTTATGCATCTGGTCGGGATTGGAATTGGACTGGTCAGGGGCTGAGAAATCCTGGAGCATCCCGCGGCTGCCGACCGATCACCTGACGGTCTAGAATTGTTCTGCTTTGATAGCCCTTATTCACTTGGTACATACAGTACTAACTCCGTAGCTATCTACTTTGTACAAGTGGACTTGCTGGATTAAATTAAAAATGTGCAGGGATTAAGGTTCGTCCGAGAGCGTGTCCGGTGATGCCGGCAGCCCGCGTGTGCGGCGCGACCGAAAGAGTTGATCTCACCTGCATTATAATTCTATCGACTGCGTATTGTTGTTGTTGTTGTTGTTCAATGTTGCTACTGTGTCTTCTTCTTCCCTCTCCCCCCCACGCGTCGACCATTTGAATTTTTATTATTCTGGAGCTTCACCGGAATTCCCGCCACCGCGGTTCATCTTTCAATGGGTCGGAATGGAGCCAATTGCTCGTCGAATCCTCCCTCCTTCTTTGTGCTCCATCCAACTGGGGCCACACACCCCCGATCCACCATGGATCCAGTCCGCGGCTTGCTTGGACAGCACCGGTCCGAAAAAGCAAGGCTACCGGTCCATAATCCATCTATTCGAGGCTATTGGAAGTTTACAACGCCACCGCATGATGTAATACTATTCCCGGCAGACTCGGCGGCGATCAGAGCGATCGGCGGTCAAAACCGGCGGTGACCCTGCGAAGCTCCAGAAGCTCTCCTTCAACATTTTGTTTCTCATTCCCCGGCCAGCTTTGAAATAACTTCCCTTGCTCTCCCTCCCCTTTTTCTACCCTCTTCTCCTTCTTCTTCCTCTCCTCCTCTCCTTTCTCCTTCATCCTCCCATACACAATGGGTCCCCTCAAGCTTAACACGGCGAATTTGTCGCAAATCGTGGCGGCAGGTGCCGGCCGCGTTAAGGTCCCGACTTATCGCCGCGGTCCTGCCCTCAAGGAAGGAATTGTCCATGTCGGCGTGGGCGGTTTCCATCGCGCGCACCTGGCGGTTTACGTTGACCAGCTGATGCAGAACCATGGCGTGACAGACTACGCTATCTGCGGTGTTGGCCTTCAGCCCTTCGATTCCACCATGCGTGATGCCCTGGGTTCCCAGGACAACCTCTACACCGTCATTGAACGCTCGGCTAAGGGCAGCTTTGCCAATGTCATTGGCAGCATCAATTCCTACCTCTTTGCTCCTGATGATCGCGAAGCCGTCATTGCTAAGATGGCGCACCCGGATACCCGCATCGTGTCTCTCACCATCACTGAGAGCGGTTACTACTACAACGAGAACACCCACGAGCTCCAGAGTGAGCACCCGGACATTCAATTCGACTTGGACCCCGCCAACGAAAAGGCCCCCCGTACTACCTTCGGTTTCCTCTACGCTGCCCTCGCCCGCCGTCACCAGCAAGGTCTTATGCCCTTCACCGTCATGTCCTGCGATAACATGCAGAAGAATGGTTCCATCACCCGTCACATGCTCGAGTCTTTCGCCCGTCTCCGCAACCCCGAAGTCGCTCAATGGATTACTGATAAAGGTGCTTTCCCCAACGCTATGGTCGACCGTATCACGCCTCAGACGTCTCCCGCCGATAAGGAGTCCCTCGCAAACACCATGGGTATCGAGGATTCCTGGCCCGTCGTCACCGAACCGTTCATGCAGTGGGTCATTGAAGATCAGTTCTCCGACGGTCGCCCGCCCTTCGAGAAGGTCGGCGTCCAAGTGGTCAAGGACGTGCACGCGGTCGAAGAGTTCGAGAAGCACAAGCTCCGTCTTCTGAACGGCAGTCACTCTGCCATTGGATATCCCGGTCAGATGGCCGGCTTCAACTACGTCCACGAGGTCTTGGAAAACCCGGATTTCAACAAGTTCGTCTGGCAGATGATGCAGGAAGAGGTCAAACCGTCCTTGCCTGAGATCCCCGGTGTCAACATCGATGAGTACTGCAAGACCCTCATGGAACGTTTCTCCAACCCCACCATCATGGACCAGCTGCCTCGTATCTGTCTCAACGCATCCGGCAAGATCCCCCAGTTCATCATGCCCTCGATTGCCGAGGCCATCTGGGTGAATGGCCCCCTCCGCCGTCTGGCCTTCGTCGCTGCTGCTTGGTTCCGCTACATCAATGGTGTTGATGACAAGGGTAACACCTTCGCCGTCGAGGACCCCATGCGTGAGGAGCTCCAGGCCAAGGCCCGTGCTGGTGGTACTAAGCCCTCCGAGCTGCTGAGCATCACGAGTCTGTTCGGTGACGATCTGCGTAACGACAAGCGCTTCATGCAGGAGATCACCAATGCTATGGAGGACATTGCTCGGGACGGCATCTTGAAGACGCTTCCCAAGTACATTAATTAATCGCTTTTAAATCGAAGCGGTGTAATTAATCTCCTTGCCGGTGTTGAATTTTTCTACGATTAGGGAATGTTTGGGACTGCAAGCGATATTTATACTTTTTCTTGGTTTACATGTGTCATGCGGGTGCGGTTTTTTACAAAAAGGGATGTTAAAGGATAGATAATGATAGATTGATCTAATGCTATGTTTTGGAATTCGGGCCACGTCATAAACTGACGGGCCAATGGTTATGGTACTCACTTCATTCTATTGACATTTAATTCCCTCCCCTGAGCTGATAGAGAATCATGAAGACACAATCTTCCGTAAACTCATATCCTACTACAGAGGTGTATGCTATCCAGGTGACTTCATCGTCCGAGCCACTCAAGGAATGCTACTATAACAATAGCAACGTGTACTCTGTAGCTCTCAAGCAATGGACTTCCCGACCGACCATCTACTTCCCGTTACCAACCACCACGAACAATCCCATCGCCCCAACAAACCTTACGCTGCAGTAGGTTGCTAGCTAACTAACACCTTTACCACAATTCTCGTCCGTTACCTAGGACCATAACCCTAGAATAGAAAGAAGATTCATCCTCGGCCCTTGACCGCCCAAGCTCATAGATAATTCTTGGCATCAAGCACACGGTCGGTCGCCACCATCTCTTATGCAAGATGACCTGCACCCTTTGTCTTTATCATCTGCATAACAATCCTCCGGCATCAAGAACACGTAACCAATCCAAATCATCATTGCTTGGCTTGACGTATGTATGTGCGATATATCTGACACGCCAGATTGCACCGACAGATTGAGTAAAAACTTAGATATGACATGCTGCAGCGAGCAGCTGTAAGCAACAGATAGCTCAATAGATACTACGCAATACTACAGTATAAATCCGATTAACTGATTCAAGGCCACGTATCCCTCGATATGACTGACTCGCCGAGAGCCAGTCAGCCAACCCCTTCCATCCCTTGACAGATAGTAAGCCCCTTCCGAGATTACCGAAGGTTTAGCGTAGCACACCGAAACTACCACAGCACATTGCCTACCTTGATCTGACTGGCGCAAAAGATGCTTGCTTTGTTCCCCGAATTGAGGGTTGCCCAGTTGGACTTCCATCTACTTGACGATCGAAAAAATAGGACAGAGAACTAGCGGTTCCACACTTATGAGTCAGTAGCTTAATCGTAGTCGTCTGTAACTAGTTGGTTACACATTCATTTCCTGACTTAGATGAGGATGCGCGGCCAGTCCAAGAAACGAGCGAGCCGTTTTCTGGTATTTTGCGGAAGGCTCTCCAGTTCGCTTTCGGGCTTTCATGCGTCCGCTATGCACTTCTTGTCATGCCACAGTCACTGCGATGGGGTAGATGAATTAGTAGGTCTTACTACAGTAAATAATAGTATGTGAGAAGCTTCTATGATCGGTAATAAGGATCATTATATTTGTTTGTTCGCTTTTCGACAACAGGACTCTGTATCCCGCTCTAAGCGTATGCACACGCTCCGATATCACACTGCGAGGAAAGTCACTTGAACCAAAATGCAGAAACTTGACTTCCCACGAGTCAAAGAGATCCCCCTAAAGAGTGTGACAAAGCGCCTCTCAAGATTACTCAGACTTGCCATCGGTATGGACACATAACAAGCTACTTGTAAGGGCAAGTTTCCGTACCATAGACCAGAGGAACGCCCCTTTCCTACTGTACGTTGATCCGACAGGTAGGAAGCACCTTGAGGATACAGAAGATACAGGACCTTCGACTGGCTGATATATGTCCGGCATGCCTACCAAGCACTCGTAATAATGATCAGAAGCGACACAACCATCACGTAGGCATTCCAATTTGTCGCGCATAATTATTATTATCTTGGCTATGGTACTATTATGGTAAAAGCCAGTCTTCTGACAAGCTCGGTGACGAAGGGCTGTCGTTGATATGATCCTTCTCAGCAGAACATCTGTAATATTGTATATCTGCCATATCTGGCTCTCGGGGTGGATTGTTCTTCCTGAAAATATGTGTGAGTTCAGGTCATCTTCTGCCCCGAAGTACGGCAGTGAGATTTGCATCTTGTCTCCCATGGACTTGACGACATCAGGTGCCAGTATAGGATCATAGGACATTTCCAGCGTGATAGTTTGGTAAATTCGGGATCTTGGGTTGTAGCGAGGGTCGAAATCGAAAGCAATTAGTGCGTCCTTCCAAGGGCCATCCCTGAATGCGTAGCCACAGAAAGGAAGAGCATCGTAAAGATTAGACACTTTATCAAATTCAACGGTGTTTCGAAGAACTCGGAGGGTAAGTATGGGGCGTATTACAAGTTGGGTTTGTATCTGCCGTATAATATGCTGGATGGTGTTTTCTAGGGCATACTCTTCTTTCTTGCAGCGGATAGGGCCACTAGGAATTTTGTTGACAGTAAATGGTACCACCTTAAGAGCGTAGCTTATGTCCTTGTTCCCAACATTCAAGACCATTCTCGACCTCCCATAAGAATGGTGTGAAGAGTTTGGGTATCTTGGGTCCAAAAGCCGTATGTCTCCCATTCTAGGTACACTTTCACCAGTTTTATCAGTATATGAGCAAGGTATCAATATTTTGGTAAGACTCAACTTGGTGTTCGGGTTTCGGTGTGGGCTTTGGTCCGTGGATCCGAATGGAAAGGCTGCCTGAGAGATTGCATTATTGAAGACTGGGGTCTGAAGCTGTGTCTGCCGATTATTTCTCATAACTCTATCCATCTGTTTGGCTCAACCTAGTGAGAACGATTCTGGATCTTTCCGTTTCTGAAATCGAACCCGGACGCATAGGCTGAAAATAAGTCCTTTTTGCACTTAAACCAGATGTGAGTAGGTATACTTTTTATAGGAGTGGTATAACTGCTTTATACCCAATTTCTTAATGTTCAGGGCAAACTGGCAATGGATCTGATGATGCTTCTTTGAAACTTAGCGCTAGGCACAAGCCCCCCTTGCTTAGACGGAGATCTGTACTTTGTGTCCCGCCCCTAGTGTGTTGTACAGAAATGAATCCTCCAGTAAATGCAGGCAAGTTAATTGGTGGACCATCTGATGAACGACTAAATTCTAAGCCTGGCACCTTATCATACGCATCACCGCTGAGCTCCATTCGTGTAGAACCACTGCAAGCAGTGAATGTGAGATATGACTCTCACAAATTGGATGTCTCCAGTCCTGCATCGGCAGGCTCCGTAGGTCATTCATAATTGTCGGAGTGTACCAAAGATAATATTCACTACTTTTTACCTGAGTTAAACCAGTGTGGTTAATTTTTCCGCTACTTAGCCCCCGAGAAAGCTTCTGATGAGTATTGTACTGCTACAGAAAAGCAGTAAAGTTTCCCTCAAGCGACGGAGAACATGTGAACTGGACGACCAGTATTTGTATTCACTACATTGGACTTTACAAAGTATCAACTAGCTTGGGCATTTCTTATGAGATCGTTTGAGGGACTCCAATCGAGTGGAGGTAAGCCCGAAATTCTTCTCCTGAGCACTTCTTACGGATTTCCAACAATAAACCCAGTATACTAGGACAGTACTAATCCTTGAAGCCAATATGTATGACTCGTGGACCCAGTCAAACATGCACGCGGGAAATAATATCCATTGTGGCAATTCTGGCGGTACTTTTATGTCTAGTGATGATGTCTCTCAGCCAAAAGAATCATTTGATTGGTTCCAATTTGCACTGGATCATGATGTCAGTGATCCTCACGGCTTAACGGTTTATGAGATGATGGCTCGTTTTGTCGATACAGAAGAAGATTCCGTCTTGAGGGGAATTGATCCTCTCGGCTCAAGTCAGTGAGGTCGCTACTAGCCACAATGATTAACATAAGGTTAATTCCATCACAGCCCAGGACGCATCCTTGGGCAGTAGGTTTATTCAATTCGTGCGTGATATTCAGTACGAAAGAGTTATATTACCCGAGAGTCAGGTATATATATTTGAAGTATTCAGCTTCTAGGAAAATTGCAATCCGGATCTCGCTGACACATAATTAGGCACAAAGCACTATCTGTGCAAAAAGAAAAATGACATGATTTGAGTATTTGCGCGAAGATAAGCTCGAAGCTCTGAAATTCCTAGAAGAAGCCAGACATAAGAGCCGAAAAAGCGGTAAACTAACTCCCATATTGATTGAAACCGCGGCGCAAAAACTCTACATAAGTACGTTCAACCTTTGATCTTGGAAACGCGACAGAGAACGGATATTAGCTATGTCACCTGCTGCCGTGAGGGTGAAAAGGGAAGCTAAAACCTTCCGTGCTTTGGGCAAACTTATTCTTCCTCAAGATGAGCCCACAGGACATGAAGTGTCCAGTGTGAATAGCTTGCTCTCAGGACACTTCAGTTCCGGTTACCGATTCTTCTTGGTGTTCAGCATGAACGAACTAAGGCAGCATGGGATGATAAAATTCTCAGACAGGTATCAGGTGACAACAAAACATCTCGCCCCGTTTGGAAGCAGGCAGGTATAGCTAATGTGACTTTGGTCTTAGTTGATCAGGTTTGAAGACCCGATTCCATTTATCGGACTAGAGTCGGGTATTAGAAGGAGACCAAGATCTAGAATTATGACGTTTCAACACGCTTATCACCTCCTCAACTACCTGGAAAAGATATTTCATTCAGGACACCCGCCTCCTCCGCAAATCATGACGAGCTAATACAAGTCAACCCCAAGGACTCTTGAGCAACAAAAAGAAAATGAAAACCCTGAGTATCTTAGTGTGAGTTTGTCTGTCATGTCTGTGAGCCGAAAGTTGTACTACCTGGCGCCTAGTGTAGAGGATAGAGCACCTGCAGGATCAAATCTCAACACAGCAGAACCTCACTACCTGAAGCTGAGGAATTGCGTTGAACTGATATGTAATGAGCTTATGGTTTATAGTCTGAATGTGAGCTCCGCCACTCCATACTATCCTCAGTTATCATACTGATATTTAGTAGCTTAAGTACGCTATACCCGTGAGACTCGGACACGATTACAACGAGCCTTACTATTCAGTACCTGCTCAGTGGGCACTATACCTTTCGTCCAATGAAGGTACAAATGTATTATTGCCACTTTCATTATCAGTTCGAGGTCCAAAAATAAACAATGGGAAATTGCCGATATCTTGTACCTGTAAGGATGGACGATGGACCATTCCATAATTAATAACCAGACGCTAACCAGAAAGAGGAAACGACACCAAAGACGATCTCTTCTCTAAAGATATTACAGCAAATTGGAGGCCATGTTCCAAAAGTTCAGGCTATTACCGGTACTTCACGTGGCAGATGTTGAAATGCTTTTCTGTCATGATCCCGGCGAGTGGAGGCCACGCCGCTTTAACCCTGCTTGGATACTCTATGATACTCCACTACATGCAACAAGGTCAGGCGACTGCTTCAGCAGAGTATGCGGGTGATATACGAGTGTTTACATGGTTATTGAGAAAGCCTTGCAAAGTGCGTCACGCTTATCAATAGGATTTCGCCCAGAACCTTTTCAGCTCGTTCGCCTGCAAGATTTTACCTTGACTCACACAGGGACTGAGTCAGAAAAACAGTGTGAGCTTACGCGGAGCATGATCAGAATATTCTCCGAAAGAAGCAAAGAGCTGTCGTCTGAAGCCACCTCTTATCCTGCTACCAGCGAGACTGGGGGCGACGAAGTTAGAGGTATTGGAGAAGATGAAGGAACTGCATTTTGTAGTACTGATAACAGGCTACAGTCCGCTGGGATGAAGGGGTTCAAGGTAAAAGGAGAGCCGGAAGAGAAGAATGAGCCAAATACTCGCCGTGAATACTCGAGTACGTCTCTAATTTGGAAGAGTTACAAAGAACAATTACAAAGGGGACTTTACAGGGTGAATGATATGCCCAAGTGCTGTTTTATGTCATGCCCAAGACCACAGGATGCGTTTTCGAAGTACTGTGATGCACACTCTACAGCACTGATTGAATATGTTGCGACGCACAAAAGCTGGCTCCCAACCACTGTCGAGTGGACGTCATGCCCTACTCCAGACACGAGAATTGAGCTGCAGCTTCTGAAGGCTTGGCACTCCCACAGTCCTGAAGATGTCTGGATTGTTGATTTCGAATTTGTTACTGTTGGTGGTACGGCCTCTCCTATCCCAGTTCAGCTGGCAATAAGGCAGATAGACGGAGTTCTTCTTCTGGAGACCAATGTTGACTATTGCCTATCATTCGATGAATTCAGTGATAATATTGGTCCACTGCGAACGGAGAGGTACCTCGTACCGCAAATCCTTCAGAGGTGTTATGGTTCCGGACCACGCACTAATGGCCTCGCACCTACCGAAATCTGAGCAAGGATCTATGATCTGGGCTATGATCCCGGAAAGACGAAGATCCTTTCCTGGTTCTCGGTTCAGGATATGCAATGCTTTCAGAGGATACTCCTCCAAGGAAATGATGTCATAGTGCCCAAGGAAGGTCATCAAACATGCAAGAACTTTCAAGAGGTAGATCTCGGCATGCTCTGCAAAAAGTTACTTCCGCATAGCTGGCCATCGTTGAAATTGGTGACCGTTCATGGGAGTATCATGGCCAAGAAAGGACAAAGGGTAGACTCAGACTTGTACCATAATGCAAGTGGCGACACTGCGGCTGTGGTAGACATTGTGAAAGAGTTACTCTCACTGGTTTAGGAAAAAGAATGATGCAACCCCCAAAGACGGGGGAAAGCACCCCCAAGAAGGGTGGCGGGGGTGAGGAGGACGGTATGTTTGTCATAAGATATTTGCAAGCTAAACAATAGCAAGCGAGGCAAGGTGGCCGAGTGGTTATGGCGCTGGTTGTTAGTAACCCCTTTTCCGACTATCTTGGCATTTCACCGACTAACAACCCCTCAGTTAGGTTTACCAAAACACCAGTTCGAAAGAGCGTGGGTTCGAATCCCATCCTTGTCATTCTTTTTTTGTTTTCCAAAAATACAAAATGTATTTTCCCCTCAATAGATTCACTCTCCTATTTTTAGTGTTTAGTAATAGATAGTCTTCACTTTTTCACTTTTACACTTAGTTTTAGGCTGATTAGATAGTTTTCATGGAGTATGTCAACGGCGGGGCAGACTGGGAAGGCGACTGGGATGGAACAAGGCCGCTTAGCATGATTGCGGTATTTGGTCTTTGTGTGGTCTCTCACGGGAGGTCGCCTAGTATAAACCCGTAAAATAATCTAGTATTTGGTTCTGAAAGATATGGATGGGAATAAACTATGTATGGCAGATAGGGTTCCGTGGTGTGCACCATACTTCTCTCACGCTATCACATGATGCATTACATCCATTGAGGATGAACGATAAATTGACTCTGGCCAGCAGCTCTAGTCGCTTGTACAGTGCCAGTGAACTGTAGATATAGTCAGTCGCAAATCTAGATGTAGTCGCAGTTCTGTCAACCATGTGTCAAATTCTCTAGCAACATCCGGAAATGATTTCAACAAGTAGGCCACTATATCCATCGAATTGACCCGATAATTGTTAACCATCTTACACTTTATCATCTTCAGGCTTGTTCGGTCTTCTCATAGGAAACATAGAGCGGGACCGTCCATGCGCGTCTTTACTAGCATCATCTGACCCTCTGGATAGTTGGCGTCCGGGATCAGAAGCGGCGTGGGAAGAGGTCATCCCAACTTTCCATTTGTAGTAGGGTGTAACAATGAGGTCATTCACATTGAAAGCGACAATGATCAATGGGATGACAACGGCTGGGGATTGTCCAACTGCATCCACTGAGAACAAATCCAAACTGCATAAGCAGGAAAGTCTAATGAGACATAACATACAGATCGGGAAATATCCACCAGCTTTGAAACTGCGGACGGCCAGAAGGCCCGTGAGGAAACTGGGCGATATCGAGCGCAGAAATGAAAGATAGAAAGGTAAGTGGAATCTGACAATCATTATCAGACTTTGCTTGTGGACAGAGGCAAGGTGCACTGGTAGCACTCACGAATACAATAGTCACAGTGGCGAAGACCATAGTGGTATAGGTCTGTTATCGTGCAAAGGCGGCATCCTGACTTGCAGTGCATTTCTCCTTGAGGTCCAAAAACAGGTTGATCTGTATTTTGTGTCAGGTTTACTTCTCCAATGAGCCAGGAGAAATTAACAGAATCTTGAGCGGATTTTACTTCGTCCATTATATCGCGCAGTTCATTTAAAACTACACTCGGTTTATGAATATCGGAGGTATATTCCAGGTTGTCTTATTAGAAGCCAACGTAAATCAGCCGAGCTATGTTGATGATAGTTGCAAGCCGGTTGGTCGCAAGCCTCGTTTCCTAGCGACAATGTGAAGTCGGTTTTCAATTGCGCCAGAAACTTGACCATCCATGACATATAGCTGGGCCGCAGGATGTAGAACTCAAGTTGTCAATATATATATAGATAGATGGTAATTGCGCAACGAGTGTTCATGTTCATGATGAACACACTTGACACATAATCATAGCTGTGATAACCCAGTAAGTGTTCATTATATCGGTCGGAACTTTGTCTTGAGTTTAACAGCTACTTGCTGCCTTGGCTAATGCACTTTGTCAGACAGAACATGCCAATGCTTGTAGGTGCAAGTGCAGAAATATTGACCTTTGGTTTATCTAACGAAATACTAAGGATGTCTATAACAAGGCCTGCTGGCCCAATGGTAAGGCGCTTGACTACGGATCAAGAGATTGCAGGTTCGAGTCCTGCGTAGGTCATTTCCTTTTTGCCTTTTTTTTGGTCCCGCTTTCCCACCAGAAGCGGTTGATGTGCATGTAAACTTAATTGTAGATGCGCATTGTTGTTTATTGAGTTTGCGTGGAATCACATCTTTGACTACACTTACCATGTAGTATTCACACGCACCATGCTTGATACCATGGGTGTAGTTTTACTTCCATCTAACCCAGCTTACTTCCACCTACACCGACCACAGCCCCTTAGTTGCCCTTATGCGCCAACCTACGCAGCAAGATGTCAGATCAATAAGAGGGCATCATTAGCATTAAGTGGAATTGGTCACTATTAGTATACAAACAACCCAGTCCTATGCAAACACACAACTACACCACCCCCCGCATAATCCCCGGCTGGATCTGCTCCAAAATATCACTCAACTCCTCCCACACTCTCTTCTGCGTCCTCCTCCCTTCCTCACTCGTCACAAATGATGATAATTCCCGTGGACACACCACTCCATTCGACATATACTGTCCATGGCTTTCCCTCCCCGCCGCTGCAGCCGTCACCAACGTCCTACTCCCTACTTCCGCCGTCCTCCCCAACAATAGCAACAAAAATCTGACCACCACATTATCCATCTCCCTGGATAACTGCGACCGACAAAGCCCCGGATTCAGACAATTGACCACAATATCATCATCTCCAATTCGGTCCGCCAACTCCCTTGCCAACAACACATCCAGTAACTTTGACGTGCGGTACCGCTCCGCCATCGTTTTATAGTACCGTTCCGGCTCATCCAGCGCCTCAAACACACTCACCCCTTTCTCCGAGGGGGCATTCCTCTCGGGAAACTTGGTAAAGGCATGTACCTCGCTCGCCACTATCGTTAACACAGGAGTGTGCCCCTCTTCCCCCGTTTGTTGACATAGCCTCCTCGTCTCCCTCAACTTCGGTACTAGTAGCACCGCTAACAGAAACGTCGAAATCACGTTGACTGTGATCGTGCGCTCATGACCTTCTGCCTTGGAGTACTGAAACGTCGCGAGACCAGCGTTGCAGAGAAGGACATCAAGACGGTTGAGCGTAGTGGTTGCGCGGGTAGCGAAGGCGCGGACGGAGTCGTAGGATGCCAGATCTAGGGGCCAGACTTCGATGGTTTGAGGGTCGCAGGTGGGGTGGGCGTTGAGGATCTCGGCACGGGCAGATTCACCGGCGGAGAGGTTCCGGACAGCGAGTATGAGTTTTCCGATAGGGCCGGAGGCGATGTGATGGGCTGCTGCTAGGCCGAGTCCCGTGTTGGCGCCTGTTATGATGACGGTGCGGTTGTGGAAGGGTAAGGGATGGGGTGGGAGAGAGGGGGTGACGAAGAGTTGATTGTAGAGGATTGTCGCCATTTTGATTGTTGTTTCGATGTGATGATGATTGGTGATGAATTGGGGCAGAGGTGGATGGTATATAAAGGTGGTATGGTGGTGACATTATGGAATAATGGAAGACGCGAGCAACATGTAGATCATTACCAGCAACGGATATATCGGTCTTTGGGTTATAGAGTGCGCGATAAAGTGCGGTGATAAGCCGGGTTTAAGGTCCCCAGCAGGTCTTTATACACGTGGTGATGTCAAGAGTGGGGCGGGATTGCCCAGAATCAGAAATAGTCTTTGTGAGCAAATATTAGATTGATAAATATGAAAAGAATGATACTTTTAGCCTCGTCTGATACGATATCAGATGATCCTGCCCCAGGCACCCGTTTTATTACAACCGTCACGGGCCACACATGACTCACCTGCATAGACACGCGGCAGCTGTGTGCCTAGTCATAATACAAATTTAGCTCGCAAATGACATCAATGAGTTATTGAGCCTCAGACTAGACTCTTTCAGTGCCAATTCAATAGCTTATTCTTTTCTGACGTATCCAACTTGCCACCCATGGTTATCTCGGCAAATCATTTTAACGACGTTGAATACCCCAGATAGGATCAATGCCCAATTTACAAGTTGTAGAGGAGTTTGAGGATACCCAAGGACATCACAAGCAACTTATATGGTCTCCGTTGTTGTTGTTTCAAGACAATTAATGCATGCTTCGGGGTCAACTACCCCGTTGCGGTCGGAGTTGATGCGATCGGTTAGCCGAGGACCGTAACCGGCGGGGCAGAGAACACCGAGCTCTTAAGCGGACAACCGAATTCTATTAAAATGAACTTCAGCTTCCTTTCATGCTGATAGTAACTGAAGTTTTAATCGAACATATTCCACAAGGTACGCTTGCTATCGACATCCCATAATACCCCCCTTAGGACCCGTCTTCTAATCACCCGGACAGGATCATCCCCAATATGCCCTTCGAAACTGCAATTACCTCCACCCTCCGGGGCTCTTCCACGGCCCTTGGTTTCTGGCTCACGTATGATCATCCACAACCAGTACTCTTAGCACTTCGTACCAAGATGAACTAACCTCAATTCGATGAATGCAGCCTCCCCAGCGCAGCAGTCGCAAAAACCATACTGCACGGCCAGCCTCCCAGCCCAGGCCGTTTCAGCTGGGTCCTAGTAGACGCCGAGCACGGATTAATATCCGACCGCCATTACTATGAGGTTAGTACATCTGCCATCTATCCAATGTAGTGCCTTGAATAACCGATATTAGCTTTTCAACGCCATTGGCTCCGAAGACGTAAGCCCGATTGTCCGGGTCCCCTGCGCAGAGGAATGGATGATCAAACGGGCGCTGGACGCCGGTGCTCACGGAGTCATGACCCCCATGTGCCATTCAGAAGTGCGTACCCCAGCCCCAATTTCCTTTTGAACCCAGATGCAAGTAAACGATCTAACATTTTGAAACAGGTTGAAGCCGCCAAAATCGTCCAATGGACCAAATACCCACCCCTTGGCACACGAGGCTACGGCCCCATGTTTGCGCCGCACGCATTCCCTGGCGTCGCGCCCGGAGCGGAGTACGACGAGGGCTCGCAAACAGGCACGATTGTAGTTGTGCAGATTGAGTCGAAGGCTGGTGTCGAGAACGTGGAGAAGATCGCAGCTGTTGAAGGCGTCGATGTCCTGTTCATCGGACCCTTCGATTTGGCGAAGCAGATGGGTGTTACGAGGGGCGGGGAGGAGCATGAGGCGGCTATTCAGCGGATTTTGAAGGCTGCGCATGCGGCAGGGAAGAAGGCCGCTATCTTTTGTACGGATGGTAAGGATTCCCGCGTGCGCGCGGAACAGGGATTTGATATGATTTCGGTGGTTACGGATGTGGGGGTCTTCAGGGCGGGGATGTTGAGTGAGTTGAGGACTGTTACGGAGGGGCGGTGATTTGGGATCTGGCAATGATAGAGATATAAATGTTTGGCTACCAGGATGAAGTAGAGATAGCTAATCAATCCATTATGGCTCCTTTATGTGATCGCTATCTTGTCACTGTGTTGGAGTTCGGGTTGGGTGGTAGCTGTAGCCGAGGTCTTGGATACATGCGAGTTTACCACACGTATGTGTCCTCTGGCATGTGAATTCCATCGTTGATGGATGCGCTCTTGGCTAGAATTAGCATTTTGCCGTGTCTGGATTCGTAGCCAGGATACATACCATTGCTCTGCCGCCATCAACCAAGAGGTACCCTCCGTTCATGTAGCCCCCGGCCTTGGAACTCAGCATCAGACAGGGTCCGACAATCTCTTCGGGATATCCAGGGCGCCCTGTAATGTGGATTGATTTATTACAGCTGCTTCATGTAAGGTGTTCGACAAGTCACGTACCAGCAGGAGCCCGCTTAGCAGCACCTTCTGAGGCCGGATTGAGGTTTTCGGCGTTGCCAGTGGTATCAGCGAATGTCATCTCGCTGGGGAAGATTCCAGGGCAGATGCAATTAACGCGGACTTTCATACTAATGTCGTTGTTAGGGAGAGCACTTTGGAAATCAAAACCATCATAGTCCTAAGTCTGTTGCAGCAATGGATAAGCAGAGAATAGAAACATACGGAGAAAATCTACCAGCCAAGAGCTTCGATACGTGGAGAGCTTTGAGACAGAGTTAGCTAGCGTAGAAGTAACGAACGACCAACAATTAAGCGTACCTGCAGCCTGAAATGATTGTTAGCAATCTGACCCCAATGTACTGTTAGTCATATGGGCACTTACTTTTGAAGCACCATAAGTCACCGTTCCCACGGTCCTATTTATATCTTAGTTTCCAGCACTAGCTTTCCAAAGGCCATGCCAGTAGCATAACTCACCTCTGGTTGGCAACCCCGGCCAAGGAAGCAATCACAATCACGCTGGGGTCCGAAGACTTTCGCAGCAGTGGAAGGAATCCCACAGTGGTGAAGTAGACACCACTGATATTGACTGTCCACATAACCCATTAGCTACTACTTCCAATATCTTATAGGCAGGGCTGCACACCATTATTGGTTGTGGTAAAGGATTCGCTTGAATTTATCAGCATCGCACCTCATCGGAGTGAAGAATGCAGGAACATACTCGTCGACACTTTCCCACAAACCTTTTTCAACAGCGTCGGCTATTCATCTATGAGCAAAAATCAGACAGCAAACACACCAGAAAGGTAGCCATACGATCATTGGGATTCCAAGGAGGATAGTCCGTCTTCCCAGGCAGACCAGCATTACTAATTAGCACATCAACCTGTGAGACACTAGTTAGCACAACCTTATGACCCCATCAAATCCATCATTTGCGTACATGATCCTCCTTCTGTTTTATTTGTTCAACGAGCTGGGCACAGCCGTCTTTTGTGCTCACATCGCCCTTGATGCTATAGAGATGTGTCATCAGTTTTCATCCCAGCCTCAATGGTGATTGTAGACCAGGGAAACGACTAACGGTATCACTTGTCCACCAAGTGTCGCTCTTTCACGTAGTTCCTCCGCAGCCTTCTCCAGGACTTCAACACGACGTCCCGTGATATAGACTTTGGCACCGTTGGTAGAAAACCCCTCCGCGATCGCTTTCATGGGCTCAAAGTTAGATCGTAGACTCCGGAATTGGCGGTTCTAGCTTACCTTTGCCGAGTCCGGTGCCTCCGCCGGTGACCACAACGACCTATGTCTCTATCAGATATGGTTACTAGCACGGGTGGTTCACACGTACCTTGTCCTTAACGCCAAACAGGTTGGAAAGCTGGAGAGACATGGCTTTGTGGTTGTATCAGATAACTGTGACGAGATTTAGGTAGCCTCGAAGAGTCTATTGTGTTTACCCTGTTTCAATAATTACCACGATAGATGGACAAAAGATGATTGTTGAACCTTCCAGAGAAGTGATGACGATAGTGGTGAGCCGCGGGGTAGATAAGCGCCGGAGTTCCGCCGAAGCATGCTCCAGCCAGTCATGCACGAGGTACATTATAGAACACCTGTCGACCACTTCTTATGTCTAGACTCAAAAATAACAGGTTTTATTGCATGCTTACAGATTCATATCAGAAGCTGCAAGATCGAGTTATGCGCCCGTCATAGAAGAAATGATCAACGTGCGAGAGTTGGCTGATTGGTACTACTAGTGACAGATAAAATAGCACCGCAACCTTGAGTGCGCTCTGATAGAACAAAAATTAATAGGTCCAATAGTAGATAATCCTACAATAGTGTACTAAGACCCGACATAGAGAATGAGCCTCCGCTGTACGTGATGTTGGAAAGAGAATCTAGTCATAAGTTCGTAATTTCTCATACATCGTAACGAATATCTACAAGACCATGAAAGAAATCGTAGCCAGGACAATAAGAAAGACTAAACCCTGCCTATCAGTCCCACCCATCATTGACAAACTGGCCGCCGACTCAGCAGTATGATTGGCAGACCCATTGACAGCTGTGGGTTTGTCGCCCAGCCCCAATGGCAAACCCTGATAACTAAACGTTAGATTCTGCGGAATGGATGTGTTGTAGCACTGGCCGTTCCCAATATCTAGATTCGTCAAGTCATCGGGATGCAAGAAGAACATGTAGTTCGACTGGTTGAGCTTCTCAAACCCAGACGTATCGTATGGAAATTTGTCACCGGAGTCGGTGGCGCTGGTGTTCCGAACAAAAATACATTGCACTTGGCCCGGAAAGTCGGTCGCCATTTCTGGGTAGTCACGCATGACGTCGCTATTGCTGGTGTCGGCGATGAGGATGAATTTGCGCTGTGGGAATGTCTCAAACACCTTTTTCAGCAGGAATTTGCGGATGGACAGGGTGGCGGAGACGTCGCTAAAGTTGAGGGGACGGGTGTCGAAAGACCCGCCGGGGTAGTTGTCATAGATGAATTGCATGTAGTTTCTGGTGACTTGTTCGGGGGTCGTCGTCTGTAATGTGGTGGTGAGTACGCAGCAACAATACAATAAGGGAGTTTTGGTAGACTAACTAGGTAGTGAAAGTGCAGGTTGGGCAGACTGATCGACCAATTGCGATAGATGTCCGGCATATTCTCCCACGGCCGGAAGGGACGTGCGAACGAGTTGAGGAGCCCTTGCTCGGGCTCATAGATTTTGGTGACTCGTAGGATGTCATCGATGTCCGAAACGACAGTGAGCCCGGTCGGAGGCACAAGATAGGCTGTGCTGTTTCCAATCGTTGCGCCCTCCACATGAACGTTAAGTCGTTGTATCGCCGAAGTTTCGTTACCGGCCGTCAAGCCGTTACTGGAAATTGGCACGAAGGTGTCAAAGTCACCTTCGACCGTGGTGTTGTAGGGCAGAGTGAGGTTTTGGGTGCCGCCAGTGGTATTAGAGGATCCACCGCCGCCTGGCTGTCCGCTGGATCCCTGACTCGGTGCAGGCTCTAGGTGGATCGTGTTTACAGCGACATCAGGTTGCTGGACGACTAATATTTCCGCTGTTAAATTTCGGGCCTGTTTCTGCTCGGATTCGGATAGGTCGGATATGCTTGTATTGCCGAGGAATACATCAGCCAAATCATTCAGATCGGAGATGGAGGTGTTGGGCTGCTTGTAGACATTTCCGTGGAAGCGAACGTTCCAACCCGAGCTGGTCCAGTTGGCATATGGGTCGATATTCAATACATTGGTCGGCAAGGCTGCCAACTCAGCGCTGTTCAAGCCCAAGGAGCTCACCACTGCATATCCAGTGGGGAAACCCTGGAAGTAGTTGGGCACGCCCGATGCGACCCAGGAGGGTAGGTCGGATCCCAGGCCAGAAAGGATGCTGTTAATATCAGAATCGACGTCACTCAGAATATTCCGACCAGCAACTCGAGAAGGGCGATGCTGAACCGGCGAAGGGGTGATGACGGGCTCGGGCGGAGCGACATTGTTGACGAACGCTGTGGGCGCCGGTATCGCGGAGACAACTGAAAGAAGGGCTGCCTGGAGCAAGGCCTGACAGGCAAAGCTTGACCTGCTCATTCTGACTCTAAAACTGGTGGGGATAGACCTTTTGGCGCAGGAATAAGAGTAACATGGCTGTCTCTATTGTTAAATAACAAACCGAACACCCACCGACGTCATAGCCGTGCAGATCACTGGGACTTCAGGGCCACACAAGCGATTCACCCATTGGGTCTGGACGGCAAGACCCTGACCCGCAGTTAATTAACATATTTGTGCGACAAACCAGATTTCTGGATCAGGGACAGATCAGGAACAGATCAGGGTCTTCGTGCGTCATCGTCCCGGAGATGTGTCCACCACATGGAGCAATGCCGGTGCTCAACCCCGTTGCGTCATACTCAGATGGTACGCGATCCCCATTATTCCACTGCTGTTCCCTAGAAATAGCCGTAGTTTCATGGAGACTACCGTCATATTGTGAAACCCATCCTGGCAAGGTAAAATTAGCCGCCTCCGTCGCATTAATATTATATAGGTAGCTTGGAATCGCATACCTCGTCTTGGGTCAGTTTGGTTCGACAGGTCCTTAATCAAAGTACCTTGCAGCAGATGGTAATCTGCGTAATCTTCAAAACAGTCGAATTCTACTCACAATAAAATACAAAAGTACATACCAAGCCGGCTCGGATGCAGATCCGATCGATGGTTTGTCGCTCCAGTGTTCACATCGCTCTCGTCCACGGCGATCGAAAGCCGGAGTCCAGCATGAGGGAATCATGAACGGAGAAAAAGACGAGAAAGTAAAATTCATCCAACCCAGAACAAATCATAATAATAAAAATAAAAACAAAAAGGTGAATAAAAATGAAAAATCAAGTATAACTCAAAAAATAGAACCCTGCTGGCTTCTATAAGGGTATGTGGTCGAGAAGGCCGCTATCCCCTTTGTGAACGTTCTGAAATGATCGCCCCGTTAGAGGCATTATGGTGGCATCAAGCGACAGTTCGCCAAAGAAATCCACCGCAACCCTATATGGGAAGCCGATAGGTAGTCGCATACTCTGCCCTTGCTTAATTGTTGCCTAATTAATATATTTTGTCGTATCTATGTGATTTGAACTAGGGATTCTTTGAACTCTTATCTCCGAAGTCCAGGTAACCACGTTCAAGCCTCGTGTTGAGGCTGTGTCGGTTGCCGGCGGTGCCCCGATCTGCATGCATGCATGTCAGCCTGTCGTGGCTGACGCTAACTCGCTCACTTCATCCAGCACATATATCGTTGACTACTCCATCTTCTTACCATCAATTTTTCTTGCTCAACTCACTTTCCACCGGTGACATCAATACAATGCCTTCTGCGGTGCAAGCCGTGGACTTCTCCTGGAGTAGCGTACTCATCTCCTCCGCCCCATTAGATTATTCGCGTTCTAACCCGCTCCACCAGACTGCGCCAGGCCCAGCCCTGAACTTCGTCCCCTGCTACCAGGACTATCTGTGTGCACGTCTTGAAGTTCCTCTAGACTGGTCAGCCAGTGCCACTGAAAATACAACGGCCACCTTGGCCGTCATAAAACTGCCTGCACAGGTAGACCCTGCCGACGAGCGTTACGGTGGCTCTATAATCGTGAACCCAGGTACGGGAAACAATGTCACTACCGCTCCCATTCTGACTTTCACCACGGTCGCTCACAAGAATTACAGGTGGTCCTGGCGGTTCCGGCGTGCAGGAAATACTTGACCGAGGGAAAGAGATCCAGAAAACCGTAGACAGCCCCGATGATGCACAGCAATCTCGCTATTTTGACATTGTCTCCTTTGACCCCCGAGGCGTGGGAAATACCCTCCCTCCTTTGACGTGCTTTCCTGATCTGCTGTCTACTTACCTCTGGAGTGAGGCCGTGCAGGCTCATGGCTTGGTAGGTAGCTCCGGGCATGCAGCTGATCATCTCTGGGCCCGCATGCAGGCTCTAGCCACATCGTGTACGGATCCCAATAAGGACGGCGCGGATATTGGTCCGTATATGAATACCTGGAGTACGGCACACGATCTGCATCATATTGCCCAACTGCTCCAGCCGGACCCTCATGCAGATGCAAAGCTGCAATACTGGGGTTACTCCTACGGGACTCTGTTAGGTATCACTTATGCGAGTCTCTTCCCGGACCAAGTCCAACGGATGGTATTAGATGGGGTAGTAGATGCGTTAAGCTGGTACTCCGGTGATTTGTCGACATCATTGCGCGACGCGGATCGTATATTGGACAGTTTCTTCAGCTACTGTCACCAGGCAGGCCAGCCGAGATGTGCTTTTGCCAGCCCATCCGCCAACGGAGAAGACGATGAAAACGCAATAAGCGACCTCCAACAGCGTTTCACGAATATACTGTCTGATCTGAAAGCATCCCCCGTCTGGACCACTCATCCAAACCCAGACATAATCACCTATTCTGACGTGAGACGTCTCCTAAAACTCGCCTTGTACGCACCGCTCGACCTTTTCCCCATTCTCGCTACCATCCTAGCAGATCTTGAACAACGCAACGCAACGAGCATGGCCGGATGGAAAACCATGCTACGCGAGGAAATGCAGCCGACTCACTGCCTCGATCCAGAATGTCAGTCTCATGCTCCGTGCCGTGAAGCATGCCAATACTCGTTCCGCGCAGAAGTGACCGCCGGTACGGTATGTTTGGACTTGGACCAGAAGCTACTGAATACCACCCGCGAGCAATACTGGAATGAGTATCTTCGGCCTTCCATTGAGAGCAGCCATTGGATGGGGGATGCGTTTGCAGACTTTTTGATGCCATGTGCTAGGTGGAATGGTCGGGGACCGGGGGACTTCAAAGGTTCGTTCTAGTCTCATTGCACCTAGGTGCTGCCTAAATGCTAACCCAGAGAAGGACCTACCGGGATTCAGGATACGTCAGCACCTATACTTTTCGTCAGTAATACTTTGGATCCAGTAACACCCCTGGGCGAGTAAGTTTCTCGCCATCCTGCTATCTGTCAATGTACTTTCATCTACGGCCTATTGACAATAGTATTAGCGCCCACGCTATGTCCGCTTTATTCAAGCAGTCTGCCGTATTAGAACAACACGCTGAAGGTGTAAGTGCAATATCTCTACCTATGCTTCCAGAGACGTGTGTTTCTAACTGGACGTCTTTGTAGCATTGCTCCTTCGCTTCGCGTTCGGAGTGCACAGACAATTACATCCGCACGTATTTTCAAACTGGGGAGCTTCCAGCCCCAGGTACGCGATGTGAGACAGATATACGCCCTTTTGGGGTGGAGGAAGTGTTAGATGGAATCTCCCCAACGGAGCTGGAGAGGACGGAGCTATGATCTATCTACCTTCGTACATTGGTACCCGGAGTTTCCCTGTCAATACTAAATATTAAGCAAGTAATTTCACCAAAACCATTGTCATTGGATCTATGAGAGAGTTCATTGTTTCTATCTGTTGTGACGAGCTGATATAGTGCATATGTATCTTCTGTCAAATTAATGAATTGTGAACGAAAACCTTTATACTGTGATCATGCGTAAGCGAGGTCATGTGTAAAATATCGGTCGCGCTCCGGCACGTCGAACTCTCTTTCTACTGCCCAGCGCTGCTGAGATATCATATCACATTGACTGCTGAAGCTATCCAGCACACTCTCTATAACCATGAGGCACCGGAAAAGAACACTAGCCCCACGGTATCCAACAGGTGCCAGATAAGTGGTCGGTCACGGGACGCGATCCGCCAAGTTGAAGACAGTTCTGAACCACAATTAGTTATTCCCAGAACATAAAAAGCATCTCTCGATTGTATACTAGTCCATCGACATGGCCCCGGGAGAATACCATTCATTGCGCCACATACCGGAACTCGTAAAATTAGCCTCCTTACAATCTGCCACCCAAGCGGATTGCATTCCAACGACCTTGTCGGGCCCGATCCCAGCCGTATCTCAGCGCTTTAGAAGGACGGCTCAGTTTGCGGCAATGGGACTGGGAAATTCAGCATACGCTCAAGTGTCGCGGCTTGGAGCATCTTCTTCGAAGCGATCTACCTCGTCCCGACAAAACCCACGCCAAATTTGCGCTCTGGCGCCATTGGTCAATCACTGTCCGAAGATGGATGAATCGCCAGCTCTCTCGCAAAATGAGAGCAAAGTTGGGGGCCTCTCGCTTTGCTAAAAATAACGCGGATGATGCCTACAATGTTATACGAGATCTTGCCTCGCACTACGACCACGCCCTATGCGAGGCCACGTGGTTCAGGCTCATTGATATGCGGCGGTATCATTACACTACTGTGGCGCAATACGTTTCCAGTTTTCAGCGAGCATATATCGACGCGAAGGAGTTTAATTGCGGTATTAGTCCCTACACCGCGCTGATTGCGATCCTTGGTGAACTCAAGTCAGATCTTCCTTATTGGGTCGCCGCGGTGTTATGTTTGTTGCCTGAAGATGCGGTGACCGATTATACTGACGCTGATTTCTTCAAAAGCTGTCGCATGGCAATAGAGCAAGATGAGTGGTGGAATCAAAAAGATTCTAAAGTCGCGAGAGGCGGGTGATGTTTTCCACTTGTGCCATTTGAGAGAATAATTACCCAAGATGAAAGAAAGAGATATAACGGTCGATATCTGACCTGTACGATGATTTGAGGGTTGTCAAATGTTATTAAATTCCTGATACCTAGCATTGAATGAGTCAATGTCAGTACCCTTGCAAAGGTCAATGCACCACAGCGATGAGCCAGCACATTAGGGACTGGGCGTGCTCTAATATCCCCTTCCCTATGCTCAGATATCTTATCTTATCTCTATCTTCCGAATAAAGCTCACCCCACGAAACTGTTCACCGTGGAAACCAAGCACATACTCCACAATGATCAACAATCAAGTCTTCCGTTGTTTCCGCCATTTGAATATAAATATCAGATAGGTCGCCAACACCGCCATCGTGTAATTGAAAAGAATAAATCCAATGAAGATTCCGACGTTGTTACCGCGTTGTGAATAACTCATGGCATATTGCTTGACCTATATTTCCAAGAAGACGTGTTAGCAATCTTTATGTGGAAGGAAGAGGATGAACAGTAATGGAGGGAACAAAAACTAACATATTGATCACCATCCGCATAGGCACAGTAGTGGCACTCCTCAGTCGCGTCAGGATCTACTAGGTAACCTGTAGAATCCCCTGAAGCGAAGAAGTCAGCTGCATACGAGGCACATGTCTCCCCAGCGGGCACATGGAATGTGGTCAGTTCGGAGTCACGGCAGGTAATCTGCAGCGAATGCATGGCGTTGGTACCAATACCCTCAATGAAATAAAACAACGGGGAGATATCATAGAACCAGCGCCATCCGCGCGGTGTCAGAGGCGGAGGTGAGAGGGGTCCATTGAAGGTATTTATCACCAGCCAGACGAAGCCAGTGGCCACCTGTGCGGCCAGCACGGTGGGAAACAATGCGGCCGTCAATTGAGCGATACTCGCGACGAACAATGAATAGAGCTCGTACATGAGAAAGGCATAACCAGCGCGTGTTGAGATGGTGAAGTATCCGACCATGTAGTACCACAGAACCCAGTATACAAGCCCTCCCAAGAGCGTGAACGGGATCTCCACGAGAAGCGCGCTGATGGTAAAGACGCTCCAGTGGTATACACGTGACTCATTTTCTCGTGCCAGGAATTGATCGCGCAGGAGGATGAAGCGAGGTTCGATCTGGAGGCTGAGCACGGGCCCGGTGATTACTCCGACGAAAATAGAAAACATGCGTCCGCGGGAGTCAGTAAGGTCGTTGGATAGCTGAAGAAACGTGAGCCCGTTCATTAGCCCCATACAGATATTAAGTTGAATCTTTCCCAACACGTAATCTGAGTCGCGCCAGTAGTTCGTGAAAGCCCGTTGGGTGACCACTCGAATCTGCTCGAGATAGGAGGCCGCATATGCTCGATCAGAACCTGACGACCACAAAGTATTTCCTGCCCGTGGTTGAAGGAAGTGTTGAAGTTGCCTTTGGGTGGAGACATACTCGGGCGACTGCCGCCAAGTCTATCATGTTGGGGAGATGAGAAATGAACTGCGTAAAAGAAGGGTAATTCGTTGAGGTGGGGGCGAGGAATCATACCTTGAACCAGTCTACGTCGGGCTCTCCGCTGACTTCCAGAATGTAGTCCGCTGGATTTTCCGTTTCCCGGCAGCATCGCGTATACCGAGAGAAGTAATCGATTATAGTCTGGCACTGAGGCCCTAATGGACCGGAATAGATGGTTTTCCCACCTGGGACCAGCAGAAGCAAATTATCAAACTGTTCGATCATCTGCGCAGAGGGTTGATGAATTGTGCAGAGAATGGTCTGCCCAGCATCGGATAGCCTGCGCATCAGTTGCACGATGGAGAGTGCTGAATTGCCATCCAACCCGGACGTGGGCTCATCAAGAAAAAGAACAATGTCTGGCTTTGCAGCTAACTCAACCCCAATGCTCACCCGCTTGCGCTGTTCGAGGTTCAATCCTGCCCCTGGTACCCCGATGATTGCTTCGGCGATATCTTCAATTTCCAGAAGCCGGATGAGAAACTCCACGTGATGTATCTTCTCTTCCCAGGCGATTGCTTCTGAGCGGCGCAGGCATGCGCTCAGCTGGAGTGCTTCGCGCACCGTTGACGATGCTAGATGGATATCATTCTGGTGAACGAATCCTGTACGCCGTCCCATCGACGCCGGAAGTGTCTGCCCATTTAGATAGAGTCCGCCAGATATGCGGCCAATCTGGATACGCTGAGCTAGGGTATCAAGAAGCGTAGTCTGCTCGTACAGCAGGTCTGTCAGGCTTGGGGTCTATTTCATTAAACAACTTCTGAAAATCGGCTCGACTTACCTTGCCAGCCCCCGACATCCCCATCAACGCAGTCATCTTTCCTGGTTGAAGCCATCCTGTACAATAGAGCCTTGTAAGTCTTATACTTTATAATGGACAGAGAACTGAGTCTTACCTGAAACTTGGTGAAGCAAGTTCCTTCCATCGTCAAGTTCAAGTGACAGTTCATGCCAAGCAAACACATTTTGAGTGTTGTCTAGACAGCAACTAGTAGGGATCTCACCGTTGGAGATGGGTCTTAGTTCTTTGGAATCAGTGACATACGGTGGCTTCTCAATGTCCGTAGGACGGGTGGGTGAGGCGTTCGCCCACGATGGCAGCTTGCGGTAACACACCGTTGCCATTTGCTCAGATGCATGACGAAATCGCTCCATTCCAATTCTAAACAATAGTAGAGTCAGATTATGGCTGAGGATGGATATTCTCGGGAAAGGAAACTTACGTTACCACAATTGAAAAAAAGGCGAAAAAGGCCGCATTTATTGCAACATTTCGCCATAAGTGGAAGTAGTTGAACCCATACTCTACCATCAAATAGAGTCTCCCTGAAAGGTTTAATTGGCCTGCTACGGAGCCAGACACTGCACAGGCCTGAAGACTTGTTTCATTGTATGATGCTCCCCGAGGGACGATGTCCTGCAGGCTGCATGCATATGAACTGCTCCCGATCTCGTTGAGAGCGATGGACTCGAAAATATAGTACATGGGCTATACAAATGTTGAGGAGGTTAGCACATTCTGTTTGGAAGACTTATGATGACCTTCTGTTTCATCTTACATCAAGGTAGCGGATCCATGATAGCCAGACCTTCATTCCTGGTGGTGTGATATAAAAGCCCGTGTAGATGATTAGCACATTGAGTAAAAGCCCCACGGGGAGAATGGCCCGAGTGATAGAGTTTGTGAAGACAGCTATGGCTCGAAACATTACACTCAGTGCCATCAGGCCCATGTAGAGGCACGCCAGCCATGTGAAAAAGTTCCCCGCTGTACGCTGGAAGCCAATCATCCAGTAGATGGGAAGCGAGTACATGATGAAGATAAACTTCCAAGGTACGTCGGCGAGGATCTGACCGAGCGCGTATGCCGCGGGTCGGTAGAATCGCAACGCCTTCTGCTTGAGCAATATCGGGCGTTGGACAAAGGTATTCCCAAATTCAGCAGAAGCCTGCAACCCCATGATCAAAACGCAGAAAAAGAGGGCCGATGCGCGTGTATAAAGCCCTTCTGTCACGGCTCTCTGATTCCGGAACAGAGTGCCTAGAAGCAGAGCTTGGATGATTGTCCCAGCCGCCTCAGCCATCCAGGCAGCTCGATCAGTCAAAAAAATCTGATAATGGCGAACTGTACACTCATATACCTGACGGTACATGGGCAAAGCGTATTCTGATGCTTTAAAATCTTTACTTGTTGCCGACTGAGGTGGCTCAACAGCCTCACGCACCGTCTGCTGGTAGGAGCTGCTTTCTCGGAACCGGGCCTCAAAATCAGCGGGCTGAAAGGGCACCGGCCTTTGGAGATCTTTCCGAGCTTGCCGACCTGCCGGAGGCCCCGACATAGATGCCAGAAAGTCGGAAACCGAGATCCTTGGAGAGCAATAAAATCCAAGGGACTCAAAGTAGGCTTTTGCTGATGACGCCGGGCCATAGTAGGCAACGTAGCCGTCATTCAGAACTAAGATCTTATCAAACATTGAAACTGCAACATCGCTAGCTTGATATAAAGACATGGCGGTCATGCATCGACTGCGGGTGGTGTATTTGCGCATGGTAGTGAGAAAGCGGATGGCAGTTGATGAGTCCAACCCCCGAGTAGGGTTGTCAAAACAGAACAGACTAAGGGACATGATCAGCTTCTTTGGTCTGTTGTGAGAAGTACTGGATGAGTAATTTACCTTGCACGCGTGCAGAGAGCCTCAGCGAGAGAGACACGACGACGCTGGCCGCCGCTGACTCCACGAAGATAGTCGGTTCCGATTCGGACTTGAGCTGCATGAGCAAGACCCATAAGCTGCAGAAGACTTTGTAGGTCCTCTTCAATTCTGGAGGCTCTATCCGGATCAGAGTTTGAATGCCGGGCATTGAGAGCAAACCTAAGCGTGGTGCTGACAGATAAAGTTGGAAAGTGGATGTCACCCTCCCCTGTTAACGTGCATAGCCATCTTAGCCAGTGCTTGTTTTAATTGGGGTGTGGGAAACTCTCATACCAACGAAGGCTACCTGGTTGGGCTTATTTCGCCTCGCTGTCGAGGCATCCATTGAGCCATACCAGACGTCACCCTCCATTCTCAGATACTCGTCCCTCATGTTCGACAAGGCTTTCAGAACGGTGGTGCATCCACTGCCCGGGCGTCCCACAATCATCAACATTTCCCCTTCGCGGATTGTCCCAGTCAGACGCTGCAGAATGGGTCGAGATGGGATTTCCTTTCGCGAAAACCAGGTCACCGGGTTGGCGAAAGTTTTCAGACGTCGTAGAGTTTCGGGAACATCGGACATCCGTTGGCGCTGGTTTCAAGTCAGTGTATGGAATCTCTTGTCACCATGTGTCGGAAACAAACCCCAACTCCTGCGCCTATGACTGACAATTCCTTGAATATGATGCCACCCAAGCGCTCTGATTCACTGGTAGTCTGGCGACCAAGGAAACTGGCAACCAGTTGATCGATCTCTGCATCCTGATGTGTCTCTCGACTTCCATTGTACTCATTATCTCCGCAGCCCAATGTCTCCATGATACACATATCAAGCTGGTAAAAAGCTTCGCTACGCTCTATAGTCTTCTCTTGGGCGCGATTTTGCTAGGACTTTAAAGGAGCTCCTACGAAGCCTTCAAGCACCGAAGCATAGGAGAAGGTGCCGGATTACCAAATGGGGTAATGGTTGCTCCTTACGGTTAGACCAAGGGCCAGCTCCACTCTCAGCGGAGTTAGCCGACTTGGTGGATAGCATTGGGAAGTAGAGATAAATAGCAGACACGCAGGCGCAGGGAAACGACAAAAATGAAGATTCCTTATTCTTGTTACCCACTCAAAAATAATTGAAAGTATTCTCGCAAGAACCATGTCAGGTTCCCATTTTGATCCCGATCAGTTCACTCGTGCGGGTTGCATAACACGGAAATACTACCGCGATGTCTATCCCACCATCGATCCATCACGGCCAGAGCTATCACAGAAAGATAAAGTAACCATCGTCACGGGCGCAGGAAAAGGAATTGGCCGAGTGAGAACAAACCCGACCCCTTTACAGATGCAATCATGACTGACCTCTGTGATACTCCAGGCTATTGCGCGAGCTCACGCCCAGTCCGGCGTCAAGGGGCTAGTTCTTGTGACTCAGTCTGCTCAGTCGGCTGAAGAGACGAAAGCAGTTTTGAAAGCCGAATTCCCCTCTGTTGATGTGCTGTCCCTGCCTACGGACATCACCAATGAGAAGGAAATAGCGCAGACCTTCGACACTATCAGGAACCACTTTGGAATCGCGCACACTTTGATCAACAACGCCGGTGTCTTTGCCTCGATAGCGCCCGTTGCACAATCAGACTCCAACACCTGGTGGAAGGACTTTGAGGTCAACGTACGGGGGACATACCTTGTCACCGCGGCATACCTGCGTCTGATCGCCGCTGAGAGCGCCGATTTTCGGCCCACTGTAGTCAACCTCATTTCCACGATTGGTCTGACGCCGCCTGGACTGAGCAGTTACTTTATCAGTAAATTGGCTGTGGCCAAATTCACCGAGTTTGTCACAGCCGAGAACCCCCAGGTTGCCACGTACAGTCTCTCTCCGGGTATCGTACAAACTAGCATGACCCTGGATTCATTCAAGCCATTTGCTAAAGATACTGGTATGTTCACAAACATCACAACTGGCAATTTCGAAGCCCTTAGGCTAATCATGGCAAATTTTCTCTGTCCGGAATAGCGGAACTTCCAGGTGCTGTGACCGTCTACTTGGCCGCAAAACGGCCACAATATCTGAATGGACGTCACCTATCCTCCAATTGGGATTTGGCAGAGATTGAAGATAGGGAAACGGAGTTATTTTCATCAGATACACTGAAAGTGGGTCAGTTCATCTGATGGGCTCTCACTACTACCTTCTGGTGGGAGTTACTTTCACGAAACGGCGTCGCGTTCTCGTTGTTCATAAATGTAACTAGCAGCCCCTATTATCGGTGTATTCAGATGTGATAGGCTATTATATATCTTGTAGTAGGCATTCGAAACTCAATTCTAGCCGATATGCACACATGCATATGTAACATGGACGATAGTGGTTGCAAGGTTCAAAAATTAGTTTCCAAATGTATCTCAGGCACATCCATCAACATATCACTGATTTCATGACAGTACCCAGACCAGGTGTTAGGGTCAATAGTATCTGCAAATGACCACAAAGCGTTTTCCTCGGAGGCGAAGGGCACAGATTGCTGGTCCTCTGCTTCCATGTGTTCGTCGGTCTGCACCCTCCGGTAATCGTTGCGATCACTGAACGCTGATGATTGAGAACTCAGCAACTCTATGAGGGCACTAACTCTCCCTAGTAGATACCGTGTCCGATGAGCCGCTCGGGATGCAATTGGATTGTTTGTCCCCGCTCCCTCAAAAATCGGAAGTGATCGCTCAACATGTTGCTGAGCGAGTGGGAACCAGTAGCATAAGGGGTAGGCCAGCATAAACCCCACAAGGGTGAGAACGGCATTCCACAAGTACTGGTATATTTCCGAGCATCCATAAAGAGCATCATGATAAAGCATGCGAGTGTGTATGAGGTCCGTGACGGTTAGCGCATGTTGTAGTGCCGTGGTGGCGTGTATATCGGCTTGTGGACTCCGTTGTGGAACTAAGCCGCGACTTGGGAATTGGATAAATGGTCGGTGAGCCCAGAGTACGATGTCATGATATCGAAGTTCTAGAAGTGTTTTTTGTAAAGTGAGCGCTGGGGCCTCATGAAACGACAGTGTTGCATTATGACCATGTTTCAGCCGACTCATGGAAGAGGTAACCTCGTCTGGTTGATAAACATTACATAGAAGTGTAATATTGGTGTATAGGTTCGCGTCCAAGATTTGATCTCTCCATCGGTACAGGCCTTTGATTTCCCGCGACAAAAAGTGCGCATGGCGCTCAGTATGATTATATGGATCAGTTGTACCTGACGCACCACGCATATGATGCTCCAGATCCTCGGCCATCTTCCTTGCCACAACAGTGAGCAATATCGATGCCGAATGGAATCCGAGCTCTGAGGTATCCCAAGGATCCTGCGGATTTGGGAGTGACGTGTTGAGTATTGCATCATCTAGAGAGATAGCCATAGGCTTTCCCAGAAGTCGTGAACAATGGAAGTCGAGGTGTACCAATGTCCACCACACATGACGACGCGTTTCAACCTCATGTGTGGTCGCACGAGTTACCAGGGGGTGCTGTAAGCCAAGCGACTGTGCGAGTCGCATCGCCACGCCGATAATATTATATGCTGCTTGGTATTCTCCAGAGTTCTGTAAAAAAGCGGCCATAAAGAGATGCCGCTGCACGTCTAGTAGAGAAGGTTCTGCGTACAAGAGATAGTGGCTGTTCGTCCCAAGTGCCCTATGGAAAAAAGCAACATATAGGCTAGCTAGCGAAGGGGCTTGAGGGGAATGATCCCCTGTTTGCAATAATACTGAGCTCATTTGGATGCTTAGCAAGCGGTTCTGAAGCCCGGCATAATGGATTGATTGTAAGCAGTAGGCCATCAGCGCTTGCCGCAATGACTCAGACATTTGACCCGACATGATCGTCAAGTCCTCCGGGCTAATAATCGGCATTAGGGGATGATACCGAGTCCAGAAGACATCGAATAGGGATTTTTCAAGTTTATGTAAGCTGTCCAGCGTCAGGTGTGGCACATCCGACTCGGTGGTTCTCAGCAAGTTTGGCGAGGAATACTGAGCGTCTGAAGCAGCCGGATCAATAGGTTGAGGGGATGGGCGTGTTGACATCTGCGATACCATAGAGCAGAAATTATTCATTCGAGAGGTAAAGCCTGCAAATGAATCCAGCTGCGGGCGCGGAGGAGCGATGGCAGCATGGTGTGCGGATAAACTCCGTTGTGAACTGGACCTTGGCCTCACTTGTTGGTTGGGCCCTTCTTGAATCGGGGTCGATGGCGACGCAGACTGGGCTGGCGGGGGACTGCGTAAAGCAGCCGGCTGCAGTTTCCGGCTGCCAGAAGGTGGTCTTGAATTCTGGGTCGGCTTGCTGCATTGGATCTTGTTGGCACGGCACTGGCCACAGGGTAACGCACCATCGCAGCGAACCCGGTGTTGACGGCAAAAGTCGCATGCTCGGCGCACTTTCTTCCGTTTGACCAGTGGTGTTGATCGTAAAGAAACGACATTGTACAGCATTTCGGAGTAAGTGATAGATGAAGGTGAGGAGGGTGGAGCAGGTTGTAGTGTGGATAGAGCAAGGAGACTCCATCATCACTAGTACTATACTACTAGATACTAACTCATGCCTCGGTCACCTGACTCCACTGTCCCGGAAGATCAGACCAATAGGATATTGAGGAAGGAATAGCCAATCAGACTAGCCGGAATAACCTGACAGTGTGTGGACCCGACGGAGTACGAACATGTCCATGATTAGACGGTATTTTAATCCTGAGTATCTTAGTGATAGCTTCCCGTAGTTTAATGGTTATACCCACTAGACGAGGTCCTTCGGCAGTGTATAAAGTTCCGATCTACCGAGAATCTTTAGATGCCACGAGTCCGAACTATAGCCATGGCTCTATGTCCAGGTCAAGGGCGATTATTCAAATACATAGACTGCGGTAACCGTTGATCTCTAGTATCCGACTATAACTCGACCCCACTCCCTTCTCATCCTTTCTGTTCCCTAATCAAATCGATATGAGTTTTGGTCTGGTCTTGGGACTTGCTGTCTTTGAGTACAAAGAGGCCTTTTCGCTCGATATTCCTTCATGCACCATATTAGAAGCTTGTTGCGCCTGGCTACTATTGCGACATGGGATACTACATGCCTGATGCACCATATAGTTTGCATGTCCTAGGCCAGGAGAGTGATAGTATTTGTGCCTGGGAAATTGAATAGCCACTCGAAAGAGCGACAGGCTAGCAGTGCCTACATGTTGAGTTAATGCTAAGAATCAATGGATATCACACCAAAAGAAGGGCAGTGATACTATTGCAACGTCGCCATAGTAGGTTCAAGCACCAATTTGTCAATCCGAGAAAGGCTATTGACGGTAAGACTCGCGTTATGAGTTTGGTGGCATACCCCCATCTCATATGTACAATATGCAGGCTTACATCCCCTATGACGACTCAAAATCCCGTCTTCATGATGTACGACACGTGTCGCGCTCACATTATGCAGCATGAGCTGACTTAAAGAACTCTAATACTTTTAATGAATGTGACCAGTCCTTCTACAATGGCTGATCGGTCGGATAGTCCGTCTATGTGATTTACGACACGTCACCTTTTTGATATAGGTGCGTGTTATCCATCATATTGACTGAGATTTAACTAATGTCTAAACTACGCTCTGTCCCACTAGCACTGTCAGTTGGATTTTCAAGTTCTAAAATGGATCCAAATATACAAGCAATACCTGGACTGGAAAGGACTTTTGCTGTGAGACCGGCCTCGGACGATAACGATGTGAGATCATCGCACTCTAAGCGCTCGATCGCGACCATTCTAACCAAGCCTTTATTTCATAGGACATATTCACTAATGTAAATCCTCTATGGTGTCCGCTCGGACTCAATGCCGTATTTGGGGGCGTCCTCATGTCTCAAGCCCTTAACGCAGTAATGCAGCGAGTCTCGTCTTCCTTTATAGTCCACAGCATGCATTGTCATTTTGTCAAGGCAACCCGGGTCGGGAACCCTGTTTTTTATCATGTGAGCCGAGTGAGTCAGGGTAAAGCATGCAGTGTTTACACTATATCCGCAAGGCAAAATGATCATGATGTCCTCATCGCAACCGTGAGCTTTAGACGGGCCTCAGCCCCGGTTGGAAATGTCTTGAAACATGCAGTTCCAAAGCCTGAATTAGTGTTGGATGATGAGACGGAATCCCATCGCTATGGTGAAGGCACTGCGAGATCTCTGTTTGAGTTTAAGATGTCAACGGCTTCCATCGGTAAGCCCGAGAAGCAATAAGTATTTAACTCCGCGCTGACATGTATTCAGGAAAAGGTGACGCCGATCCCGAGACCAGGTACTTCAGACGCATTGTTCGCGCACAAAGTAGCTTGGCTAGACCAGGTGGCAGCAACGAGCATTTGCTTGCCCTGGTATGTATGACAGATACGTATACTGCTGGAACGGTTGGGAGAGCCCATGGTATACCATTATATACTAGATTCAACGCCGGTTTGAAGGACGGAAATCCTCAAGCACAGGTGGCCTTCAAGGCACTGTCCACCGTGGCTCATACCATTTACTTTCACAACGTGGATCATGTCTGTGTCAACCACTGGATGACGGAAGAGCTGCATTGTCCTTGGGCTGGAAACGAACGTGGCCTGGTCATATCACGCATATGGTCATCAGATGGAGTCTTACTTGCCACTTGCTCTCAAGAGGTGAGCAAGAAGCTGTTTTACTATTCGCGGTGTTCTATCTCCCACTTTCAACTAACTTAGAGATGCAGGTTCTAGTTCGACTCCCTCAGGAAAATATCCCAGCAAGGCTGTAATGAGCATAGTCCAATGTCCACCTCATATGTACATTTCATGTAAGTTATCCCTGGCGGATAATAGTTTGTCTCTTTACATGCCTCCTACACGTTCGGATGGCCACCAGAATAATAATAGTGGCGGTGCGGCTAACTTAACGGCCGGTAGCATAATCAATATCGGCACATGCTCATGTTGCAAATTCCATGTATTACATGCTGATAAAAAATTACTGTTATTTGTGTTCCTGTAGACAGCTTTGCATCCTGCCAATTATATTCGTATGCATTGCGATGAACAGTTAACTGCAAAGCTTTTGGCGAGAATTAAGGGGAGGATGGTATCCCAGCATGACCTGCACCCCAGCTAAGAAAAGAAAAGATATTAATATTGCGCTACCTGAGAATAGCTACTGAGTGCCCAAGTGGTCCTTTTCGGCTACTGGTGCTTCAATCGCTCCAGAGGTGCTCTCATCAGGGCTTTTCGGGTTGTATCTGGCAATATGCATATCTCTGGAAGAGGCGGGAGTTAGATATATTACTCTGCAGTGAATGTCCTTCTGATATACTACATGATACTAATGTACTTCTTGCGCTACTTCATCAGCATACGTTCAATTACATTCGATTCATTCGTTTAATGCAGGCCTCGACTGCGCAGCAACTGTGTATGGAAAACATCGTTTGTTTCTTGACACTGATTCTCGCCACAATAGTTGCCAGTATGCTTTTGAACAAGCTCTCAACATAGAGAACTAAGTTTCTCAATGAAGCCGGAAGCCATTTATCTCAGACCAATAATTGCAGCCAATATTGCCGAACAGAGAGATCAACATCATCAGTTGAAAGGGTAATCCAGAACAATATCTAACCTGATCTCACGCCCAGCTTCAATGCCTTAGACAAACCTTAGTGCCATTTCGAGAGCACAGAGTCAAGGTGAGTGCTTCCTCCCACGGGCCAGGATCCTTGCTCTCCAGAGTTGAGAACTGCTGTGCCAGACGGACAGTAACATATGCGGCTTCGGTCAAGGCATATTGTTGGCCGATGCAGATCCGAGGACCACCGTTGAACGGCAAGTATTCCCATCCTGGGCGCAGATCTGCCCAGCGCTCCGGACGAAACTCATTTGCATCGGGTCCATATAGATCTTGACGACGGTGCATTGCCCACACGCTGTAGAACACGATAGTACCCTTACGCACGAAAACTGGGGATCTTCCGGCGGAACCGCCACCGACTGGCAGCACAGTATTGCTCAGTGCTTTACGAGAATTTACTGGGACGACTGGGTGAAAACGAAGCGCTATACACAGAACGTTAAATAAACGACGAACTCTGCCAGTTGATGACAATGCATGCGTTGGAAACACACTCATTCAGACAGTGTTTAAGGTATGTCAGGTTCCGAAGCTGCTGGTATGTGGGTGCGCGACCGTTGAGAGTCGCAACCTCCTCGCGCAGCTTCTTCCAGATGTTCGGGCTTCTAGCCAGCATGAAAAACAAATTGCTCAGTAGCGATGCGGTGGTATCACGGCCGGCAAGGAGGATGTTCATGAGTTCATCACGGATGCGGTCGCGGTCACCTGTTTGTTCAGCCAAACCCTGTAAGAACAAATAGCGGGTATGCCTTCCCTCATCGTTCGAGCTCTTCTTGGCATAGTCTTCACGGTACTTGAGCGCCTTATCGATGAACTGCTCCACCAGGCTATGACAGATACGGTTGGATCGCGTCGCCTTGTGGTCAGGAAGAACTCGCCCTAAGAAACCGAGACGGGTGTTCCTAGCAATAGCATGCTGCGCATAGTTGAAAGCTGAAGCAAAATCATTCTCATTAGGCACCACACCAGACAGACGCTGATTCAGGCTTTGGACACTGTGGCCAAAAAGAAATTCAGTGGCGGAATCGAGCGTGTAGCAGAAGAAGAGATCTTGCAGGTCCACGGTTGAGCCATCTGTAGGAATTAACGCCAACAGACCTTGCATCAACTCCTCAAGCTTCTCTAAATCCGCAATCTGGTCCTTGACGAAATTGGGACGCACCATGGCGCGGGATTGAGCCCAGTGCTCGCCATCGGAGGTAAAGATTCCATGGCCCAATAGCGGACCGAAGGTCGCGATACGACTTCCCAGACCATAATCTCTAAATTTGAGGGATAAGACAGCTTTTAGATTCGCCGGTTCGCAGGTTATAATTAAGGGGGTTGTGAATCGCTTTACACGGAATGTATGTCCGTACCGTTGGAACCGGTGTTGGATGAGTTCGAGGAGACGGTGGGATTTCGCTGCTTGGATGTTCTCCAGAAGCACATCGATGCCGAAAAGAGGATCTTTCGAGGCTGACAATACAGGCTCACAACCATATTCCTTAGCAAACTGTGACTGTAAATACATACATCGCAATTTTCTGACCACGCAGAAGAAGAAAACAATAGCAGCTCCGACAGCTATCGTCAAGACATGGGTGTTGTTGCTCTCCATAATGTTATCGGCTTGATAGTCGATAGCAAAGGCGCTGACAATTATTATATCAAACCTGGTCGGACCGCAAAGCCGCAAGGGCATTTCACATTCCTGGGTGAATAAAGGGGAGAGCTGAGACAAGCATGCACACGTGAGAACAGTGATCAAGGGTTCTGGCGGAAGGCAGAACTTGGAACCTCCTTGCAGGAGAGCTTATTACTGATAAAGTGCGTTCTCAGTCAGACCTGACCACCGTATTAGTGCGGTGCATTCGTATTTCGGTCCCATTCTTTAAAGTTGGAGAACCAAGACAAACAATTATCAGCGGAATTTAGACGACATTATCTACCGCTATCAGTAACCCTAGTCATTCATATATGGAATGGAATATAGTGTATTGATTCGAGTTCCCGGTTATGTTGGGCTAACCCATCACTCCTAGGGATCAATCACCGTCGCGCATTCATCCCTTGTTGAACTATCTTCGCGACGCGTAGTTTATATAACACCAGCAAACAATACCCTAGCATCGAGGCTCTCTTGACTACTGCTTCTCTAAATATTCATCTCCTTGCTGCTCATTCGCGCCCAGGTAGAGAGCTGACAACGATATTTATAATTGACTTTATATGCAGCGTTTTCTGCAATTGCGGCTACTTGCATATGTACTACAAGGATATCACTGCACAAATAGTATATACAAGATACATCACTACTCCCTTTCCAAGCAGAATTTAGATGTTGCCACTGGGTAGTTCGTGGTTATACTTGATGTTTGAAGTTGGAATTTATGTACCACCTTGGTATGTGAAAAATATGATTTCCGGATAAACTAAAAATAAAAGTATAAGTTGATAAAACATTGCAGCCATCCTCATTGGAAATGGCTGGCTACGAGATTGTACTAGTTATAGAAGAAGGACTATACCTGAGCATAATAGGGGCTGTCATACAGCCAAGCTGGCTTTCGTGCCTTGCATCGCTCGCATTTGAATATATCATATTTCTCCTGCTCACATGGCCGTTCAATACAACCTCGACTCCCCTATTATGCACGGGACAACCCCCCAAGTTGATGATACCGAGTTGACATGGCTATTTAATCAGCTATCAACCAGAAATGTAGTTTCAAACCCAAAATTCTACATGTCATGCCAGGTTTGACGTTCAGGCTGCTTAGCAAACACATAGTCGCAATAGGTGACGAGGCAATTATTGACGATCGCTTGGATGGTAGAGGGACCAAATGAACCAACCCAAAGACAAGTCCGTTGTGCTATAATTTCGAGAGCAACCCAGTCTTCCTCTAATAAAACTTTGTTACTGATAACTTGCAGATAGCTTGCATCAGAAGAGGAAGTACTGTCATGTGTAAGCGTGCTGACGCGGGTGGGTCGGAAGGAATGGAAAGAGCCATTGGATCCCTCGTGGCGTACTCACTAGCTTCCAGCAGGATAGACTAACATCACCGGCATAATCTGGATTATTAACAATGCTTTGTTGCTTAGTTCATTATTAGAAATCAGATTATGTGCAGTGATTGTGATATATAAAGTACACAGCCAAATAGTTATTGTGGCCTAGTATGAGTAACAATTACAAGCAAGAGCTCAACTATCAATTTCAACACTATGTCTCAACCCAAGCCTTCAATCGTGATTGTCCCAGGAGCCTGCGCTCTACCTGAACTATACGATCCGGTGACTACAAGAATCGCAAGCCAGGGCTACGAAATCCACACAGTCCGGCTACCCAGCGTGGGCCCCAGCGAAGGCCCCCTTCCGGAGCCTGGCACCATGTATGACGATGCGGCGGCGATTGCGCGTGAGATTGAACGGCTAGTGGAACAAGGAAAGGAGGTCGTTGTGGTGGCGCACTCGTATGGCGGGACGCCCGCCAGCCAGAGCATCCAGGGTCTGATCAAGAGGGAGGGCAGCAAGGACGCTGGTGGGGTAGTACGCCTGGCGTATATGACGGCCGTGGTGCCTCCCGAGGGCAAGTCGACAGCGGACGTATTGGGTAGTCTTCCTATGGACATCTCCGTCGATGACCAAGGATGGATGAGTCTCGTCGACACCGCGGCCTTCGCAGCCACAGCCTTCTCCGATATGCCCCCCGACGAGGGCATGACATGGGCTCGACAGTCCACACACCATTCAGCAGCCAGCTTGGCTAATGTCTTGACGTATGCCGGGTACAAGAATGTCCCTGTCGCGTATCTGCTGTGCACTGACGACTTGGTTATTTCGCCAGACGTGCAGCAGAAGATGATTGATACGGTTGCAAGTGAGAGTGGGCGGGAGGCGGACGTGACAAGGATTCCCACTGGCCATGTTCCCGTCACAAGTGCTCCGGAACTCGTGGTGGATTGGATTTTGAAGATCGTAGGCTGAGAGGAGAAGTGAGACAGCCGTTGTGGAAGAGACCAGTGTTAATAAGGCATATGGAAATATACAAACCTATGGCTCTCCACCACCGAGAAAAGGGGCCTACATCGGTGATCAACAATCCATATATTGAAACGAAGCATGCAAAGGGTATCGAGGTCTCTCCCAGATGACCATAAGTATTTCTCTCCCCGAATGATATTCTCCTCAACTTTAATTTCCTAATACCACAATGGCGTCGTACGTGACGTATATCTCAGCAAGGGCTCAGTGTACGAACGGAGCAGGAACCACAGCAGTCTGACTCAATGTATAGTAATAACTCATAGAGCCCTTATAAGAGGGAATTCTAGCAGACATTCCAGAAGCCCCTCGACTTCCTGAAAAGACACAGAACAGCTGAAAAGACTGGACTGGGCCTCAGACACCTCCTGGCGCCCATGGGACGTGATCGCATCGCCATCGTCGATGACGGTCATGTTATGGAAATTATGGGGCCCAAATATCCGGCATGTAAAGGGACATTTGTGCGGGAATCAACCCTCCAGTTTGTGATTCAACTTTCTGGGGCAGATGCGACATCAGCATGCTGTTGCGACCTGGTTATCAATGTTAGCAGGCCCTGGAAGTCGGTCTAGTGAATCTTACAGCGCTCTTTCAATTGCGCGTTTTGGTGGCGCTGGATGGTAAAAGGCATCGATATGCAGATCCACGCTTTCGACAACGTGAGCACGTAGGCTATGTATGATCACATCGAACCTTGTCTTTGCTACAAGGCTCACAGGATGTGAGTTCCCCGTTGCATCGTAGGGAAGACCTATATACTAGGGCTCCCGCGGTAACATATACAACCATTTGCACTCTCCAGGCTGCAGGCGCTCAGTTGGCCAGTTGGCCAGTTGGTGTTGGGTCATTTGGTCGATGGGGGGTTCCAGTTTGGTGATGAACATGTGATCCCGATCCATGTTCGCTTTGTAATTTTTAGTCAGCCACACGATAGAGGTTAACCTAATTTAACACTAACGAACTAGTTACATAGTACTAGATCATCATATCTAGCAGCTTACTGACCTACTGTGGAAATTCATCTCTACTTCTGGAACCGTGTAAGATTGTTGTGGCTCACCTTACTTCAGAATTACGTTCCATTTTTATGGAACCCGACAGTGGAACCCTGACGGGGCGATGACGGCACGAAGCCCTGGCTCCCCGGAACCTGATCGGAAGCTATCCGCATGCGAGGCAGTCAGGGGGTTTGCCCCCGTCGACGGTGACCCCGGCATCTTGAATCTCGTATTTTGCTATCGAAGGGTATTAGCACGCCATGGCAGATGCTTCAAATTCTACAAGTACCTTTACCCTTCAAGGTGCCGGGGCCAGTAGTGTACGATGCGCTCCCCGCTAGAGATGCGGAAACTAAGAGCTAATCCCACCACTTATTAACCCTAGGTCTTTGGATCCAAGCCAACTCAGGAAGACAAGTACACCGTCCTCTTGCCCGACGGATTTTCAGGGCACACGGACAGTCTGACCTTCTTTGCCGTATATGACGGACAGTATGGGAATCACATCACGACTCTGGCAAGGTAGTCGGGACTAACTTAGGAAAAAGTGCCTCAGATAAGGTTGCAGAACATGCAAGCAAGAATATCCGTCGGCTTCTGACTATCAGTAGTGAGCTGAGACAAGGAAACTATGAATCAGCCATCGACCAAGCCATCCAAAAAGAGGAAAGGGAGCTTCTGCAAGGGTTTTGGGCTGGCGAGGAATTATTCGCCGTAGCCGGATCGACTGCCGCCCTCGCCCTGGTGAACCTAACCAAGGGCATCTTGGTGGTCGCCAATCTGGGAGATTCGCATGTTCTACTGGGAGAGGCCGATGGACCAAATGATACCTCCCTGAAAGTCGTATGTAGAATTCACAGGCCTGATTATCGTACCAGCGTCCTCTAACCCTTATGAAGGAGCGTTTAATCACATCCCACAAGCCGGAACATGCTGGGGAAAGACATCGCATTGAGTCAGCCGGAGGGACACTTAACACCGATAGCGGTGTGCCACGACTTGGTTAGTTTATTCGCGTCCCATATCACACGAGGTTGCGAACCTAACTTCCGTAGGGGGCTTGAATATATCGCGGGCGCTGGGTGATTTGCAGTATAAATTGCCTCTAAAGGATATCGGGGAGCAGTCACTATCCAGCGGTCAGGAGAAGGCATGCGTCGAACCAACAAAGAAGGGGGACTTAGTCTCCAGTTACCCTTCTTATAAACGATATACTCTGCAGTCCGATCGTCGGTACTTCTTGGCCCTGACCACAGATGGGGTTACCAATACAATGGATGACGAAACCATCATGCATCAGATCGCACAGAGCAAGCACGAGGGAATGGATGCTGACAGGGTGGCCGCGAAGATCACCGAGAAAGCTTCAAAGGTACCCAGTAGTGACAATGCCACCTGCGTCACTGTGTTCCTGGAAGGGCACGATGTACGAAATCAAGAGTAAATAATAGGCAAGGCTGGAATTCGCATGTTTACTCTCCACTTCCCATATCGATCTGACTGGGAATGCCAGGATATCTTGGCATTCCTGTCGACGCCCACGGGGTCAACGAGTCGTAGATCATCGCTGCCACAGCACGTAGCATCCTGCAAAACTCATAATTACTGTCTCTGCTAAGTTGCAGGCTCGTTCCTTCTATGGGATGACGACAGGACCCACTATTACAGTAGTATTAAAGGTCTTCGACTTTGACTGTCGCAGGTGGCTGGGTGCGGCTAGAATGTCAGGGCCCATGGTTCGGATCAATGACCTCAGCGGACCAAGCCAATCATGGAAGCAAAGTCATCCTTATCTCGATCGAGCAATCATAGCAAGATATTGCATCACGGAGTCTCAAATGTGTTCGTCAATCAGGGTCTTCCTATTGGGGAGTTCATAGTAGTACATAAATAGCCGCCCTGCCTGCAGATGAACACTGAATACATCCGTTGCTTGAACTCAGTACTATAGACTATCCCATAGACTTTGCTGCTCGTTTCGCTTTGCAGAATGTTCGAAAGTGTCGTGTCACCACCCCAAGTCCGTGGTCGAGTACCTCGGGTTCAGACAGTCGCAAGACCGGCCGTTGCGACAAATATCATCGATATCCGCAGTGATAAAGCAGAGACTCAGCTCCGCCAATCGCTCGAAGAGTCCATCCATGCGGCCTGTCACGGGGAGGCTGCCATGCCGGAGCTTCTCCTCTGGGATGAAAAGGGACTACGCTATTTCGAAGACGTGACATATGCTCCATCCTACTATCTCACCAATGAAGAGATCGGTCTGCTCGAGAAGCACAAATACCAGATCGCTGAACACATTCCGTCTGGTAGTATGTTGGTCGAGCTAGGCAGCGGGTAAGTGTCCGAATATTTGGAGTTCATTGGCAGCCGCACTGACTGAACAATCAGAAATTTACGCAAGATCAAGATCCTTCTAGACGCTCTAGATGAAATGGGCCGGGAAGTGGATTATTTCGCGTTGGATGTATCGTATCAAGAGCTCCACCGGACTCTCAGCATCGTGCCACCAGGGTCATTCCGCCATGTACGCTGCTTCGGGTTGCTGGGAACCTACGACGACGGTCGGGATTGGATGCAATTGCCCGAAATCTGTTCGCGACCCAAGACCATTCTCTCCCTGGGATCAACACTGGGTAGTTTCCAGCGGCCGGAAGCAGCCGACTTCTTGGCCAGCTTCGTCACCCCCGAAAGTAACTCGTCGCTGCTCATCGGTTTGGACGGTTGCAAAGACGCCGATCGCGTGCTGGCAGCCTATAACGATCTTGAGGGGATCAATCGGCGGTTCATCAAGCACGGCCTTGAACGCGCCAACGAGATTTTAGGGCCGGATACTTTTGATCTCGACAAATGGGATGTTCTTGGCCGCTGGGATGCAGCGCAGGGAAGCCATAACCAGTACTATATCCCCTCAGAAGATGTGTCTCTGGCGGGCGAAACCATTCCGGCGGGCCGGAGTATCTTGGCAGTCAAGAGCCACAAGTACGATGCTGATGACAGGGATGCGTTATGCCGGAGAGCAGAATTAGCTGTTGGCGATGCATGGGCGTCCAAGAACCAATACAGTAAGTTTATCGCCCTTAGATCCTTTTCAACATTCGACAATCAGAATGGCATTCTCTTCTTGTGTGTACACAGCTAACCCAATCACAGACTTACTGTATCTTGAGAAACCATAGGGCGTCACTTATGAGCCGGAAACATGCAGATAACCGAATAATTTAGATATAGCTTCGGGGATCACATAAAACCTCCCAGTCACTGCTCTAATTACCTCATAATATCATAATACACGAGTGCTTTATCACCCAGGAAAATGAGTGAGAAGATTGCACGCTGAACTCTGCGAGTCACACTACCTTGTAAATCCGATTCTTAGTAACGCGTGGCTAGCCAGGGACCTTATCCTGGCTAAGATGTTTGTCAGACCAATCGCCTTAATCCAATTCCTGACTACTTCGTTTGATACTACCCTTTCAATATGCTCGTAGGTTTCATTAGCATAGTAGATTTCGGAGACCTTCCCATGTAGCTTCCTGCATAACTGCGGTGAGAGTTGGCTAATGAGCCAGAACGAGATAAAATTACTCCAGTCTTCCCACGGTTCATAGCCTGGAGTATCCGGGGCCGGTCGTACATTCTATTACTTGCTTTAAAATTTAGAAACTCTATACGTGACTATGTTCCTGATCTCTATACTAAACTATTTACCAGGTTCATATCCATAGAGTTCGTATCAATATGGATATCCCATCCAAATACAATATTATTATATACCATTTACCATCCAGCCATAACGAATTAGGCAAACAAGCAGTAGCCTAGACTTACAACTCTTTCTTCAAGAAGTGTTCCGGCTTCTGCGTCGTCTCATAATCCACGTGTACATACGCCCGCTCCACATCCGGCAACGACTCCAATTTCATCTGCAGTTCCTCCGCGACATCATGCGTAGCCCGCAGCGAATCGTTCGGGTCCATGACGATGTCAACTTCCACAAGCAATCGAGGGCCGGAGGTGTATGCACGGACGGTATCGATGGCGGTGATGAGAGGGGAGTGGGTCATTGCTTTTTGTACATCATTAGTTTTTATCGCTCACCTACAAACGAAGTGGGATGGAGGTAAGGGAGGGACATAAGCTCACAGATGTAAGTAATCAACTGTTGCATCTTCGTATCGGCCGTAACACCAATAAGCAACTGGAACTCGCGATACGCGCTAAACAGCCACAAGCAACTGACAAGCACGGAGAGGACAATAGCTCCCGCGGGGTCAATCCACCAGCGCAATTTACCACCACCTACGCTGGTAAGAATACCAAAGCCGTTGATCAGGAGGTCATTGCGGTGGTCTTCCCAGAGGATCATGACCTGGGAGTACTGATCCTTTAGCGCGAAGCAGTACAGGAAGAGCACGAATTTAGTGCAAAAGGCGACGATGACGGCGACAACAGAGGGGAGGTGGAAAGATCCCGTCTCAGAATTGGATCCTTCAGCGAGTTCGCGGATAGAGAAAGCAATGAGGATGAAAGAGACGGCTGTCATGAGGAAACAGAAGCAAATGTTGCCGGCTGTTTCGATGCGAGCTTTTCCGGCGGGGAATTTACGAGGGTCGACGCGGTTGACAGCCTTGTTGGAAACGAGGAGGGTTATGTTGGAGAGAGGATCGAAGACGGCGTCGGCCATGGTTGTGTACAGGGAGAGGGAGCTGGAGGAAATGGCTCCGTAGAGTTGCAGGACACAGAGGATGACATTGGCGGCGAAGGAGCCCCAGACGGCGATTTTGTACTTGAGCTGGTTGCTGCTGTTTGTTTCACGGGCATCGCGAACGTGTTCTTCGACGGGCTTGAGCATGCGCTGAATGTTCTCATTCTGGGACTCGTAGAAGGTCTGCAGTTGTTTGGAGGCTAAGGAGGAAGCGAGTGCATTGCGGGGGTTGGCGGTGTGGGGGAGGCAGCTGGAGGTGTGACGCTTGCGGGAGATGTTGGCTTGGGGTTGCATCCGGGCGATTTCTTCGGGACTTTTCAGTTTTGAGGCTAGTTGGAAGGGGTCATTCTCGCGGGTGTAACGCGGAGGTGGGCTAGACTCCTCATCGGACGTGCTGAGGTGAGACTCCAGGGCCGTGGTGGTGGCAGCATTGTAGGAGATGGACGAAGGGAGGTGGTGAAGAGGAATAGTCTGAGGAGGGTCGGCCATTTTGATGATGATGATTAGATGAGAACTAAGGGACAATGGAGATGGAGATGGCGGCGGACAAAAGGGAAATCAGTGAGAAGCGATGAAAAGGCTCAGGGTGCGGAGATCTGATTTGATTGATATGCCTGATTGGGTTAGACCGGGACGGCTTATGTCATGGCTTATTTTCACATCCCTACCGATTACGTTATAATTAGAATGATTCTGGGGAGTTATATGAGTTACTTGCGTTTACAACGGTAAGACTCATATGCAGATAGAGTTCAATTGGCTGATGACCGCTCCTAAGCATGTGGCTGCATGGATCAAAGCATTGGTCGCATGCAGTGATGTCCTAGCGAATTATCCACCAGAGAGGCTTCCACAGCATTTACAGACACTCTGAAACATGGCGTGAAGAGATTTAGAACAGGCGCTCAAGTTAATATAATTGAGTATTTCCACAGTCATTGAGTCTCTCACAGGCGCACTGCAGGCAAAGACTATACTACATGACACAAAACAAAAGTACATCAACAGACACCTAATGGCCAATAACTAGGATTCATAGCAACAACAGAACTTAGGACAGCACAGTGATGTTGCTTGACAGAGTAGTACATTTGTACGGAAGATCCAATGACGGACGCCCAGCACCAGTCAGCGGCGACGTGCTGTAGTTGTAGGTTGGGCTGAGCATCATAATTTGGCCCACAGTAGTGTTGTACTTGTCTGCATAGTCCTTGTAGACACCATACTCCAACGTGAACGGCCGAATCACACACTCACTTGGAGAACACAATGGCACCTTGAGGTACTGACCCGGAGCAAGCACTTCATCAGCCGAGAAGCTGGTATCGTCACTCATGAGCGACTCAGTCGTAATGTTCAGTCGTTTCGCGACAATGTCGAGGGTATCCCCGTTGACAGTATAGTAGAGACGCGGACCGCCGTCGATGCAAGTACGGGTGCGGGTGATGTTGGGCAGAAGGCAGGTCTCATTATCGGGCTCGCAGACCTCAGCGGGGATGATCAAAGTCTGGCCGACGTTGGGGATGATCGTCACGTCGGCCATAAGGTTGTGACGGCCGATGTCGCAGACGCCCCGGTTAGTGGCCTTGGCAACATCGAAGACGGTGGTATTTTCCACGGTAATAGGGTACAATCCCACAGTGGTGTTAAGGGCGGTGGTATTGCAGGCTGCTGAAGACGCGAAGGTTGAAGGCAGTAAGGACAGGAGGGCTGTACTGGCCATGAGGGCCTGCGAAGAAAGAGACCACATTTTGTTTATAATAACCAGAGGCAGAGAGGGTACCCGGGAGATATGCAAGAAAAGATTATAGAGGAGAAAGTGTACTGTGATTTCTGATGTTAAACCAGGAGATTGAACTCGGGTCGCGCACTGGCTTTATATACTCGCAGCCCGCATGTGGCCTGTCCGAGGATTCAATATGTTTCTGTACAATAACGATCCGTCCTGAGATACCGCGCAGGCTATCAGTGGAGGAGTACGTACCATCGGGGATGAGTGAGGACATTGTTGGTTCTGTCCCCGCAGGGTGAGCTTGCAAGCATAGGGAGGCCTCGTCCTGCAGCACCAGCAATTGTGAACATGTACCCACAGCTTTAGAGATTGCATGCCTGCGACTGGACGATGCAGCAGACCCTCCGCAGCCCCGTGAATAGAATCTTGTTTATTTGGCTAAATTATGCTGCAGGAGCGCTGGCTAAGCCCATTACAGCTATTTCGCCCGAGGAGGGTTTTTCGGCGATGGGTCCTACTGACCCGCTCCGAACTTGACCCGCCCTAAGAGCAGCCAAACAAGTGGATGGGAGTGTCCATCGCAATATTTCTGTCGGAGCCCGGATTGGATGGCTAGAAGTTGGAGACGGCAAAAAGGGTTCAACCCATGAAGAGTAGTAAATGCCGACTTGATGAGATATCATACGCAGTAACTAGATAGATTGCAGATATAAGCCATTCTGGTTTGCACAGACCCTGTGAGGTGGAGCCGTTCCCCGTAGCGCGGAGATAATATTGCTATTTGCTAGTATTCAGTCATCCTGCCCTGCTGCCCTCATTGTCCTTCCTCTGCTTCTCGCCTTCCGCCTCCCGACCTCCCAACCTCCTTCTCCCGTCTTTCATCTTACTCTTTTTTTTATTGGGGTCATCGGACTAGCGGTGATGATCATGCGGGGAATAAAACTTTCATCTCAATGGATTGAGCAAATTCCACCCAAGACCCTCCGCGTCTTTACCTGGGACGCGTCATGGTATGCATCCGAATCCCAGCTCTGATCATGTCGCTGCAGGAACCCTACTAGTTAATTGGTTCTTTCTGACCTATTACTCCGAGTCTAGTGCTTTGGCCGGGGAAATGCTTCCCCTCACATTCCTGGCTCCTACGCTCATGTCTGTACGTATCCCTCTATCTAAGCGGATCCACCATGGCAGCTCGGTTTCCAAGGCCAATGCTAGCTTCGTAATTCCTTTGCAGGCCTCCGGTCGTCCCAACGCCGACTGGCTTGGAATTGGTGAGACATGTGTATTATTGAGTCTACGTAGAAAAGGGAGGTAACAAGAAGGAAGTTCATAACTTCGATAACTTTCGTGGACTACAGAGGATTTCTTCTTTGCATCCACGCTTGCGCAATTGCATCTCCAGATAAAACTTCGGAGCTGATGGGTGATATGCTTCGGCTTCCGATCTAACTAGTAGCATCCCTTGATGATACATCCCCGGTCAAACCCGGCCGATTCCGGCCTGTCAAACGCAGTTCATCCCGCTTGAAACCTTGCTGTTCACGCACCCGGTCTTGGCCAGCGGAGTGATGTTGGTGCCCGGTTTATAGCGGATATTGTTATATCCTTGGGAGGGGTGAGCTCTTCTAGACTCCACTGCCTAGTACACACAGAGAATGGTCTCCCAGTGTTTATGAGAGCTAGGCTGGAATAGCACATCAGTAGTTATCTTGAACTATATTGACTCCAGACCAGGTGCCTTATGCGTCGAATTGTTAGGCAATCAATCCAGGATTACCCTGCAGCCAGTTTACAATGTGCACCATCAAACAGAAGAGCCGAACAATCACGTCTAAGAAGATGGCAGTCGAGCTTGTAACCCCATGCTCGGTTGTTTAGCTTCACTCGGGGGTCGCATGATCTCCCAAAAGGTCCAGGTTGAATAGACGCGCCTGATACTTTCCCCTTCCTTGGTTCAACCAGTTTGCCTGCGTCTTCGATCATCTTTTCAGCGACAATTGAGGGATTGATCGCGTGTGGCTCTGCCGGGCGTCGCGTAGTCCGACTCATGGGCGGCGATGGCGGTGGGGCCTAGCAGAAGGATTCCAAGTCCGACGCTGATGATGATTGAGCTTGCTAGCCGGTGGCCTTGGCGTGAAGCCAGGACTTCTTTCGCATCTTTCACTCTGCCAGTACTCTGGGCCTGTGGGTGAACTAGCCGCTGGTTGTTTGTTTGTTCCCATTTTTTTCTCCACATACGAATCCGTTTTCGGGCAAGATTGCGGGCCATGTCGGAGGTCTTTAGCAACTGTCACGTGGTCGCCTGTAAGATAAACCGCGTCAACCGCCCTTCCTCTATCTAGTATCTACAGCAAATTTACTTATCTCGTACGAAAATTCATTTGCGAAGACGTGTCTACATATCTCAAGTCCCATGCAGTCCGGCTCCGCTCGGCCGGATTCAGTGGGCGAAAGCTATCCTATCAATCCCCTCCTTTGACTCGCTTGCTTCTGCGGTCCCAGTAGTTGATTCAGGAAGGTTATCACAGAGCCTCTTTAATTTGACAATAATGCACGGCCGAGTCGAATTCAAGCAGGCCTAGGATGATATCTATCTTCATCAAACAGTGACTGCTGCTCCCAGCTTTCCTTAATCCACTCACTGGTAACTATGTGAGGGATCTTCTGATCTGCTCGGGCAGACACAGTTTTCCTTAGCGTGGCGATCTCCGTGGATGGTGTATCCGGATCTACAACCACATGGGTGATGGAGGGGTCCTCACAATCATAAACAACGGTGGCACCTGCAAATCTGGCCGTGTTGCGAGCCAAAGATAGTCGATAGCCGCAGCTAGGATGTTCCGACTCCCCAGCATCTGGAACCTGCGTTGTCTGGTCGGGAAAGAAGAACGTCAAGTTTTGGAAAAGCCATCCGCATGGGAGATCCCATCCTGCGTCCACTTTCTCTTGAATAACTTCTCTAAGCTTCTTGGTGGCTTCGCCTCTCGGGGGCACATCGGAACTATTCTTGTCCGCGCTCATCTTATCAAGTAAACTGACCAGCTCTTCCCTGGTGACATCCCGAGCGTAGCTGTCATTGAACGGGTCAATACTCGTCAATACCTCCTCCTCCTTACTGGGCGTTGTGAAAAACATGTGCCGAGGTTCCAGGGGAAGAAGCAAGTCTGGCAGGCCCGCATCAATCTCATTCTGCCTTAAGCAGTCTAGGATCCAAGATGGTCGGATGATGCTCACATCGCCATTTTTTTGCAAGGAAGCTGCTTTCACAGTTCTTCGGTCCGCGATGCATACGGTGTTGGGAGCGGCCTTGTTTGTCTGATATATCTTGCCTCCATTCAATTTGACAAGTTGTTCCAACTCCGCCTTTGACTTCTTGATCGGGGCTACCGAGTCGGTCAAGATAAAAAAGTTGAATCCGTCGAAAATATGCCCTGACGGTCCTTCGTACTTCACCTCTGCACTAGGGCTGTATCCTGCAACAGTCAAGGCTTTCTTTGGTCGCTTCACCCGTTTCTTGCGGAAGTTCTCAACACTGAATTCCTTCTCCTTTTGCTCTTGCTCCACGTTTGACTTCAGATCCAGGAACTCTTGCATAGAAAGCGCGCTCTTCCAGTCCTTATCCATGCGTAACCTCTTGAACCGCGGGAAGCGCAATGTCAACCCAACCCGAAATTGATCACTGACTGATACTGATGCTGCTTTGACACAGAGTACCACCGAATCCTCCGGTTTGATCCACTGATCTGGACGCTCGTACTGGGCATTGCCACCCGCCAGCTCAATGTATGCCGTTGGCGGATTTTGGGGGTTCCAATCCATCCATTTGCCATCAGTATGATGACGAATGTTCGCATAGTCTGCTGCCGTAAAGCCTCCCCCGACCTTGCAGAAGGAATAGCATTTGGTGGACTTATTTCCTTGCGAAGAGCTAGCATTATCGATCCTCAACCCACACAGAAAGCTTGCAAGACCCCCTCCTCGATGACCACTTCCATAGTAGCCGCCTATGACTATCAGATCCAGGGACTCCCCAAACTCCGTCATGTACTCAGGCTTCACTTTCATCCAGTCGTCATGTCGTTCATTGAGGCGATAGGGGGATCTCGGGTTTTTGAGCACTAGTCCCTCTGAAGCCTCTGCAACAACTCTTCGAAGCGCCGCTTCGATCTGGGCTTTGTCTGTAGCCTCCTCGTAAGGATGGACTTCGAAACGACGGTGAACTGACTTTACACTCTTCTGCAGGGCATTTCGACGATCGCGAAGAGTGTACCTGGTTAGATCGTGCCCGTTCAACAAGAGTAGATCGAAAACACGAAACAGCGGCCGTGATCCATTCGAGAATGGGTTTCTCTGCTCGGCTAATGCGGCGGTCTTCAATGTGCCGAATGGTTCAGGGGCGCCCTGCTCAGGATTCCAGGCAATCATTTCACCGTCCAGGATCAAACTGTCGACACCATCTGCAAAGGCGTCTTTAAGATGCCTGGCCAAGGCACCATTGGGGTCCTCGAGGCTCTTTCCATAGAGGTAGGTGTAATCTTTCGCTTTTCTCGACCAGAAGCGAAACCTCCTTCCTCCTGGCACCGAACTGTCAGACTGCATATGAAGCTGCATACGCTCCCCATCGAGCTTCTCCTCAATCCAGAATACAGGGTCTTCTTCTGTACCCCGCATCCGGGCAATCATTCGATCGAGGGACTGCATTTGAAACTGAGCTAACTGGGGCTGAAAGCATTGCATCAGAGAAATGCCACTGTTTTCAGCCCCCAGTCGAATGTTTGGATCATGCAGCTCCCAACAAACGCGTCGGAGGCTACTGGATATGCTATAGAGATTTGCAGCATCTGGGTGCCATACATTGAATAACGTTCGCTCTGTAGCCCCGACTTTCATTTGCCGGAGAATAATGCGGATCAGCCACAGCATCTCTTCGGGGTTCATTCTTCGGTAGAACTCCGACAGGATGGGAAGCTGTTGCTCCTCCTTGGAGGCACTTGAAAGCTGGTCGAGCTTGTCGTTCACTTCCTCAATCGACATATTGCCCACTTCCGTCCTCATAGGCCGTTTTGAGATAACATCGTAGCAGCGTCTAGCAAAGTCCCCCGCCATAAAGCGCGAGGTAGCCGATTGCCCTGGCAGCTTCCAGTTCAAAAGATTGAAGCCGTCCTCCGAGTTCTTGTCGATCTTCATGATTTTGACCAGTAACTTACCGATGGCCTTTTCTTTGATACCGTACATGGCGCGGTCACGGTCTTTGTCCGGAAGAATGAGCCGGAATGCAGGATAGATATCATCGCCCACCTCTTTCCGCCATCGTGAGATGAACCGCTCAATGACATCTCGTCGTTTCTCGTGTGGAGTAAGGTTTGCTGCCGACTGGCCATGAGGCCCGACTTTTCGCCGAGGAACGGCAGATCCTGTGGGCTTCTTGGAGAGCTCACTCAATGGATCAAACAAGGTCTCAAAGAGCTCGTGAAACGGCAATGTCGGGGAGTGATTGTGGGGACGGTTTGGGTATTTCTCGTCCAGATTTGAGTCTTGTTGTGAAGGTTGACTGTAGGAGTGGGACTTTTCATGATTGCTAGTCTCTACCTCATCCATGACTCATCGACGTGCTCTGTATAGGTTGTTTGTCGGTGAACGGGTAGAACCAAGCATTTATAGGACCAAGTACTAGGCAGTGCAACTGACCAGGCTGGCTAGGTGGATGATGAAGTACTATGGAGACGATAAAGATGTGGAGAACGCCGGTCGGCGGAATGTCACGTGAATACACTATATGGGGCGGGTGGAACACTACTAGTACCAATTAGGCAGCAACCAGTGCAGGCACCCACCTCTGCTGCCTATCAAGAAGTAGTATGGAGTACATGGCAGCCTGAAGTGTGCTTCAGTACTAGATTCCATACGATGTATATAGTCAAGACACTCATGTCTCTGCTACTCAAATTGTACCTCCCAGCTGATGGTGATTTAGTATTGACATGACACTTTTCAATTACTCGTAGTATATAACACTAGTTAGTTGCAGTAGATACCGGATATCAACGTTAGACCCGATGATATATGTCTACTACTAGTACTATCTTCTACAACGAATACTAGTTTGAGCTTGACGTGATAACAGCTGCTCAGTTATTTGATCTTTGGAACGGTAAACATATTGTTAGCATGGCAGCAAATGATTCAATCTATCTCTTCTAAGAAACAAAAACTAACGCTTCATTCCAGCCGCTCTAGGGTATCCTTTCTATTCCCTTCTCCGCTGCAGCGTGTGATAGCCGAGCTGTCGGCGTGTATCCGCAAGTGTAGCCCCCCTCTTTGTCAACAACTCGCGGATCTGCGCTTCACTCTCCGAGATCTTGCGAGCGAGCTCCGCTACTTCACGCACGCGGTTCCGAGGAATGATCACGACGCCATTGGAGTCAGCGACAACGATGTCCCGGGACTCGACCCGGACCTTCCCAATACCAACAGGCCCGTTGACCTCACCGACCTGGACCCGATCTTTTCCTGTACGCATCCACCGTCCTGCAGTGTATAGTGGATATCCCTCCTCAAGGGCCAGATCCACGTCGCGACACACTCCATCGATCACCGTGCCTGCAACCCCCCGCAGCGCGGCATAGTGAGTCATGATATCGCCCCAGACTGTACAGTCTGTGCGGCTACTGTTATCAATAACAACCACATCCCCAACCGCCACATCATCCAGAAAATCCCCTACACTGCCAGGCGGGTCGCTCGCAGGGACATAACGGACGGTGAATGCCGGACCAACAGTAACCCGCCGGTTACTCGAACCCGAAGATAATAATGGCTGAATACCCCAAGCCTGTCCTGCGATTCCCAGGGAATCCAGTGCATCCGAGACGGCTGGCGAGTCCAGACCCCTCAAAAGCCCAACCAACTCTTGATCCTCCGCACTTGCCTTCCGGGGATTCTCTTGCGATAGCGGGCTGGCAGCAGCGGCAGCCGACACGGTCTCTTGCCGGAGTTGCTCGAAGCGCGAGTCGCGCATTACCGCCGACACCGTCTGCCCAGAGCGTACTGCCTCTACCATCTGGTTTTCGCGGTTGTTGATTTGCTCCGCAAGGGTGAGGACGATCGAGATATGTGCTGCGGGGACGAAGACAGTACCGCACGCGTCCGCGATAACATAGTCATCCTGCTCGACTGTCACACCCCCACAGACACGCACGGGCTTGCCGGCGCTGACAGAGACTATGCGACTCCGGCCACTGATCATCGTAACAGCACGTCCGTAGAGTGGATACTGGACCTCGACGCTACCGTCGATATCTCTGCATACTCCGTCGATTACGGTACCCCGGATTCCCTTGGCCTTGGCGGCATTTGCAATGATGTCGCCCCAGCAGGAGACACCCTCCAGCCCGCCGGCGATGACAAGAATCCGGTCGTCACTGCTTACTGCATCGATGGTAGGAGCAAAAGGATGAGGTGTTGGAGCTGTCCCGATCCTCGGGCCTACTTCGACCGTGCTAGCGCGGCCGACGATTTTCGGACAGTTCCAGAGAGGCCGGAGACCGTATGTGGCTCCACGAAGATGGAGGACATCTAATGCATCGGATACTGTATTGGTATCGAGAGCCGCAAGGCGGTCCAAAAAGCTGGTTGTCTCACTCATACTCTTCCGGCTATATGTGCGGACAGATTTTGGGAAAGAAACTCGGAATATTGAGGAAAACATGTAATAATAATAATCGCTTCTGCAACTTGTAGTCAACTTGTACCCTGACCCTCTTTATGTATTCAATATAGACTGTTTCGGATGCAAATACTCCGTATATCGGCAAGTCTATGCGGGGTGGGACATCCCGAGTTGTCTGCCATCCCGGCCGATGGACGGGATGTGATGGTCCGTCTATTCATCGATGCAACGGAATCTTCTACCCCGCCGCATTCAATCTTGACCCCGCTATCACTGATCTCAGATTAACATAACCAAATCAATCATACCATGGCGCAAAGCAACTGTAATAGAATTGAAGCGATTATGACGCGGGTATCTGCCAACCAGTGGACATTAAACCGGCTACTACGCAATCAACGGCACCAGATGAATCCGGGTGCTGGGCCTCACTTCCGATATTATAGTAATACACTCCTATCGGGGGGTAGTAAGATAGAGTGCATGATGACATCAGTTCTAGTAATGGATAGATTTACAATTTAGTATCATATACACCTGCATATCACCAACCCCACTGACCGGCTTTACACTTACCCCCGGCGGGGGTACGATAATGGATATATTGATCTAGCAATCAGCGAATTGATCATAAAGCCTTTTTGATTGTAGGGGCATCCAAGTAAGCAGTTTAACCTTTTGCCGATTTTATGTCGCTTGGCTGTTATCGCGGGATGCTGTGCGACCCAATTTTCAAACGTGGAGTGCGATACTACTTCTACGCACTCGGGCTATTGGTCTATCATAATCCTGTTAATAGGTAAGTAGAAGATCTAAGTACTCTGCTTGGACAGACGTTTACGATTCCTCATGATATCTCTGCAAACCTATCTATCAAGTATTCATACCCTATTGCCATCATACATCGGATCGGTGCTTAATAACACTGATATACTTGCTAGCTGACCTGTCACTCACGGTATCAGTAGCTAGGAGAATATAGTACAAATGATAACGTCTATGTCCGCCACCTAAGGGCCCCGGAGATCTGTGAATAATTCGGCCATGCAGACTATACAGGTACAGTTTGTGCTTCCCATTAGCCTACACTGGTGGAATAGACTCTCGGCAAATGGGGCACTGCAATCGAAGTCGCATCCAGCTCTCGAGACAGGTACTATGGAAGATATGCCGGCATGGGGTGACCATGTATGTCCGTCGGCTGAGGAGACTCGTGGCCCCGTCCGTCATGCTGCTACTGCCAGCACCGCCCGGAGCTGCAAGAACGGGAACCTCAATCTCTTGCATGCAGATGGCACAGTCAAATACTGCCTTCTTCTTATCTTTCGCCCGTTGCTTATCTTCATCTTTGGCTTCCATGGAGTATTCCCGCTCGTCAGCCCTCAAGGCCCCGATTGGAAGGACTCCGCCAGACTCAAGATCATCACCGGATCCAGAGCTATCGCGTAGCACAGGGTGATAGTCATAGGCGGGTGGCGCCCACCCACTAGGAACAAAGAAACGGGGTCCCAGAATGTCCTGGCTAGCCAATACCCAAACCTGAACCCACACCCACCCAGCCAGTGCCAGGGCTGTGGTCGAGTCGGGTCGAATGAAAAGCACATTCCCACGTGCAGTCAAAAAGTAGATAAATGGAAAGAGTCGAAGGAAACTTTGGCCAACCACAAATTCCCAGCGCAGTGCTTTGCGGCAATTGCGCATAACATTTCGATATATCTGGGGTACCCAGAAGGATAGATATACAAATCCGAGGGTCCGAGCATATATGGCTCCCATACGGTTTGGCCAAATGAAAGACCAGACAGATATGATGAGGAGGACAAACAAAATAAAGTAGAAGCGGGCGTACATGGCACCGACATCACCTCGTGTATCCTGCGCAGTCGGCGTGGCGCCCCGATTCGCAGGAGGTTCGTTTTCCTCTGATGGAGGGTCCTGGTCGGGGGTCAAAATGATAGGCGTTGCGCCAGTATCAGTCACTCTAGTCGTAGTAGCAGGGAGTGGAAGGTTTCCTGATCGCGTAGTAGGATTCGGTCGACGTTCTTGTTCTCTTCGCTCCGGGGCCTGGACTGCCCAGATTTCCATCATGAATTTCATTCCGATATAACTGACCGAGAGGAAGGTCAAGAAGGATGCTGTTGTCATAACAAGGAAAGAAACGGCCGGATAAAGCTCTAGTAGCATGAAAACAAGTACGAATGAATCGCCGAACGCCATGAGCGCGATCGTGTAGAAGCTGATCCGGCTCCTAGTAGATGGCGTGGATGCTTCTTTGATTTGACGCAATAGTAATGCGATCTGGCCAACAGAAAAGGCCGAGATCATAAAGATGATACGAGCAGAGAATCTGCCAAATTCCTCCATCTTCGGCCCCGATAGATAGAGTGCTTCTGTCGGTGGGAAGTCAGGAGCTCCCTTAGTCTCTAGAATGTACCCACAATCCGGCGAGAACACGACGGCTGACATAACTAAGGGCGGAGGAGACGGAATGGGGGCTCCCATTGGATATCTCAGCTCTTGTTCTATCTGCTCGATGATCGTTTTATCTGTAAGGTAGCCATGGATCGCGACGGGATGCAGCTGGAGGTAGACGATATGTTCACATTTTGGAGCAGGGTATTCCACCTGCTCCGTCCCGACAAGTGAGGACCAAGGAAATAGGGTAGGAGGTCGATTCTGCTTCTCAGATATAGTGTCCGAGAGGGATTTGACGAGAAGCTGGTGGGTGAGGTTGTATGCGTCTGGCGATAGCATCAGATGCGGTAATGCGAATACACCACCAAATTTCTCGCTGGTTGTAGTCAAGATGATAGCACCCGTCTCCGGGAAATGAACACCATACAGCGACAAATACCAGGTGTTACCCCAGAAATCGCCGCTCTCCACAGCCAAAGTTGCTCGGATCTCCCGAACCTGGCCCTCGGGCAATTGGACTTCCTCACCACCGCCCTCCCGGAGATCAAGGTAGAAAGTGCCACTATCCCCCGTAACATTGTGACTGAACTCATGCGTGAAGTATTCGTTCTCCAGTGCAATTGCAGTCGTGTTCAATAGGGCATGTTGTTTGTTCTGTTTACGGCGTACCCATTCCCCGCGCAGCTTACCGGTCGCATTACGATAGACTGGGAGGAGTAATTGGGTCAAGTTAAGACCGGAGAAGGCGTCAGGCACGGCAAGGGCCTTGGGAGGCCTCAAGCCCGCCTCTGCCATGGTGGACCGCAGCTGAAACCGAGCTCTATCCTGAACATCTGGAAGAAGATCCCAAGCATAGCTATCGTTCTTCCTGACACCCGAAAATGGGAGCCATCGGTCGGTTCCCGGATCGAAGTCGCCATACTTAGACTCATTCAACATGTGAAGCGCGTTCCGCTCCCTCACAAGCTCTCTTTGGTGCTCTTCATCCTGAGAGACCAGAGGTGAATGCGACTGCGAGCTCAGAAGCAGGTAGAAAACTACCAGAAAGAAGAAAAAAGAACCGCGGTGATCCATAGGTGGCCACAAATCGCGGGCATCGAACGGAGGAGGATTGCTCCCGGAGGCCCAACTTCTGGTGTGCTGCGCAGAGACAGGCAGCCCTCGCGAGATCCTCGACTGTTGTAAGAGCGCGAGGAGGAAGCAGTAGCAATACGACGTCACTATCGGAGTAGCACGTGATGCAGCGACCGGGAGGGGCCACGGGACAGTCGGAAAGGTCGATGACACATGGATCCAAGCAGAGGTTGGCTGGTACCAGAGAATTGAAGGGGCTAGACCTCGTGCTGTCAAGATATTGCAAGTGCAAGATGCATCGAAGCTGCGAACTCCCCTGTACAACAACCAGGTGGTATCTTATCGGGAATGAAGGCTAGATCGATAGTAGACTTAAGGGGGGCCGACGGGCGGGAGCGAGAAAGCACCGGCGCACGTGAGGCTGCCGACTAGCCCCAATCTAAGACGGATCCGGGGCAATAGATGATCCGGTAGATCGGTAGTATACTACTATTACTACTACTACTACCTACTAAGTTACTGCTACTACTAAGGTATAAGTACTGTATAATAATTATGAGGCCATATCGTCTTCGGTTTACTCACCGGCCAGGTGAAATCTGCCCTATGCCGAACATGACGAAACTTTGTTTATGCTCAAGTCGACACTAGGGTCAGACAGTCTGTCTCATGATGAGGATTAGCTCTCCCTTTCAGACGCCAAACCATCAAATGATCTTCCATCAATACACGATGAACGCAATTATCAAAACCCCCAGGACAGTTAGGACTGTCTGTATCCACTGCTAGCACAACTGTATAGCGGGCCCGATTGGCCGAAAAGCCAGAGTACGATCTGGATTGACTATAGAATTGATCTGAATCGTATCGTTATATAATCATGAACAGGAAGTTACATATCAACCCGCTGTTTGAAGAGACTCTTGCCCCTCAACCATTGTCGATAGCGTTTATAACGTTTCTTTTCATAATCCTCGGCCACCACAGTCAGGCCTCCCTCCGAGACATTTAAAAACTCAGCATAATCCGCAAGGTTCTCCTCGGCATTAGCTTCCAGAGTGGCCTCCTCTACGTTGCACTTATTTGCATATTCCAGTAAATCCAGACTGGATTCATGCTCACGAATGGAAGTGGCAGTCAACTCGTCTTCGGAGGTCACAACAAGTGGAACCTTCAAAGGATGGTTAATGTAGCGTTCGTATTCTTCTCCTTCTGCAGCGGTCACAGACGGGTTTAGCGAGTCGGTCACCAGCTGGCCAAGAGTCCACTGCGCAATTTGCGTTTTGCTCGGAGTGGTGACCGTCGACTCCTGAGAAGAGTGCATGGAACTGAAGGAATGGGGCAGTCCGAATGATGTAGATTTCATAATACCTGCAGACGGTGGTAATTTATCAGCGGAAGGCGGCTGATGAATCCAGTTGTAGCTGGACTGGGATGTTGCGCTACCGAGTTGTGGGCGGCCCGCTGGATCGATGGAGGTCTTAAGCGGTTCCTGGATCTTGACGCTACGTGGTGGGTGTCGTTCCCGGTTGATCTGATCGTGCGGGATCCGGGGAACAAACGGACTAATGTCGTAGGGGGCGCCGGAACCAGGCCGGAATGGAAGATAGCGGAGCGTTGAGTTCATTTTGTAAGAGAATATTTTCGAGAATGACGACACGGCTAATGGCCTATAGTACTCGAGCCAGTAATCGTCGTAGTGAGAGAGAGGTTCCTTTGGAGGTCGCGGAGGGGGTGGCACTTCTTTTTCCTTCAGATTCTCCGGAGTGTACCAGCAAATGTAGTTGGGACGCCTCTTGTTGGACCAGGATCGCGGGTCAGCGTGGTGCAGGTAATAATCGGTCGACAGATCCCACAGCATCGGCTGTCCTTGGGAAAAGATGTAGTTCCCGAGGAACAGATTGTAGGCTTCCTGGCGCTGGGCATCGAGAAATGAATTGTTGTAGTACCGTTTGAAACTCTCCACCATATCGCGAGAATGACTACTCCACTGGTTGATCTTGCGGTATGTGGCCATAGTGTTTACCAGATGCGAGCCTCCGTACTGGATTGCAATGGTATCACCGTGGTCGTGCCACATATCAGTAAATAAGTTGACAGCATCGGTGTCGTACTCCACAGTCGTTCCATCAATAATGCCCAAAGCGTGAAGTTGGTATCCCAAGGCGCGCTTTCCAATAACGAATTGAGCAGCATTTGTACGGTCTAAACAATCGATGCAGTTCGTCCTCGCGATGCCATTTTGCAGACGTAAGCCAGACTCTGCATCATATCCGTTCTTGAAGAAGCCGGTCTTAGGAACAATCTCGCCCGCGATATGCTCTAATGTTCCAATGACGTCTTGGTCTCTGCTTTTTGCAGCACGGCTCATGTCCCAGGGCTGATAGATAATCTTCTTATCCTCGGGCAGGAACTGGTTCAGATACTGGATGGCGTTCGTGTACTCCTTGAGCAACTTGGACTCCCGTGGGGTTCGTTCTCGCGATTTTATCAGGTTGAGCACATAAACTGGTGCGCCGTATCTCTCAAAAAGGTTGTCAAAGTGTAGTGCAGCAGCGGAGTAGAAGGGGTCAACCAAGTTTAGTTCAATATCAGGTTTGGGAGACACCCCTGAGTTTTCCTGTGTCCAGTAGAGCGGAATACTCCCACGGTGTTGCACGTAAGAGGTGTATAGCGGGTTAGCATAGAGATTTGGACCGGGAGAATGAAATGACGTGGCTGTCATCTCGGACACTATCTGCTCCGTTTCAACGTCGTTTGCTACATAGCCTAGATCATTCGCGCCTCTCTTCAGAAATCGGGCCCCTGCGAAGAACCGAGAGCGTCGCGCAATGATAGTAATGTAAACCAAACGCCCGTACACTGACATCTTTGCCTGTTCAACATATCCGTGGATGATGGGTAAGCACCATTCCCAAGGATTTTTCAGAGTTTCGAGGGCCGGCCCGAGAAGATGGTGATTCCAAATGAACATCGTATTGTAGTCTTGCTGAAGGTGTTTCGGGTGTCCGTCCTGGTTGGCGGTGCGTTCCCGACAAATGTTGTGCTGCAAAGTGTGGGTGATATCGTAAGAATAGCTGAAGTAGAAGGATCGGGTGAGATCCAGATTATTTAAAATGGCAATATATCGCGCCTCCTCCGGGTTCTTCTCCGGGCGGAGACGAGACGAGCTTGAAGTCGTCAACGAGATGAGCTCCGTTCCATCGATCTGATAGACATAGTGACCCCCAAGCATAGCAACCTGGCTTCTCTTGGTCACAAGAAGCATATAGTAAGCATCCGTAAATCGTATAAACCCCAGTAAAGCCCATGCGCTGCACTTCAGCTTCAACCCACCCGACCGTTTATTCCCATCATCGATCGTATCCAACAATTGGCTCATCTCCCGCTTGCTGTAAACAATATCATCCTCTGAAATGCTGAGGTCCCCGGATTCCGAGGTCCGATCGATTTTGAGGATCCTAAAGCGGGTATCCGACAAGTCCATTCCCACCATGTAGAATCGGGTGGCTGTCTCGTACAAGGAGAACTTGTGCATGCGGTTGATCCCTTCCTCTCCTCCGGTGTCGAAGAAGGCCGAGCGTTGCTTTTGCGCCGAGGTGGGCGTAGAATCCCGCTCAAAGGACGTTGCAACCTGGGGCTCTTCATCTCCTGCCTCCACCCCATCTTCACTCAGGGCAGGTACTGCTGGGGATGCGTAATGTAATGGGGTGAACGGGGAGGCTGCGCGGGGCGATCGGAGGCCATCTTCGTGATCGATAAAGCTTCGAGGGGCCGATTCAGGCTGCTCTTCTGGAAACTTGGTGCTGGAGCCGGAGGTAAACGAGGCATCGGCGTAAGGGAGGTGAAGATCTGAGGTGGAATTTGGCGAACTGGTATCTATCAAGGACACCGCTCTGGAGGACTGGTCGTCCAGTGGACCGAGGCTTTTGTCTTCCGCGGCCTCGCGGGAGAGGGACACTTCATCCAGACTCTCCATAATGAAGGCAGAGGCTGGTGAAATCCCGCACCAGCATCATATGTATTCTCGATTGTTGGCGCGCAGCGCCTATGCGAAAAGAGGATCGAAACGGCGACCAGAGTAGCAGTAAGTGACGTCGGGCGCGGGTGAGTGGGGGGATCGACTTGCGACAAGGAGCTTCACGTGATCGCTATCACCCCAATAACGCACCGATCAGATCTAGTAGTTGACTAGTAATCATCATCCAGCTCAACCCAACGAAAATCCTCAGATAATAGGGATAGGATTATACAATGGCAGCAAAGGCATACTACGCTGAGGAAATTCCACTTGTATATGAGAATAAGGTTGATGTTAGTTAAGGGAATTACTGAACGTAACAGTACTTATACGCACTCGGCAACATGCAGCACTTTTGATCAGACGGTTATTACCCCATGCATTGATAACTCCCGTAGAAACATTTGTGATCCAAATTGCACGCTCCATGTTATACTTGGCCACTAGTAACAGTAGATCTGAAGTGATCAGTACTTCGACCTAAATACATCTCAAACTCCACGACTGGATATAAGGGCAATCTTATCCCCCACGTTCCGCTTTCTCAATCTCTGCCAACGCCTTCTGTATCATCTCTTGCGTGCTAACCCGAGTAAACTGAAGCTGTGCCGCCTTCAAGCCGTTCTTCCAAAGATGCCACTTCTCCATTGTGAAGCGCGGTCGCGGAGGAGGATCATCAGCGTCCCCGAATGTTCGTTGGACCTGACAGTTCTCCCACATTCGCTGACCGGCATAGATATACCAGATACATGAAATGCGCACGGCCTCTTCCACCAACGGATCGCATTCCTCAAACGTTTCTCGACACGCCCACAGCGCATATAGTGATGCGTCAATGGCATGGCCGAGATGGTCCGCTTTCGAGGTCAGCTGCGCCATAAACGCATTGCGATTCTCCCACTCCTGGAGTTCGCGTGGAGGATACTCCATCCGGGGATCATCGTCGACCTGCTGGGCGTACTCTGTACGTGACGCCAATTGCAGGGTTAGCCGTGGAATCAACCGCTAATAAGAAAGAAGGAAGGAAGGAAGGAAGGAAAGAAAGAGAAGAAGTATATAAGTGAATAGGTGTAACGTACTGGGGTCGTATGTGAAAGAATACATATCCCTCAAGTAGACTCCGAGATAGGGGAGTTCAGTCCATAACTTCATGCCCACTGACGTTGGCTCTTCGCCCGTGTCAGGATCGACAATCTTGGTGCGTTGAAGATGGACAATGAATTCGATAAGCTTGTGCTGCTGCGCAGCTGGAGTAAGATTCACAATTTTCACAACCGTGACCATGGCAATCCATGTGTGTGTGCCATCGATCTCAGTCGGGGGTTCCCCTCCCTCCTTGTGTAAGACCTCGCGCACCCGAAGCAGATTTTGGACTGCCTCGGCTGGTGAGACATCAGGATTCTGTACCAGCTCACTGATGACTTGGTATTCCGGTCGCGCAAGGAACACTTCGCCGAAGCCTTCCATCATGAAAAGGTGTTTCGAGGTTTCAGGAAAGCAAGGTCAACGACACCATTTGAGTGGTTTAAATAAAGGATGTTGGGGCTGGCTGGGCTGGCGGTCAGCACTAGTAGCCGGGAGACCTGATCAACTCAGCAGCCAACAAATAACATCTTTCATGTTCCCAACATGCCACTTTCACCCTGTGGGAAGACATCTTTGCGTTTTGGGTGTTGGTGTCACAGCATATGAGACAGCCCCCAACTCACGGAGTAAACATCAAATTCTCGCATTAGACGGAGATTTTCACTTGAAAGGATCCTAACGTGTGCGGGAGGTCCCTTCGGCCCGTAAGCTTATACTCTCGAAGATCGCCCGGCCTCCTTTTGGCCCCCGTTTGACACCTACTTGGCCCCCATGAGTGACAAAGTCATGTAGACGAGATGTATAGCGCTTTTACTGCTGAGACTCTTGATAGGGACCGTCACACCATTTGACGCCTCACGCTATTCGAACTCAATGGTCAAGGATGTAATCCCATCGAAGCAGCAAGGTATAAAGCGCCTGCTTCGTACCAACACTCGCCATCAGCTCACTCGTTCCCTTCTTCAAAGATTCCGTCAATTCCTCGAATACCAGTCTATCTTTCAAAGAATTCACAGTCACTCATTCCTTTGGTTATCGAGGTCTACTGTTGAAAGGAGAAAGAGTATAAAGTATACTGGATATCTCAAGATGTTCTTCAGCCTCAAGCCCATCATCATCCTAGCCCTGACCCTCACTGCGGTTGCCAGCCCTATCACCAACCCGACAGTTGAGGAGACCAATATTCTCGTCACCCGCGCCCAAAAGAAGGATGTTGACTGTAATGGGCAGAAATTCACTGTGGCAGATATCAACAACGCCCTCCGTCAGGCAAAGGTCGTCGAAAAAGCCAAAGAGGATGGAGCCACTGACTACGGTGATTACCCCAAAGTGAACAATAATCACGAGAACCTCTTCAGTTCCACTAGCACACTTTATGAGTATCCTCTTGTATCCGGGACCTTTAGTGGAAGTAAGTTAGCCCTTCTTGGTTACCTTTGTCCGATATGACCGAGTAGAGAGAACACACGTGAACTAATGGATCGGAAACATGACAGAGAATGGCGTGCGTCCGGGCTTATACCGTGTAATCATGAATGAGAAATACAACTATATGGGATCGGTATATCACGTCGCGGGTGTGAGTAATGCTTTCAAGAAGTGCACAAACGTCGAAGACCCTTCCACTACCACGACTACTACTACTAGGGCCACTGCCAAGGCTACTACTAAAGCTAGTAGCAGCAAGTCTGGCAGCAAGTCTGGTAAGAAGTCCAGCACCAAGAATGGTTCACATTAGTGGTAAATCCGGCCGTACCAGCCACGAGGATTGGGGGAAAGGGAAGAGGGGGGAGGTGTATGACAGAGGCCTTGCTTGGGGGTTCGGGAAATTGGAGAGAGGATATCCCAGTGTATACTAGAGAAGAAGGCAGGAGGAGAGGGATATGGCCATCGAACGAGTAGGGTACGATATGTATGACTGGACAGCTTTTTGACAGTTGGTACATAGTACTGTGATAACAATACCTGTTCATGTGTCATGGTTTGCTGGAGACCCTGCTGACATTTTTCTAATTCAATTCTTGCCTACTTCCGCTCTTTCCAAAGGCCAACCACTCAAGCTAACTCGCCAGCAGCCATATGATCAGATGATCAGAGTCAAAGCCATACTACTCACCCGTACTCATCCTTCAAAGCTTAAGAGGTGGCGGAGAATCAGGTGATGCCTGGCTACAGTGAATGTCTTAACACAAACAAATTGATTGAGATAAGTACTATTGAAAGGTTACTATATCCAGAAAGAAAGATGTAGGAGCAGAATTAAAGATAGATGGCGGCAGGAAGATATGCGAAAGGAAAAGACACTAACGCCTCTTGACAGATATGGTATTATCGTATCACAGCAAGGCCTGATTCAGATGTAGGTGTTGGCAGAATCGAAAGACGATTTTACTGATAGCACTACTAACAGCACTCCGCTGATTCCAGGTCAAGTGGAATAGTTTCAAATATATATTCACTATATTTGGAACCAACAAAACGATCTGCATATCTGCACCCAAGGTAAGGGAATATCCATCGGTACTAGGTAATCAGTGCCAGTGAATATTGAGCAAGGATATTGTACACATGTGATCCATTAGTAGCCACACCATCCTATTAGGAGTTGCTTGCTGCTATTATGATCAGTTTAATAGCGTAGGCTAACGCGATCACTCCTTCTACACTAAACGAGTACAACGGTCCTATAACGGAAAGTCATCAGTTAGGGGATGACGATTCTGAATATCAGTGGCCAATTAACAGTGCCTACAATGTATACAAAACTGATAGTTTTAGAGAAGGTCAAGACTAGGAAGGCATATATACACACCTGCTATATTCTCTACATTATTTTGACAGAAATAGAGGTACAGAAACTGGACAGTATGTCAGATTGAATCATACAACCGTGACAGACTCATGTATTCTGTGAGGATGAACGAAAAGATAACAGATGTCGAGAAAATCAGGAATAATTATGAATACTCACGCCTGAAAGAACGAAGGAAGACCTCGAGGGACAGGTACTTTAAGCAGTGCTGATATTTGAAGATAAGAAGATACGCAAAAGGTGAACAAAAGGAAAACATATACACTATCTACATTGCAGAGCGCGTATGAACCTAATAACATACTAAAGATACCTGACGAACATGTCTTCTCTAGATCCTCATTCGCCTCAGAATCTTCAAGGCCGCTTCCAAATGTTTTCCATTGGATGGTTTAGGTGAGATTTCCGGACAGTGTGTTACATACTAAAATTTCATGTTCCACTGGGCTTCATGTATAGGCCAGGATCTCTACATCGGAGAATCTTGGTAGCAGCGATATTAGCTGGAAACGTTTCTAGAAACCTTACTATAGGACCGACTGCAGGGTCCAATATCTCTTTATAGAGAATTTCCATGTCGAGTTTTTATTATATGGGCCGGCAATGTGGGTGGGGATGAGTACTGAAGTAATTGAACCAGGGCTACCAACGCCAGGGCCTACCGAGTGAATGTCTCGATTCAGGCAGCCTCCGCCTTCAGCTTCATCTGAGCCTTCAGGTGCTTGGTGAGCCTCCGACAGTGGGTTAGATTAAAGTATATATACGTGGTGATGGAGCCAAGTTGCTAACCTCGACAGTCGGCCCTTGTATTATGCTGAGCAGCAGAGTTGGATGTAAGAGGCCATAGCAGTGTTATGGCAAATCAACGCAGAATGGATGCGAACTGTAGGCTTGTCCGAAAATGTACTGGTGTAGTGCCAAACCCTGCGCACAGAAGAGGGGCAAAGGGTGAGAGACGTAAGCCATCCCGACCACCGGATACTCTGCACGAAGGGTCGTCTTCAGTGAGCTATTCCTGACGGCGACGCAAGACTGATGAGGTTGGAAAGCGACTTCCAATTTCAAGAAATGGATCCCCGCTACCGAGGCGGGTGCCAAACCTACCCGGATAGACTCGTAAGACTAGCATTAGGTAAGGCCTGATCTCAGAGTCGCTTCGAGGTACGGTCACTCGCTGGTGGGCCTATAAGGGATCTGCAGCCTGTGTCTAGCCTCGTCTCTTAAAGCGAGTTAATGAGCCTGATGATACAAATTGATGGGTTATATCAATCTAAAGATGGAACAAAACAATTAATTTACTTTCTAAAATCGAGCGGCCGGCAGTTTATTTTCTTGCGTAGTACATGATGCCGCATTTCCCTGACGACAATAGCACGACGACCTAATTGGAACATCGGCCGTTGCAACTGCCTGTTTCAAGAAAGGCTTCACGATTTGAGCTTCAGCCGTTCGCCCTAGCCTGTTCAGGCATTCGTAGTATCCATGCAGCGCCCATACATTGTTCGGGTGCTGCCTCGCACGAGGCAGCGTGTCGTCGAATCCAAGATCAGCCTGGTATACCGCTGCTGCCTCCTGGACATGTCCCTGTTCTAGCAGGAGCGCACCGTACGCATGACGGGTCGGTTGCATCCACCCCCACGGCTCGTCATATGGTAACCCATCATCCAGGGTGATAGATCGCCGTAGATGGGTAAATGCCACGTCATAGTTGCCACGGCGATACTCGAGCTCTCCATCCAGCATAGCGTCAGCCACAGTCAAGATGTCCAGACACTTGTTGGTAAATAACATTCGGCTGTAGGGTACACGCTTCACAGCCTCTTTAAACAGCGCGCTCTGTTGACTCGCCTCATCTATCCTCCCAAGCGCAGCCAACGCCACTCCCTTCCCGTACTGGATCATTGCAGTGGTGACGCAATATAGCTGCGTGTCATGCGGGTATTCAAGGGCAAGGAGATCCTCCCAACGTCCAAAGCGAATCAGGACATGCACCTTCATGCTCACAAAGCCTTCCAGCCAGTCAGCCATAGGCGGGGATTCGATACGCAGGAGCTGCTCTGGAATGGATGACTCCAGACTCTTTACCGTGTCCAACGCAACTTGCGACTGCCCCGCAAACATCGCCGCATATACTCTAAAATGATAATCATGCGATCGATATAGCGTATAAAAATTAACTGCGCCCTCACGGGCAAGGAACTTCTCATCTGCTCGAATTGCATCTGAGTTCGATGCAATCGCCCGTCGATAGTCACCACAGAGAATGTCCAAATGCGTTGGCATGTGATTAAGATGGCCTGCATCAGGTACTAACCCCCGCAAATGATCTGCTACCCTAAGTGCTGCTTCCGGCTCACTGGACATCTCCATTAAGTGGATGTATAGATGCAGGATTCCAGGGTGTCGTAGCGCCTCGTCCTGGGTCAGCGCCAGATCTAAGACTTTCTTGATTTGCACAGTATGCGCATCAGCTGCAGGCTGACCAGTACGTAAGTCCCAGAGGGCCCAGGGAGTCAAATTCATGAGAGCATCCGCGTACAGAGCCACCACATCTAAATCATTGGGAAAGCGTAAGTAAACGGATTTCATGGCGTTAGCGTACTCCTTATTCCAGCCGTTAAAGTCATCGGGCGCCACGTTTTGAGGGTATCGATGTTGCAGGGCTGCAATAAGCGCTGCTTCCACGGGTTGGGTGGTTGTGGCGTGCGTCTGGGCCTCTGCGACAGCTTCGTGGGTACGCTGTACGGCGACTTCGAGTTCTTGCTCGTCGAAGGACTGCCAAGTTTTGTTGTAGTTGGGACCCAAGGTGTATGCAAGGCCCCAGTATGCCATGGCACAGGTCGAGTCGTGTGCAATGGCTTTTTGGAAACAGTTTGCCGCTGCTTCGTGGTTGAAGGCATATGTCCAGATCAGACCACGGTCGAACCAGAGTTGAGCCTGAGGGCTGGAGGTGGTCACCGGTCGGCGGAAGGAACCGAAGTCGTAATAATCATCTGGTTCCTGGGCAGACATAATTGAGGAAATATGGAAATATCACAGCAAAGCAGGACTAACTAGAGGTACGTAGGTGGCTTGCGGATGCTGTTCCTGAAGTTGATGGGGAATAAACCCATAGTAATACCAAGTAGTAGTAGATAGTTGATAGTGAGGATGTCCCCGCTATCGAACCAAGGTTCCCAGGCTGCAGGGAATAACAATAGTCCGAGGACGGTCACATAACTATATTAACATATCAGGTTCGTTCCACTCGTCACAACTTGTTAGTCTACATAGTAGATTCCATCATTGGCTGGTAATTTTGGGAAGGATGGTATAGCTTACTCAAATCGCTAACCTTCGTATACTACTGTACAATAGATGCGTACTTTATACATTATAATGGATCATCAAAGAGCTAGAAATATGTATATCATATATACTATATGTGAGATATCACGGAGGTCGGGTAAGAGACCTCAAGTACGCATCATTTGATACACCGCGAAAAGGTGCGCATTTCATACCTACAAAGGAACATGCAGGTAGGCAGTAAGGGTGGCTAGGGACGAAGATTGATAGCTTGTAGGCAACTGGCTGTATGCCGGTGGCGACGAGCAAAGGTAGAAACTGGCTGTTGTGACACTCATTTACATTCTATACATTTCTCTAGTAGTGGTGTTGTTGAGTTATGTTTTCCACTTCGTCTATGTACATGAAGGTTTTGTATTCCTTCGTCTGCTCAGTGATCCGACTGTGTTCAGCACCATATTGTTGCTTCAGGTGGCCAAGTAAACCATGCAGGGACAGCATCTTATATAGCAAGCAGGGTCGATCAGGTCAAACAATATGGCCCGAACCGAGATTCTTTCGAGCCATTTATGCTCTTCCACTCCTCGGTTGGCGGACCCGTAAGGTACCTGACTGCAGAGCAGATCCTTAACTGCTAT